AAATTGACTTGCAAGCCTGACTGTGTGACATGAAAGATGAAGAAGCTGTCATCTACATGATGACAGATCTCTATTATACTAAAGTCAAGAACTGGCTGAATTATCTAGAAAATGATCATGAGAGATTCTAATGATCTGTTCTCAAGACCTATCTAGAGAACAAGTTGAGAGACTTCACAAGCTGAACAGAGAACACCTGGGCTGTGATTATCAACATTAGAAAAAGAGATGAGAAATCTGATGAAGACTACTTACAGTGCTTCATGAAATTGTGACACAAATTAAGACCTGTGAAAACAGGGCTCTGAAACAAGACCTGAATGATGATGTTCATGAAGAGACTGAATAAAGACATGCAGAACAAGCTCATTAAGCAAGGCTCTAAGTTCTTGACTCTGAAGAAACTGATAACTCTCATTCATCACTTACAGATCACTGTGAGAGTCACAGACCTGCAGAGAGTGAATCATTGATCAGCTCTGCAAGGGCCAGAACAACAGAGAACAGATTTATCAGAAAAAGATGACAAGACATAGAGAGATTCATATCTGACTGCTGAGCAGAAAGAGAGAGCTTCACAAGCTTCTGTGAACAGAGTGTATAACAGAGAGACTAAGAAAAAGAGACTCTGCTTCATCTGTTCTAAATCAGAACATCTTCACACAAACTGTTCAGACAAATTAAAATAGAAATTTGAGAAGTCACAGACAGAGTCAGCAACAGCCTTCTTAAGAGTCTTGAAGCTGATATCTGAATCTGTTGCTCTCTCAATGAAAATACTTGCTTGTGAGAAGAGACTATGTCATGATACTGCTGCCCTGCAAGCATGGAAAGCATTGATGAACTCAGAATCCCAGGTCACTGTGATGTCTCTAAAGCTCACAGAGTGAATGAGCTGAAAGATGAAGACTGAGAATCTGCTCTTATAATAAGCAGAGTGTGAGAACTCAGATCTGAGAGCTGAGAAACTTGTGAGAGTTATCTTTGAATTGCAAGATCTCTCTGAAATCTGAAGAAGATTTGTAGAAACTGTGATTATCACAGACATCACAGATGACATGTATTTGAGACTTGTATAACTTCAAAAACACAATTCACACATAGCTGTTCACAAGTCAGGTTTATACTTCTGATCAGTGTTGACAGACTCACTTATGAAGGTAGAAGCAGTTGATGCTGCAGAGTTGATTAGAGGAGACAAGCTCATCTATGTAATGACTTTGTAAGTGTCTGAGAATCTCATGATCATGAAAACTGAGCTTTAGATATCAGAGAAATACTGAGATCTTGCAGAGATGTTCAGCTCAGCTAAGACAGCTGAGCTTTCTTCTCACTGTGAGAAGAATCTGATAATAGATTTAATAGAAGAGCAGAAACCCTTCTGAGAATCAATCTATAAGCTCTTTCATCACAAGACAGAGGTCTTGCAAATCTATATGAAGAAGAATCTGAAGAATGACTTCATCTGATCTTCACAGGCCTCTGTGAAAGCCTCTGTAATATTCATGAAGAAGAAGAATGAAGATCTCAGATTATGTGTAGACTACTGTGACCTGAACTTCAAGATAATAAAGAGCTGCTATTCTCTGTCTCTGATTGAGAATGTGATTAACTGTCTTGCAGAAGCTGTCATATTCACATAACTGAATGTAATCAATGCATATACACAGCTGTGAATACAGTCTGAGAATGAATGAAAGACTGTCTTTAGAACTGCACTGAGATTGTTTGAATATCTAGTGATGTCTTTTGATCTGACTAATATCCCTGCAGCATTTCAGTCTTTCATTAACAAAACACTTTATGTATATCTGAATGTCTTCATGATAATATATCTGAATGATGTGATGATGTACTTCATGAAGAAGAAAGAACACACTGAGCATGTATGAAGTGTATTGAAGGCCTTAGATGAGACAGAACTGTATATTAAGCTCATGAAGTGCAACTTCAGTGTCTGCTGAATTAATTTTCTAGAATATGTAATTATCACAGATGATATTCAGATGAAATCTTTGTGAATTGAGACTATTCTATCATGACTGAAGCTAACTAGTATTCATGAGATTCAGATCTTTCTGAGCTTTGTGAATTTCTATAGACAGTTTATCTTTGCATTTGTGAGAATCTTCTTGACTCTTACAGACATGCTGAAGAATGAAAACAAGAAGAAGTTATTCTGTGAACAGAGAATGAAAAGATTGTTGAGAAGAGAGAACTGTGAGAACTTTCTTATCTCAGAAGCTTACAGGGTCTTTATAAGATTGAAACAGATATTCACAGACACAGTGATGCTGTTTCACTTTGATTTCTTACTCTTAATCAGATTGAAGACAGATATCTTCTTCTTTACAATTTCAGAAATAGTCTCATAACTACAGTCAAATAAGAACTGAGTTTCAGTGGTCTTTTTCTCACAGAAGATGCAACCTGCAGAGATTAACTATAGTATTTATGATCAGAAGCTTCTTATAATAGTGAAATTCTTTCATCACTGATATCACTATTTCAAGAGCCTTGTAATAGTGATTACTGTTAAAACTGATCATGACAGCTTATAACAGTTTACTTCAATCAAGAAACTCTCACAGTGACAGGTTCACTGAGCTCAGAGACTGAGTGAGTTCTGATTCAAAATAGAACATATCAAGAGAACTAAGAACTCAGCAGATGAACTCTCTCACAGATCAGACTATATTAAGAAGGCCAGGGCAACAGACACAGAGAGACTAGAGAAGGCAGAAAAGCTTTATAAAATGCTTAAACTGAGTGTTGTAAAGAGATTGACTGAAGAGTCTCTCAATTCTCTGTGAGAGAAGAAGAAGAAGAAAGAAAAGAAGCCTGTACAACTACTCTCTGTAACACTGAGAGTCAACACTCTGAGAATCTCTGTGAGAATCCTTGAAAAGAGTATCTATAATCTGAAGAGTTTGCAGACTTTGAGAAGCATCACAGAAGACCTGATACAAGAGAAAACAGAGTATAAGTCTTTACAAGATCTTCTATTCAGATTGTCTGAACTGCAACTAAAGAATGAATATGCTCAGTATATTCAGAAACTGCTCATGACAGAGATCAATTCTGCAGAAATAAAGAGTTGAAGAGACTTAAATGACCTCTTACAAAGAGAGAGCTGAATTTATGTGCCTGTGAATGAGTTTCTACATATAGAACTCATTAAAAGATATCATGACTCTTCTCTAGTGAGTTATTTTGCAGACACTAGAACTCATGAGCTGCTTATAAGAAAATACTTCTGACTGAAGATGTGAGAACTTGTAAAGAAGATAGTGAATTCTTGTGCTGTTTATCAGAGTTCATGAGTAGTGCAGTTCAGATCATATAAAGAACTTACTTCTCTATTCATTCTGTGAGAACCTTGGAAACAGCTAGAAATGAATGCTCTTGTGAGCCTCTCTGAAAGCAAGAACATATATAATGCCTGCTTTGACAGTGTACTGATAATAGTGAATTACTTCATCAAGATAGCACACTTTATACTCATCTGCAAGAACTTGAAATCAAAGAATTTGACTCATATCTTTATCTGCAATATGATTCAGTTGTATGAATTATCTGTAAACATTATTTCAGATAGAGAATCAATCTTCACAGAAGAGTTCTGATCTGATCTGATAACTATACTGAAGATCTCATGAGATCTAAGCACAGCTTTTCATCAACAGACAGATAATCAGACAGAACATCTGATAAGTATATTGAAACAGTATCTGTGATACTTTGTCAATTATAATCAGAATAACTGAGTGTATTGATTATCACTTATGAAGTTCATATACAATAACTCAAAGCATGTCAGTATAGATAAAACTCTCTTTGAGATGCTCACTGAGACTCATTCACAGATGATCTTGATAAACTTGTGAGAGTATACTATAGAGTGTGATGATGTCTGTGAATGAGCTGAGAGAATTCAGAAGATCTGGGAGAAAGTCTGTGAATTCTTGAGAAAGACTCAAGAGTATCAGAAGAGATACTATGACTTCAAGCATATTGCAAAGAGTTTTAAGAAAGATAATAAAGTCTGACTGAGTCTAGAAAACATTATTATACAGAGATCTAGCAAGAAGCTGAATCTCTTGCAGACAGAGTCTTATAAGATTATAGAGAAAGTTAGCTTACAGTTCTACAGATTAAAACTGTTATCTGAGTTGCAGATATACAATATTTTTCATATCTCTTTGCTCTGTGAATATAAGAAATTCTCAGAAGAGAACTCTGTGACTCATCACTCTGTTTATGAAGCACTAGAGAGTGAAAGAGAATATCAGATCAAAGAGATTGTTGACTCAGAGAAGTAAGATTGTGAGCTCTGATTCAAGGTTCAGTGATAAGAGTATTCTGACAAGATGAATGAGTTCACTTAAAAATCATTCAGACAGATAAGACATCTGCAGAAGCTGAGACATGACTTTCATATTATAAATTCTGATAAGTCAGAATAATGCAGTCTTCACTAAGAATCTGATTGTGACAAAGACATTAATACTGTTATTTACAAATCCTAGTTTATAAGATAATGAGTTTCTACTGAGATGAACAGTCTGCAGTGTATGCAAGAAAAGAAGAAAACATGTTCTCATTAAAACTAAAAAATAAGAAAATAAACAGGGCTGTGAATGCAATTTAGAGATTAATAAAGAAAAAATAAAGAAAATTCACACTTACATTATCAACATCTGTGATACTCAATTCTCTTACAACTATCAATTTCTCTCTTCAAAGAAGCAGAGAGCATCATATCTGTGATACAGACAATTATTGCATTTGATATGAAGACTGTTAGAAATGCACAGACTTCAGAGAAGCTGAACATCAGAGTATATACAGTTACAGTAGAGTCTTGAAGGCTGGTCATCTGCACATGTGACTAGATACTTCTCACAAAACTGTGTCTACTCTCTCAGTTATGCTGGAGTATTCAGCCTGGAAACAATGAGAACACAGAGAGAGAGCTCATCTGTTCAGGTCAACTCCTGTCACAAATTCATGACATTTGCATTGCCTTGATTACCCGGATTTTGCGGGTACCCAGAGACCCATCTTCCATTGGCAATGGGATTGCAGAAATGCGCTGCGGCGCGAGGACCATTGATAGGAAACCTAGGCATATTCACATATGCCTGGTCAGAGATTGTGCAGGCAGGGAAGAGGTGATCATAGGCCCGCGGGGCTGCAGAAGACACTGGCAACATCAAGAGCTTCACAAGAACTGTCAGCTAGAATCTGTAAGGAATTACTTGTGAGAAGACTTACAGCAAAGAGAGAGACTGCACTGCTTGAAGCCAGGAACTGGCCTGGGAGAGGAATGAGGTGAGCTGCTGGCCTGAAGATCAGGTGCAGTGACAGGGCTGAGAAGAGTGAAGATACAGTCATGAGTGACAGCATCCCTGCTTCATCAGCCAGTAAAAAGTGATCAGAGAAGTTGCAGAGATGCTCATGAGAAGCTCAGCAGCAGTCAGACATTGTTTACAAAGATATTGAAATTGAAAAAATTTTTATTCTTGAGAAGTTCTTGAATCAACATGCAGACATTGTCAGAAACACTCTCTCTCTGTTATCTGAGTGAAAACACTTCATGAATGAATGAAGATACTCACAGTTTGTGAAGATGAAAGCTGTTACAGAAAAAGAAAAAAGAAGATAAGATTTCACAGACAGATCTGGGATATTTATACTACTCTAGAGAGGTTTGCTTACACTGTGAGTGATTTCATGAAACAGTCAGATCACTCTAGTAAACAAGAGTGACTGTGAATCACAGATCTGAATCTTTCTATATAACTATAAAGAGTGATTGCAGACTGCAGACATCTTGATTCTACAATTTTACAGAGTTAGTGAAAGAATGGAAAATTCCTCACAATTCTACAGTGTTAAAAAGCAATGATTTATAAGAATGAATGAAAGATTAACTCATGAATGTTTCTCTTTAATGAGAGTGATCTCACAGAGAGTGATTTACCTGTGAGATGAATCTGTGTGATGATTACACAAGAATCTCATGAAAATGATTGAGAGTCAATCAAAATCCTTCTGTATGAAAGATGTGAGATGAATCTGTATAGTAGTCAGAGAAGAATCTGTAGATCACAAAGAACCTTGTGAAATAAGAAACTGAGTGACAGACTCTTTTCTCTTCACAGTAACAAGGGATTTTTCCTCACTGAGATTTTTTATAGATATGAAGGGTTTTTAGTGAGTATCACTGCAGTGCTGAGCTGACTATGAAGTCACTCAGTGAAAGGCTTCACAGACAAAGCCTTAGAGAGAGAGAGATATGTAAGAAATTCTGCTTCTCACAGATTCTTTATCTCTATTCCTATCTCTCATGTAATCAATAGAGCTAGCAGCCCTTGGCTACACACAACTATATAGACTGAAGTTCATGAATACTATTCACAACTCAGCTTGAATGCTATTATACATTTAATCTCTACATTTATCTTCCTACCGCGAACACTTCTAGTAGTTAACAGTACATATCATGCCAAGCTGCAAACACCTGAATAATCGCCTGCGAGCACTTATTCTTACAAGAAATTCACAAATTCTAGAAACATCTGCATCTTGCAGTACATCTGTAGCATCAGTCAGTTCTTAATAACAGAGACTCAGCTTCTGTTCATTGAAATGCCATTCATCTCAATAATATAATCTAAGAAATCAATCTCCTGCATGTAGAATGAGCATTTTTCAGTGTTTGTATAGAGTTGATACTGTCTCAAGCAACTCAATACTTCTTGAACATGAGTATCATGTTCTTTCTCTGATTTTAAGAAGATTAAAATGTCATTCAGATATACTATGCAGGAGATATTAACAAGGCCTCACAGTGTCTCATTTATATAGATCTGAAAGATGACTGAAGTGTTACAAAGATCAAAAGGTAAAACAAGATATTCAAAATTATCATACTTAGTATGAAAAGCTGTTTTTCAAATGTTATCTTTGTTAATTTTGATTCTATGATAGACATCTTGTATATCAATCTTTGAGAATATCTTCACTTCAGATAATTGATCAATCATCTCATTAATCAATAATAGTGAATAGTGATTCTTAACTGTTATCTTATTAAGGCCTCTGTAGTCTACATATAGACATAGTCTATCATTCTTCTTAAGCACAAAGAGTATAGATGTCTCTGTCAGACTCTTTAATAAATATATTCAGTTCTTTGATTGTGCTTCTTCAAGATATTTGCACAGAACATTTAACTTCTTTATAGATAAGTTGTAAAGAGGCCTGTACAGTGCTGTTGCACTGTCTTTAAGATGAATCTTATATCATATCTTGATATCAGAAAACTTTGCTACTTCTCTTTCTGAAAAGATATTCTTAAAATCTGTAAAGAGATGTTGTGTATATTCATCTTCAATGACAGATACTGCTGCTAATCTTGCAGTGAGAGTGATGACTTCTTCATCTATTCTCAAGTCTCAATCATCTGCTATACAGTATATTAACTTAATCTTTTTCTCAAGATTCTTCTGATGAAACTCTTTAGATTTCTCTATCACTGTCTCTTCATTAGTGAGATGATATCATCACATCTGAGTGACTCAGTCAATGAGAGAATTGTTTTCTCTCAATCATAGAAGATCTAGAATAACATTCTTATCTATAATATTAACTATGTGAAGAAGCAGACTGCTCTTCTTAAAGATTCTCTCTAAGTCTGTGACTATATACTTTGCTTGAATTATGCTAAAACAGTGATATTTTATTTCATCTATAAATTTCACATGATCTGACAGATCTATCTTCTTTCAATTCTTCATTAAAGAAAAGAAATAGAATATGAAGTTAGTATCTGCTCTGAAGTTAAGTAGACATCTCACTAATATCTCTTTATTCAGAGTATGCATTGTAATCATAACATGAACTCAGAGATGTGAGAATTGTCAATTCTTTTCTTTCTCTTCTTTATCTTCCGCGGATACATTTATCAGAAGAGGAGTCAACTTTGAGAAGATATCTTCTCAGTTTCTTCTCTTCTTCAGCTTCTTGTAATCACTGATATAGTGATTATCAGCTCTGCAGTTAAAACAGAGATCTTTATCAAATCTTTTTTAATATTTCTTCACAGTGAGTGAAGAATCAGAATACTTGAAATTCTTCTTTACTTTCTCTACACTGAAGCTATTATAACACTGTTTAGATTCTATCATTAATTACTTAGAAGAGATCTTGTTAATCTTTTTCTCAGAGAATTGATTATTCAAATAGATTCAGAAAGTCAGATTAACAAGCTCAGTGTAATTAGTTAATAAACTCTGATATTGTGATATTATTATTTATATCTTGTGAGTCAGCTTCATAAGATAAAGCTATATTTTTAATTAATTCAAATCATCAGTCAATTTCTCTCAATATTCTTCAAATCTTACATTGAAATTGAAAGAATTCTCATCATCTCATTAATATAATGAGTTGAACTGCTGTGCTGCTATAAAGCTGCAGTTACAGTGATCTTCAATTTAATTCAGTAGAAAGTTCTTGAATTCTTCTTAAGTTATAGCAGTATTGATACACTCAAGCTCTCTCTTCTTGATAACTCAAGTAGTCACAGAGATGCCTTCAAGAAGGTTGACAGTGTATATTACTCATATCTTGTGAGTATTATACTGGCTTGAATTAAGATGAAATTTCTGTTCAAGAGTATAAGTAAAGCTGTGGAATTCAGATAAGATGTTTCTCTTGTATCTCAGAGAATCTCTGATCTTAATCTCTCTATCTTCATAATAGATGTAGATATGTAGAAGCTGTAGCAGTGGCAGAGCAGTTGAAGAGCTCATGTCAAAATGCACAGTGATTTCAGAAATCTCAGATTTCTGCCAGAGTAGAGATGTACACACTTTAGAAGATGATATAGTGTTTCTCTCAGAGAATGAGATCAGATCAGTCCCAGTATAAGTGTATGAGATTATATCAGTCTGTTAGAGCTTGACTGATTCAAACATATAATCAGATCAAGTAATTTGAATTATAATATGATAGAACTGAAGTGATGACTAGTCAGCAGTGATATGTAGAGATAGTTATTTAAGAAGCTGTATAAGTGAGCTTGACTATCTTACTTAAATAGTGAGCTCATAGACTACAGAGTTATTGTGAGAATATCACAGATATAATACTTAGTATACTAAGAAGATTGTATAAGACATGCAGTAACTCTTGTGTATATTTCAGTAGCAGTAAAATGAATCACTGACTTCTTTGATAAGGAGTCAGTATCTAGCTATTCTATATAGACAATGAGCAGATACCCTCCTCTCATTTCATAAGCAAGAATAGTCAGAGTGATACCTCAGCAGTGTCTCATTGCCAAGGAAGAGTAATCTGCTGACCTTGTATAGAAGCGGGGTTCTCATATTCATCAATCAGATCTTTCTATGATACATCCACATGATGTCATAGAGTGGTTGGAAACCGGTTCGGACGGCCTGCGGGATGGATGGAATCATCCGCATGGAAGCGATGAGCCGTGTGAAACCGCAACGGGGCCTTGGCGCGGCCGGGAGCGTGACAGATTCTCAAGAATGAATAATGTGTCAAAAGCCTGTGTTCACTGCTTATAAAATCAGTCTCTTGATTAATTCATTTCTTTACAGTATTCTACTACTTCTACAGCTGTCTGTCTTCAATACTACACTCAGAGAACTCAGATATTATAATCTTCTCTTATTATATCTTTTCTATCACTGTGTAAGAATAAGTGCTCACAGATAATTATTCAGATATTTGTAGCTTGATGTGATATATACTGTTAAGTTTTAACTACTAGAAGTATTCATGATAGAAAGATAAAATATAGAAATCAAATGTATAGTAGTATTTAAGCTGAGTTATAAGTAGTATTTATGAACTTCAGTCTATATAGTTGTGTGTAGTCAAGAACTACTAACTCTATTAATTATATAAGAGATAGAAATAGAGATAAAGATAAAGAATTCATAAGAAGTGAAATTTCTTATACACTGATTATCTCTTTATACTGTGTAGAACTGTAAATAAATATATACAGTAAAATCAAATTCTTCTATAGTTATAGATTCTATAATAAATGAGTCTGAACTCTCTCTATTATTCTAGATATATTAATACTTTATATAATTAACAGTAGTCTTTTAAGTCTGTGTAAGAATAAGTACTTACAGATAATTATTCAGATATTTACAGCTTGATATAATATATACTATTAACTACTAAAAGTATTCATAATAGAAAGATAAAATATAGAAGTTAAATATATAATAGTATTTAAGCTGAGTTATAAATAGTATTTATGAACTTCAGTTTATATAGTTATATATAGTCAAGAGCTGCTAACTCTATTAATTATATAAGAGATAGAAAATAAAGATAAAGAATCTATAAGAAGTGAAATTTCTTATAATCTGTGAATAGTCTATTAAAATAGATATATTATCTAAGATTAAGTTTTATTACTATGAGATTTATAGTTCTGATATATCTTTATTAATAGTAGTCTGTAAAAAGAAAACTATTATTCAAAGAGCTTACTGTATTATTAAATATTATAGAGAATATCTCTTATTAACTTCATTCTTAACTTAATTAAGAAAACAGCTGTAGTTATTATCTTTAATAATTAATTTATCTCTCAGTTCTATAGATCTCTCTTCAGTCTTTTATTAATTATCTATATCATTATTTAACTCATTCTTAAGTTAATCTTATTTCATCTTTAGAGATATACTTTTAAGTTTCACTGCAGTTACAGTTCTATCTCTTTTATTAATAAGCTGTAAAATCAATCTTGCAGAGTCTTCTGTTTTGAGCTTAGCTCTGCAATGTCTTTGTACACAGAGGCTCGTGTGCATTAAGATATTTTATAGGTAAAGCTTGGCGGTATAACTACTCCGTATCTGGGAAATGAATGAACAATGCCCACCACCGCTGGGGACTGGGGCCTGATCCTGGAATTTTCATAAATTGTGATGGGTTGTTGAGCAATTCCCTAGATAAATCGAAGTACCTGAGTCACATAACTCTTTCCTCTACCAGGAGCCACCGCAAAGGATCGGAAACATGGGCAGGACCCCTTCTTTGAGCCCCCTGTTTTGAGTCTCGCCTGGGTTCAACTGTCCAGCTCTACTTGTGGGCGATGCAGAGAGGGAAACTGTTCAGGGTTGTGTGGTGGCTTCCCCTTGGTTCAATCCAGGATAACTAGAGAAGTATAAGGTCAAGTGCACACTAAATAATGCCCAAATAGCACCAAGCTAATCTTCGCGATCTTCGCTGATACTCTAGAGCCAGGCTGATATTAGTCTTCAAGTCAACGACAGTGTGAGAATTGTTCGATATGGAATCTTCACTGCAGGAACTAAACAATATTTAGTAGAAAGGAAGCCGGAAAATGAGTTTCTCATTGCAACCTTAAGGCGAAGTATCCATTGCCATCTATTCTCGCTGGTCATTTTTCGCTGCCTATCTATAGATATTCAAAAATGTGACACATCATCTCGTGAGGGAAGGCAGGGATCTCTCAGTCCATCAGCCGGGAATTAATCCGCCGAAGATGCCATCAAATACTTCTTCCCTATCCAAAAGAGCCCAGGGAAGGGTCCACACCACCACAAAGTCACATTACCAAAATGGCACCGAGCGGATGGTTCACCCTCCATCCAGTCACAGTCCAGAACTTACCCCTGTTATTTCACACCACCCTCCCTCCTGACACTTTATTATTCTTCTCCATTCAAACTGCCCACCAATTGTGGGTCTGTCCAAAGAGCTTAAATAGCGGGAAGGGGGGAAAGCGGACAAAGATTCCTGGCTCCTCCGGGCCGGCAAACCTACGCGACAAACCCCTCCTCTATCTCGCTAGGTTTAAACATGGAATGTTTGAACATGAGCATGAACATCATAAAACGGAAATGAGGGGTATGATCTGTGTGATGGGGGAGGCATTAGTTTCATTTACCGCTCATGACGAAAAATCCAGACCATTTTAAATTATTCTTGCCATATCTACGACTCGTAAGGGAAAGTTTGCGCTCACCTTATCATAGGCATGCACTGTACTGATTTTGTACGGCTCTCCCATCCTCCCCGAAAACCTTGCACACCTTTGGACCCAGGTTGATGGCGCCAACCCCACTGTCAAAAATTTACCAGGATCTGTTTCCCCGGCCTAGCTTCATTATCGTCACGCGAAAAGTGAAAGATGGCTTCGGGCAGAAATATGGATAAACTACGGAGTACTCCGTAAGCTTATCCTTTCCCTGTCGTTTTCGCACCGTTTCTCTTGAGAATACTCTCGCTCGTCTGCGCCGCTGGTACGGCTGCGACAATAGTCCTGCATACTTACATGATGGTTCAGCAAGGCATTCATCACATTTAATCCGAAGTCACCGTTCCTGTCAATGCTCAACACGTGTCAAATCGGAGCGAGCAAAGGGAGAAAAACAATTCCAACTTGCAGGAACATTTTGGTACTAAAGGGCGGTGTATGCACTGCGCCACATTGCTGTGGCTGATAAAATTTCTCTTCTGTGACACGTGATATCTGAGATTGCTGCGCTGGCCAAAGGGGGAAAGAAAATCAGTAATTCATTTTAGTTTTGAATGGCGTAAAGACGGCCGCGCGAGACACCCAAGGAGCCATATAGGTGGTGTCTGTTGCACGACTTGGTGCTAGATAAAAGGCAAATAAATCATCGGGAGAAGCAGAGTGAAATTAAATTTGGAAAAGCCCCTTTTGAAACCCTTTTTATCAACAATGGGATTAGAATGAAGAAAAAGAGCAAGCTTCCTAGCGTAAACATCCCGCAAAGGATAAATAAACAACGAAAAAAAGTAAACCGAATGTAAAACCTCAAAAAGGTCAATAACACCGATGTGACTATTGTTAAGGGAGAAAGCACGGGAAATGATGATGATAATACAAAACTATTGAAACACCTCCGGAAAATAGCGTTATTTGCAAATCCCTTCCCGTCATTTTCCAACCTTGGTCTTCTTCTTCGGTCTGTCGTCGTCATCGACCTCGACCTCGACGTCCCTGGTGTCGTCGGCATCATCCATCTCAACATCACTTCCGCTGCCACTGCTCTCATGCGCAGAGTCGTATTCCTCCGCAACATCGGATTCGGACTCTGCTTGGAAGTCTTCGTCTACAGATTCTTCGTCTTCGTCGGCCGAGCCACGATCATTCCCGATGGCTACATCCTCGTCACTGGAACCATCGTCGTTGTTCAGAGCGGCGGCAAGAAGCGCAGATGACTGCGATGAAGAGTTAGCATACCATTGTATAACATAGTAGATGGGGAATCTGAGCAGGGGAATAGCTGACATCATCGGCCATCTCGTTCTTAAATCTTATATTCTTCGCCTTGAAAAATTCTTCCAATGGTTGTTGTTCCTCACTGTATCATCGTCAGTAGGATTTCAGTAATTAACTTGCTCTAACAGGGGGTTGAGTTGCGGAAGAGTTATACCGATTGATATTGCTAAACTGATGTTCTCCCATTCCACCTTTAAGGGTCATCGTGATATCAAAGGTCCGACTAGCAGAGATAGCACCACCGACACGAGACATGGTGATTACGGATATATTCTCGATTTGGACGTACGTCGCGGGTTTGGGTACGAACATGAAGCTTTTGTCTAAACAAAATAGAAGGCCTTCGTTTGCTTTGATGGAGCATTTGACGCCGGAGTGTCCGTGGTGACTATATTTTGGGTCAGTAATTTTCGATCGAAGATGTCCATTGGGTGATTGGGTATGATCGGAATTTGGGCCTGAGTTTTTATTGCGAGATTCAGAAAGGGATTGAGATAAACCAGTTGCTGACCTGACGAAATCTCTTGAAGGCATCACGACCTTTTTCCCGGAAAGACCGCGAAATACTTTCGTTACAACCTGATGAATGGGTTCCTCGTAATGGGCCTCCAACTTGTCCTTGTAGCGGGTTTGAAGTAACTCACTGCCGCAAATTTATTAGTGAAGCCGCGGAATTGCTGTGATAAAGAAAGTAACATACTCAGTCATGTTAAGATCGATGCTAATCTCATCATCAAGTTTCAACTGCATAACTAGGAATGGATATCGGGTTTGGCCTTGTCGGAGTGGAGGGTCCAAGCCAAGAGTAATCAACGTATGGGTATCATCATTCTTCGGTAATAGGAAGAACTTCTTGATCGATTGGTACTGGATCTTATAGTCGTATGTTTTGCCACGTAATCTGAATGAACTTTCGTACATATCAATGTCGAAGCGGCCTCTGTGAGGATGTCAGTAAGTAGGTTATTGTAGGAAAGCTTTGAGAAGGAAAAATTCTGACCTTGGTGTAAGATGTAGCACATCCAGGAAGGTAGCAAAAGTATCACCAGCGACATCCCCAATCTCGGCCTTATCCATTAGAGTTTCATAGAACAAGTTTGCCGCATTCTGCTCCTCAGCTTCTTCACCATCAACGCTTTCATCATCTTCCTCTCCCTCCGGCTTCTCTTTTTTAAGCGCTGTGCCGGGAATGTAAAATCTCATCTCCACCAATTCGTCACGGCCAGCACCAGCCTTTCTTCCTCTGTTTTTAGTGCCGCCCTCTGACTGTCCGGTTGTTCCATTAACACCATCGGTTGGAAGTGAAAATTCGACTGCAACCTCGTTCTTGCCCGCAAGATTTGTATTTGATATTTCTGAATAAGGGATTTCGAAGGCTGGTCGGTTCTGAACATTGAATGCGAGTTCTGCTTTTGTGAATTCTGCTTTCCCCCAGTTCCATCCTCGAAGCGCATGTTCTCGGTTTTCAAGGTTGATACCATACCAGATCTTGAAAGCCTTACTCGTTCGTTCAAAATCCTAAAGTACCGTAAATGTCAGTCTCATAAAAGCAAACGAGGATAATAGAGTGCACATTTTAATTTCGTACCTCTTGTTCAAATCCATCAAGCTGAATAACTCCTGAAGAACGGGATAGAATCTTTAGCTCATACCCCTTGGCAGCCCGACTCCATTGCGCTGCGCCGATATTGCTGCTATCAAGAGTGAACGTGTCGCCGCCTCCTGATGGTCGCCAACCCAGGCCACTCTCTGCAAGCTTACATTTGCCTGGCTGTTTCGATAAGTCAAGGTATATGTTCTCAAAGCTCTCCCTATTATGAAGTCAGTCAATGAATGCTGTAACGGGCATTCTGGGGGCAAGCCAAACTGACATGATGGGAGTATGGGATGAAAGTCAAGATCTCAGTTACGGGTTGGCTAAAAAGAAGAGGAGTCTAAAGTCAATAAAACCTTCAAAGGTATTTGATGATGAATGGATGGACAGAAGCTGAGAGTGAAAACTATTTGGTTGTCTCCCCACTAGCTTGAGCAATCGCGTGAAGACCACTTAAGAAAGTTTCGCGCCCGAGGAGGTTTATTACGGCAGACGATAGGAGCTAAAAACGTTATTTGCCATCAAAGCTGTGACCGAACAAAAGCACTTAAATATTTTGTGTTTTCTTTCTTTTTCTTTTTCTTTTTTTTCCTTTTATTTTTTACTATCTGGTATCCTTTCACCATCAGTCGACCAAGTAGAGATCTCAAGATGTATATCCTGAGATGACCGGAGAAGGAGATGTCAGGTTAAAATTTAGGATGAGGCTTGTATTTATCAGGATTTTGTCTCATAGTCGGAGAGTATTATCACAAAGACTGCCCGTACTCACAAAATGTAGAATATCCGCCGTGTTATTCCTGTTTTACTCCCATAAAAGTATACAGATTGCTGCTCACAGCACACTTAACAATCATGCCTGTGGTGCTCACCAGAAGTTATCATATCACAATACAAACTCTTTGTCAATGCAACGGCCACGCGAACATATGCGTAGATTGGCGGTGACAAACTTGGCAACATAAACCTGATCTCGTCCAACTGTGAAGCTAACATACATGCTTAAAATGACGGCTTCGGCGGGAAATGGCCTATTCCGGGCCGTCCAGGGCCTCAATTTGTCAGTACAGGACAATTCCAAGGCCTCTCAAAGCCTACCATGGAGGAGAGCTGTTCAGAGCGATTTGAATGCAACTTCAATATGCAAGCACTAAGATCACCTCTGTTGGCAAGTGCAAATGTCGCACCTGTTTGACTTGGGAATTCTCACCGATATAGTGGGTGTGGGAGTTTCCAGATTTCCACCGCCAAAGCGAAGGTCTGATGTTAGGTGGCCGCATTCTTAATGGCAACGCTGCAAGGTATTGAAAATATCAGGACTATGTACACCGTCTAGTCCACCATCAATATATCAATGAAAATGCGATCCAGATTGTTCAGTCTGCACGCGATCCTCCAAATCACGATGTTGGCTTGAACCCGGTTGGCGACAGGCGTGGTCAAGGCAGGATCTGTGAACTCAGAATTTGCGCATAAATCGGATGTTACTGTTGATTGTGATACTGGGCTGGCCCTGTTTAGATTTGAATCATGTTGCTTATTTTTGTTTTCTAATATGAAGTACTACGGAGTGTCAACTGGTAAACGAGGCCCTTATTAGTAAATCCCATTTTTCATTTTGGTTTCTGGCATTTAGCAATTGTTTCTCTGGTCAATCATCACAGGGTGAAGCACACTTGAGTACATAGCTTATGAAAGATACTGGAAGCAGAAGCTCAGTAAATGATCATGAAAAATGTAATTTAGAAGGCTAAGTACAAAATCAATACTTATACTGCTCCAATCTGCAGCACATATTCACTGAAAGCAGCGAACTCAGGCTCATACACAGTTAAAAATTTGAGAATCCAAACATTGCGCCATTCGGCCCATTCCCCCATATAGTCTGATGTGTATAAGGCCTTGCAATACTCCCCCAGCATGAGCCCAATCAACTACAGCAAGGACACGTGGGCGACCAGCTAGTGAAATTAGAATATTACTCCAATGCAAGTCTCCATGAGTCAACCTGATGGCCCCATCATCTGGTAGGTAGTCTTGATAAGGACCCCGATATCTCTTCGAATCAGGAAGCCAGCTTTGGGGCAGAGAAGAAAACCAGTCATTGAATGCTTTCACATTTTTAAAAGGTCCTGATTGAGGGATGGTTGCAAAGACATAATTGTGCAAATGTGCACAATTTATGAATCCTACATCTCAGTAAATGACTCTGCTGATAGACATTGTGGGATACATGCATACCAATAAATGAGTCATAAGAATCTGGCTCAATTTGCTGAAGGGAAGAAATAATCTCCTGTAACTGGCCACAAATAAAGTTCCTATCTGGCTCATTGTCCCATTGATCATGTAGTGTGTCTCCCTAAATAAGCTCCATATAAATGAACACAGAGTTTTGATAAACTCTTCAACCATACACCTCTGGGACAGGTATCTTCTCAAGTAAAAGAGGTTTGAAGCATGTGGAGAGTTAGGGCTTCTTCAACTGTCACAGACAGCCCAAACTTGACAAGAAGATTTAGATGTTCAAATTTAACTGGTGCAGGCTGTGGATGTTTGTTGAACTGTTCTGAGAGGGAGACAACCTCTGCAGCAGTTGGCAAGCTCTTATTGACCTGCTTTGATGAAGAAGAGGGAGTTGAGGAAGTCCATCTCTGTTTGCATTGCATTCAGAGTTGCTGACAGTTGAATTTGCTGTTTAATGAGCATCTTGTTATGAATTGTCTCAGGTTGTTGATACCAAGAATTACAGAAACCGAGAGAGTTGTGGCCTGCTTAGGTTGGTGTTCAAAGGAAGCAAGTGGGCTCCAAGGCTCATAATGTACTTGTCGGAGATATTAAGTTACCAATGACCTTCAAACTTCTATAATTCAAAGGACCAGGATTCAAATCAAGGACATCCTCTATATGTGCTTTACTCCGTACAGTAATGAGCTATTAGGCTTCTAAAAAATCACAAACGAAAGTACTTACCATCAAAGGGCGTCTCTCGGTGATGCCAGTATAAAATATGCGCTCAAGGCGCTATGCAGAAGCCACAATACTCGAATGCTCAGGCAGTGAAATTTACAAGAAGTAATATCTTGATAGCATGGAAAGCGATTTGATATTCAGGAACTAGAGCTAAGCGCAACTCTTCTCGTATTTACTAAATTGAATAAATTCCTCCTTTTTAAAACTACATGGACCGTATAACTAATACTCAACTCGTTGACTACTGGAAAATGGAAATTGGCCTATCGTTATCCGGGTGGGGTGAGTCCTTCTTTTTTTCGCCTCCGACGTCATTGTTTTTGTCGACGCTCTGGTGGTTGGTGCGCTTCCAACCTGCTTTCCACAAGCGAGTCAGACACACAAGCAAGTTGGACAAGTTCCCACTCATCATACAGTGAGAAAGTCTTTCAAAGTCTCAATTACCAGTAAAAATTAACAAATTTATATTATCAATTATTTTCTATATATTTAGAGTATGTACAGACAGTATATTCAATAATATTATATACACTACACTGTAATACTATGTGATTTTATAATTGAGAGTCAGTGATTTTAAACATCTCTCTTTCTCATTTATTAATATTTTATATGTAATTCAAGTTCTTTTTAATTCTCAACCCTTTTTTTTAAATTATATATATACAGTTTTTTTCTCATTTTCTTTTTTATTTTCTTTTTACAGTTTTTAACTCTCTGTTCAGTTATTAGAATAGCAGTACTATTATTTAATATTAATTAATTAATTAATTTAAAATATAATTGATTAAATTGAGTGAATTCTGTGTATAGCATTTAATATATTGGAAAATGCTGTAATGTTGTTTGATACTAGTGCCCAACAAACCATCATTTCATCGGACGTATTGTCTCCAGGATTTCGCGATTATCTCGAAATCGATCCCGTACACGATCCTTATCGGCTGGAAGGGGGATGTCGGGTGTAGCTTATCGCTAACGTTGAGTTTACGAATACTTACATCCACCTTTGCACTGTTGCTCTGGTCGTTAACAGAAGTACTATCCCAATTCTCGGTCAGGAATAATCTTTGGCCAGAAGGGCTGCCTAGATTCCATCTGTTTTAGGAGCGTGCCAGCAAAATTTTTGCAGGCTCAGGATGATGACGCTTGGGGGGATATAACTGTGGGCAGATACATCGATCCTGATGGGGAAAGAGCAATGTGTTAGACCAAGGGAGGTGTCCAAGGAGTGTTCTGGTGGTGTGTGAGGTTTCGCTTTACGTGAAGTGGTCCCCTGTTGCCTGTGTCTGTTTCCCTGTGCCTGGAGCTTCCATTCCCATTCAAGTGATTCCCTGCTGCCTGTTTTCTATGACTGTTACTTCTGAGATGCAATCAAATCCCCAACTGTTGTGTTTGTTTCGTACCCTTGTTACCGAGGTCTGGAGAATTCACGCGTTTCTTTTTCATAGCCAGCCATGTATTTATACCAGCTATCCTGTGGAAAAGCCTTGTTGTCTGTGCGGTTCGAGTCGTATCGTACCCGGCTGGATGCAAGAGTCTCGGTACGGTGTCGACCGGAAGTTGTCACAATGCTGCTACGTTGACGGGCCGTGGCTCGGAGCTGCTGGGCAGTTGAACGTATCAGTATCGAACAGACAAGTAACTGATGAATGTGCTAAATGGCCACAATACGGATGCAAGCGATATCAAAGTAAATCGTTAGGGGGTTGAACATACCGTCTTTGGGTGATGGAGCATTGCAATGCTGAAGTCCCAGAGGAGCAGCTGAGACTTTTCCATGCAGGGAAGCATGTGGTCTGGTAGGCTGAACTGTTTCAATTCCCTGTAATCTTATTGCTGATGCCGCCTTGATCATTCTCTCCTTTCCGTGTAGAAAGTCCATTGCTGCTAATCTAATAACGGAGATCTGGCAGAAAGACACAGAAGCCCGATTGGTGTTGAAACTATATTCTTTTGTGAAGTAGATGTTATCATCACTTGGTCGTTTACACATCAGATCGCGGGAGACATCACTGTCTTTGATTTCAGGAGACAGAGCCAGGTCATCCTCCACTGAAGACGAGAGAATGGTGTTAGAGTGAAAAGTGGCATACTGATTGAACCGCACCCCCCCATCTTGCAAGCACTATTATGGCCTGTTCGGTGATTTTTTCCGTACAGTGCCAGGGCCGTACAGAAAGTGGATATTTAACTTCTGACAGTGTTAACCTTCATTATTGCCATCTTTCCTTATATGAAGAGTAGTCTGCTTGGTGTTTTGATATTACTTCCTTATGAATGGTTTTTTATGATGATGACTATCATGCCATTCCAGCAGATATATAGCAGTTTGAAAATCCTGTTATATTACTATCTTTACACACCAAATATCAGTGAAAAATGGATATTAATAAGTCTCAAATTGATCACTTCTTCAGCAGCAAGCCTTATTAACTGCTGTCTATGACATAGATACTGTCATATTGCCTTCCAGGTTGCATTATCACAGTTGCTCACCATGGTTGTTGATTTTTGATGATATTTGCAGGTCTCTGGATGCTGTACTCCATACGGCCACACTGGAACATGTCAGCAAATATCATGACTCATTCCAGTGTATACAGTACAGATTTAACTTGAATAGGTTTAGATCTATCACTTTTTCAACTATAACCGTTGAACTCTATAATATGAATCTGACTGTCAGCTTGGCATGCTTGGCGAGTTGTACAGAGTTAAGTTATACACAGAATCTACTGAACAGAAGGCCTTATCCGGCCAGGTTAGTGTGTATAACCGCTGTCCAGGGCCGTACAAGCTGGCACTGTACGGACTTATACGGCCCCCCACGGGGTCACCGAACAGGTCCTTACAGGTTAGTGTCAGGTGAATGGTGGACTCTCATTGGTTGGTTAACCCGGCTGGGTACCTGAGCCCGATCGTTGAGAAAACTCTGCGCTGACATCATGTGCCGCGCTTTGATGGTCACCGACATCAAAAATCCCAACCCACGCCCCTCGATTTTCTTTCTTACTATGCCCCCTCTTATAATGCCCCTCTTCCCCGCGCTGCTACGAAATCCAGTTTCTCCTTTCCTAGACTCAGTCCTTCATCCGTCTCAAATAAATGTTTCAACGGCATCACCTATCGAAACTACTAGATATTCAGCCCCGTTGCGCAAGCGCCATTACAAGTACACAAACCATTACCGCCAACCCCAGCCTTCACTCTCGTCATAATTGTCACTCTGGCAAACCCAGCTCAGCCCTAATTTACCCCTGTACAACCAACCAGACAATAAGCCACATGGCCCCTACCGACGTCTCCAAATACCTCAAGCAATCCCACCAGCGCGTCTTCGAAAACAACAGGAAATGGGCAGCGGAAAAAGCCGCGAAAGATCCGCACTTCTTTGAGAAGCTCCAGAATGGCCAGAATCCAGATTATCTATGGATCGGCTGCAGCGACAGCCGCATTCCCGCCGAGCAAATCACGGGGCTAGACCCCGGTGAAGCCTTCATCCATCGCAACATTGCTAATTTGGTCTGCAACACGGATCTGAACGTGATGAGCGTGATCAACTATGCGGTGCGCCACCTCCGCGTCAAACACATCATTGTCTGCGGACATTATGGATGCGGTGGGGTCAAAGCGGCTTTGACCCCCGCGGATCTGGGTCTGCTGAATCCCTGGCTGCGGAATATTCGTGACGTCTACAGGCTCCATGAGACGGAGCTGGATGCGCTTGAAGGGAGCGCACGCTGTGATAGGCTTGTGGAGCTGAATGTGATTGAGCAGTGCCGCAACATCATTAAGACGGCAGCTGTGCAGAAGAGCTTTGAGGAAAACGGGTATCCTATTGTGCATGGTTGGGTGTTTAATTTTAAGGATGGCCTGTTGACGGATCTGAAAATTGATTTCGAGAATGTGCTGGCTGGGATCCAGAAGATTTACAACTTGACGGATGGAAAGTGAGGTATGAAGAAGAAAGGGCTTAGATACCTAGGTAGATAACAACATTATGTACGGTTTGGACAAATGATTGTCCATCATCACACTCCAACTCGCTCGCTCTGCCCGTTCCCTTCTTACGATCCGACTAGAAAAGATCCTAGTTATTATATTGAAGGATACGGGCGCGCAACAGACGGATATTCCATAATATCTGTTGATCTGAAAGCGAGTTGGGCTCGGGATATGGAGTGTGAAGTCCAATAAATAGTAGCACTCAGAGTGAAGTTTGTGTTAGTGCGCCAAGAACTCGCGACACTGATGGGGCAAGCTTGAAGCCAATTCCTTGTAAGCTTCAAGCTTGTGCCGATGCCCTCAGTCCGCCACACTCGGCATAGATGCGCGTTTCGCTATTTGAAATAACACATCGATCGTCAGCCTAGAACTAAATGATACCAGGGTTGATCATCCGGGCATCCAGTAGGGCTGATCTAAAATGGGGATGGGTTAAGGTGTAGAGAGATGGCTATTTTCCCGCCCATTCGCTGCACATAAACCCTACGATTCAGCGTCATAGGAGTTATAGGAATGGTGCACGAAACGAATCGGACACGTTTCAACCTAGCAGCCATAATTGCTGAGTAGCCACGGAGAAAAAAAGTTCCCTTTCTTTCGTGGTTTCTCCTCTTCTTGCTCTTCTTTAGTACTTTTTCATTTTTTGTTCTTTCACTGAATGTAATGTATGTACAGTACATTACATTTCTTCTCCTGAGCATGTGTATGTGAGAAGCCGACTGTTGAGTTCTCTTTACTCGAGGGCTTGATCAATATCTAGTCTCCGAGACAATTCGGGCCAGTCAGCTTTCCACGCGTGTCCTGGATTACAAGCTCATCGACGAAGCCCAATCAGGGAACGTAGGATATTTTTAGCGTATTTGTAAGAGCGATTGAGGCGTCTCAAGCCGCAAGCACTGGGACCGTACCATATTAACGTGCAACCGAGCACGCCCTAAGCAACTAGTTATTTGGGAGGGGTAAAATACGTTGTGTGTAACTCTATTCATGAGTTGGGACTCTCTTTTTCTTATACATTTTGGCCAAAGCAATATAAAAGCGCATCAAGTAATCTGCAAAGAGCGAGTCTGTTGCTGTAAACATCCGTACATTACACGAAGAAGTTCAAAGCCACATGGAGATTCAGTCTCCAGCCAAGTCATGTCCATGGGTTCATTTCAATTGCTCCGTTGCATTTTTCGGTTATTAACAAGGAGAGTATAAAAAGCTATGGGAGGCGCAGCAGGGTCAGGAGAATATAACTTGAAATTCAACGGTTTCAGATTGGCGTGGATGAAAACGAAGAACATAGAGTTTTACTCTCCGATCGTTGTTTTCTCCGTACTATGCTCACCCGTAATATTGTTATCTGGTTACACCGTGACCACGGCTCATTTCGTTGTACCTGCCTTCTCACCCTGTTTGGGACTAGTGCAACCCAATTTCGTGGCGCATAATTATTGATCCGAACTAGAACAGGAATAGCGCCCAATTCATTTGCTTGCAAGGTTTCCCATCTGTGCAGTTCAGGCACATTTTGTTCAGATCCAGCCAATCATAGGCCGTGATATCCAGGAACGAGCAACATGAAGCCTTGGAAACTCAGCCGCGACTGACTCAGCAGCGTCTTGCGGGAGGATAGGATAGTTAGCCCCTTTGCAACACTTCTCAGGCAGTGCAATTTCCTCCTACTTCGCTCTTCCTCACCCCCGTCCACTCCTTTACACCAGCAGTATCACTCGCTTTTTCTTTCTTTTTTGTTCGACAAGGGTGTGAGGATATCTAGTTGATGGGGGTTTTGAATCTCGTTTTGTTTCTCATCATACACTCTTTTGAGAAGCATTCCATATTGTATATACCTCATTACTCTCCTTCTTGGATCCCCAAGTCCTTTTCTTGGCTTTGGATTGACGATTCCTACCTCATCTACTTCTATCTTTGTAGGTAGGGCAGTGTCAGTGTTGCTGTTGGTGGAGCGGTGGAGCGATGAGGGCCTCCTCACTGTTCGAGCCAGTGACGGGGAGCGTTGTCTCTTCCCTCTGTCGTTCCGCGTTTTTCGCCCTCTCGCTCCTACCCTCTACGATCTATGCTACCCGATTCACCCCCGTTGCTTTGCCGGATCTTGATATTGGCCCCTTGGGTCGAGTTGCTTTGGCCGGCAGCTTTGATGCCATATCGCTCTTCCAGTATGAGGAACAGAGGCCGAAACCTACCCTGCCTAATGGATCCCGATCCACCCTCCTCACCACGTTACCAAACGGTGCTCTAGCCTCACTCGCCTCGGCCGACGCCGATATATTGTCACTCTGCCCATTGATGGCAGATGATGGCACGATTACTAGTGTCGTTGTTGGAGGGAGCTTCACGAGTTTGAGTGGGATCAAATCTCACGGAATTGCCCTTTTCGACCCAAATGCCAATAAGGTTACACCAATTCCTGGTCTCCCGGGACAGGTCCTCGCCCTACTATGTGATAAGGAAAGTGGAAATGTATATGTTGGGGGAGATTTTAAGAAATCAGAATCCCATAATGCTATTCTGTGGTCGCCAAAATCTGGGTTTTCCCCGCTTCCTTTCGCTGGCTTCAACGGGGTTGTAACGTCTATCACCAAAACTTCGGAAGGCCGCGTTGTATTTGGAGGTTCATTTGACGGCTTGGGAAACATGACAACACCATCTCTGAATGACCAACAAGTTGTGAACCTCGAAACCGCATCAATTACTTCTGGGTCTAGTACAACAAGGACCCCGTTTAGTAATCCTCGGAATGCAATCTGTAAACAGGCCGGGAAGGAAGGTGCTGCTAATCCATGGCTACTTGCAGATAACGCCCCGGGGTTTTGGCGTGCGGAGATGAGATTTGGATTCCGGCCAACAAAACTAAGGATACGCAATGCACGTTTAGAAGGGCGAGGTACAAAAACATTCCGCTTTACAACAGTGCCTGACAATGGAATACTGAACATGACCTACACCGATCCCGCCACTGGTAATGTTATGGCTTGTGATGCTAGATGTCCGCTTTCAGACGATCCCTCGGAGGATTTTCGCGATTTCAAATTCGTTAATGTAGTTGGCATGAACGGTTTCCAGCTCGATATTTCTGACTGGTATGGTGCAGGTGGAGGCTTTGATAGTGTGGAACTTTTTCAGGATGGTATGCTATCTTCAAGATGCTTGTGTAATCAATGCCAAGTTAACGTTGCTTTAGATATTTATACTCATGCCATCGACGATTTCAACGAGCCCACATGTGCTGGAATCACTACCCGATCCAGAGCGAGCCCGACAGGAAGCTGGGCGGTTACGCCATCTCTTCAGAGCTCGTCCGACTATTTAACAGCCAAGGTTGCATCGACAGATCAGACCTCGACATCAGTGACCTTCGAGGCAGACTTGAAGGAATCAGGAAACTATTCAGTGACTGTTTTCACTCCTGGATGTGTTGCTGATAATACCTGCGACTCCCGTGGAACCGTGACTGTTACCGCGACCTTCTCATCCAATGGCAACCAGCAGATTGAGAGCTCGATAGCCCAGACGAACAATTTTGACAAATATGATGAAATATATCTTGGCTTTGTTGATGCCAGTAGCAGCAACTTTCAAGCATCCGTGACGCTGACACCAAAAGCTGGTCAAGAAGATATTACTGTTGTTGCCTCTCGCATTCGATTCCAACTCATATCATCAACTGGAGGACTCAATGGCCTGTTTGAATTTGATCCGAGCCATGAAAAAATTAATTCCGACTTTTCCAAATCCGGCCTAAATAAAGCGGGAACTGATCTCGAACCCGATGCAGCAATAAAAACCCTAGCTAGCGATAATGATACTATTTTTGTCGGCGGAGACTTCTCCAGCCCCACATTCAAAAACATCATGTCGTTCACAAATGGAAAGCCCTCATCTTTACCAGATGGTGGCCTGAATTCCCCGGTGAATGCTATGCTACTACTCGATGATACGCTTTTCGTTGGGGGCAGTTTCTCTGCCACATCGGGTAGTGGTGAAGCTGGCGATAGCGAAAGCAGGCTGATGAATGTCGCGTCATATTCACTGTCGCAGAAGGCTTGGAGCCCTCTTGGGGCTGGTGTAGATGGTCTTGTGGAGTCTATAGTACAATTTTCTGTCAATCTGACAGATGACGGGCCAGAAATTGCTGTTGGATTCAGTGGAAGCTTTACTCGGATCCTTACATTTGATCACCACCGTTCAAAACGAGCTCCAGGCTTCGCAGTCTGGATCCCCTCGAGAAGAAATTGGTTGCCGAATCTCGACGTCAGCCAACAAGTGTTTAATGGGGTGCTAACCGCATCAATTACGGTCAGGAATGTCACTACGCTTTTCTCTGGCAACCTTATATCAGAAGGACTCGCCTCACACGACGCTGTCGCATTGACAGACGGCGATGATGGTCTTGGCCTCCAGCCTCTTCCTGCTAACATTCAGCCAATAGGAGAGAAATCATCGCTACAAAAGAGAGTCACCGCTTTGCAAAATGCTGATGGTGTTATTACAGGACTGTTCTACACTCGCTCAGGCCGTAATCTCACCGTATTGGGCGGTCACTTCTCGGCTATTGGAGGAACTGGTGACGCCATTGAGAACCTTATTTTCCTTGATGGAGCAAACAATGATGCTGTCAGTGGGGCTGGACCTGGCATTGATACGGAATCGATTTTCCTGACGATGGGCCTGAGTGGAGACACGCTATTTGCAGGCGGCATTGTTAAAGGTCGCATTTACGCATCCGATATAGACGGCATAATCGCTTATGATCTCAAAAATTCGAAATACTCACGTCAACCCCCTGCTCTTGAAGGCGACACCGTCATTGTAAACTCTATCGCCCCACGTCCAGAATCTGACGATATATTTGTCGGCGGTCAATTCCAATCAGCTGGCGGGCTACCTTGTCCGAGCGTCTGCAATTTCCAACCAGCTTCTAATCACTGGACCCGGCTGGGTGATGAGATCAGAGGTACTGTATTTGTTCTAGAATGGGCTACGAAAGATAAACTCATTGCTGCGGGGGCATTCACAGTTGGAAATAACGCGACAACTTTGGCTATCTACGATGCGGAATTGCGAACTTGGTCTTCAATTGACGGTGCATCGTCTGAGGCTATTCCGGGCCCCATTACGGCCTTTGGGCTTTCCAGAGAGGATGGTTCCCGCTTTTGGGTTGCTGGAAAGTCAGGTGATGGCTCTCCTTTCCTAGTTTTCTACGATGGCTCGAAATTCCACTCAACAGGCGCAATTTTTGGGAGAGAAACTAAAATACAAGGAATCCAGGTCATGGGTATAAGAGGAGAACATGATGAAACCGAGGTGCTTGATAGGGACCAAGTACTCCTCGTTTCTGGTCAACTCCAAATCCCAGGCTTTGGCAACTCGTCTGCCGCACTCTACGATGGAACTACTTTAACGCCATTCATCCTAACCACAACGGCGGACGGTCAACCAGGCACTGTTGCAGAACTATTCTCAGAAAATAAAAATACATTTAGAGGTAGTCGTAAGTATTTTACAATTTACACTAAAGACACAAACTACTATTAGAAGTCCCGAGCTAACACATACCCTTACAGGCCGACCACGTTCCAAAGGAATAGTTATTCTAGTGTCGTTCTGTATCGCTCTTGGTTGTGTATTCTTGATTGTTTTAATCGGAATCATCCTGAATCGCATCCAGCGTCACCGGCAAGGTTATGTCACTGCACCACGAGGCACAGATCGACGACCGGATCTTCAACGAGTCCCTCCTGAACATCTATTAGATTCCCTCAGACAACGAACATCAGGGGTACCAGCCATATGAGTCACCACTCTCAGCTTTTGTCGGAATTTATAACGTTTTTCGATTTTTTGACATGTTTTGTATTTCTAGTTTCATATGGTATGGCGTCTGGGGGGAAGGAACATACCCTTTCGAGCGGTTTAATGGCGTTTTTTTCGTTTACTTTCGTATTCATTTCTTTCTTACCTTTTAGCCCTTCTTCCTTTTGCTCTGTTTGTGGGGACGTTGAACGATCTCTATATCTCTAGTTCCCAACGCGATATTTGGCAACATACGTCATTTTCGGACGTTGCATATTTCCTTTACCAGATCAGCGGCAAGGTATAACCAGTATTAGGATATAGCTATATCCTCTCACCCGTGTCGCATATTCTCCTTTATGACGGAACTAATTTTATAATCACCTGGACAACACGATTTATTTGCTACTGGCTTCCCTACCACATGTTCCACATGCTATTGATGATATCCACCCTTCTAGGCAATTCTCATTTCTTTTTTCCTTTTCCATTTTCCTCTCCGTCGATGATAATGTTTCAAGACACCGGGGTGACGAGCTCACGGCGTGGAAATTTTGTCGACATTTCTACTCTAGTAACTCGACAAAAAATTAGTAGCTAATCATTATCTAAGAAGGACCAGTGGACAGATCCGTGAAATGTTTAAAGGTCCAAATCAGCCCTGCTTGAGAGGTGAAGGCTCAGGGATCACATCAGGAGCAGCCAATTATATAGAAAGTCCCGAGTAGTTCTCATAGAATAATGTAGACGGTAACGCGCCCCAGACTTTTCATGATTCCTACTGAAATTCCACGTAATTGTGATAAATGTCTGGGACTATTATATTTCGAAGCCAGAGAGACTCACAAAGGCGGCAATCCGTCCCCACCATTCCTTCTTTTGCTAGGCCCCCCCCGCCCCTGCATGGGCAAGGAAAAATTATGGATCTCGCTCTCTGCCTCCAACCGCTGCAACCGTCCATAGAATTAAATCTTTAATAAAAGGGACTGGGAAACACTAGCAGGTTCAGTTGAGCGTAAATAGCCCAGGATGCGCTCAAGAACTGGCTGGTAAGTAACTCCAATTCCGATATAATTCCACCCTCGTACCCCCTTCAGTCATATCCCCTTGCCGGAAACACTCTGATTTCGTATGCTGCGGCGACTCTTAAGGATATTTTGCCTACTAACTCGAATGTTCTCCGGTCACCACTAGTCTCACATGTCGAACCCGAAAGGTGAAATGCGACGAGCAAAGGCCACAATGCTCGCAGTGTCGGAAGTCCAGGCGTGAATGTCGGCAAAGTGAGGGCATTGTTTTCCGCCACCAGCAGAATGCATCGATGAACAGGGCTGGAACAGCCCTGGGAGATAGTGGAGATAGTGACCGTAGTGCATTGGGTAGATTTTACTCATATAAAAACACCTTTGGAGCAGACAGTGTTTGGCTGGAAATCCCAAAACAAGGTGCGTATACGGAGTGTGGCTGTCTGGCTTATGCGCATGCACATGTATGTCCACGTACATATATCAATATATGACGGCGTTCCAATGTGTGCCGTATGAGTACATTAAAAGACTTCTTCGATGACACTGTTAATGACTCCTTTCCAAATAGTTACATTCGTTGACAACTCCGATCCATGCACGGAGGAAATCGATACCTTATTAACGTCTGAAACCACCATTTCCGTCCCCAGCCCGCAGGTTCTGGATTGGGGTACTAATGGCGACTGCCGTCACCTGGATGGTCAAGCGCATGGGCTGGAGGCTCTCTCAGCAGCTGCAACGAGGGAAGCCTGTCCTCTCCACGAGACGCCGTCTAGTTCATTACTCCCGCCAATGAATATGGATACTACTGCGAGTGATATTTACTCTAGGCACCAAGAATTGCATTCCTCGGTGGCATTAATACCTTCTTCACACAGTATAGGCCCTACCGTACCAGTTTCTTCGCGCTCCCCAGCCACATCAATGTGTTCCCCGAATAACAATATAAATTTTCTACTGAATCCGTTAGCACCGTCCCATATCCATCCGAGTAGCCCTCATTCGCCTCTTGGCCAGAGCGAATCACCATTTGTTGCTACAGGACCATCAGAATCAAGGGGTTTATATGTGGAGCTGAGAGTAGAGGGTGAGGTAGAGGTGGAATCTGATCATGAGATTGCATTTCTGTTGCGTCATTTCTCAGAAGCTCCCGGTCGATGGTAGGTTCATATATATATTCCCATAATGTAAATGGGCTATCATTTTGCTCATGTTGCCTAGGATGGATCTTTTCGATTTGGGAAGTTACTTCTCTTCATATGTTCCTGTCAAAACCCTCACGGTTCCCTTGCTGAAGTACGCCGCTTGTGCGTATGCAGCGAAGCAGCTAGAGCTGGTCAAAGGCAACAAGGCTATAGTTGAAGGGGTAAGTAGAAGGCAAGCCATGATGGAAGTCTGGCCTGACACAGAGAATGTGGAGTGGTCTTATTACAGCACAAAATATTACGACAAAGCCGTGCAGCTTCTTATGGAAGCCTTACGCCACGATGGCAAAAGCACGCCGTTGGGCAATCTTGAAGCGCGTGGGCAGTGGCAAGCCGCAGAGTTGTATAATGATCCAGAGGGGTTTCATAAACGATTCAGGCGTTCGGATATCCAACTATCCAGCGCATATTCAGATGAACTCATGGCAGCAACCGCGATTTTATCTATGTATGACTTTCACGGCGCAAAGAGACCCTCATGGAATAGACGGCCAAGTGGGGTTAAATCGCTGCTGGACATTGCGGAAGTTGGTTTGATGCTGATCTCGGGTTCTCCTATAGCCAGAGGACCAAGACTCTCCAAAGCAAGGAAGGCAACGTTTTGGAATTTTGCACGTCAGGATTACCTATCCGCATGTAAGAAGGAAAGAATGGCTACGCTAATTTAAGATATGATGCTAACTAATGAATAGTCATTAACGAATGCCAGACGAGGCTAAATACGGAAGATGTGGTCTTATGGACTGAAGCTGGTCTGCTTCTTGATAACGATGGATTTGTCCGCCCAAGTAATACAACTAGTTCGGGGTATTCAGAAGGGGATGATGGCATGAATGAGGATCTGATATCAAATGCGTTGATTTGGATCCTTTCGAAAGTTGTTAATTTCGCAGCTGCAGGCGACACTTTAGATGCTAGGGGAAACTGCTTCGATGAGTCTTCCACTGGTATTTCTCAGAAAACTCCCTTTGAGCGATGGCATAGACTTCAAACTGAACTGGGTAGATGGTACGATGGATTACCAGATACGTTCAAGCCCTATTCAAGGATGGAACGTTCTCATTCTTTTCATCAAGGACCGATTGATGAACCTTTACAGTGGGCTGAAGTGTGGTACGGTATGCCCATGTGCGCATCCACAATACAGCATTATCACATGGCACGAATCCTCCTACTCATCAATAAGCCTCCTGAGTCTGCTGCGAAAGGGCATATGATGGCAAGTAAGCTCAAGTCATATCGGTCCATCGAGAGCGAAATTAAATTCCATTCTCATGAAATTTGTGGAATTTCTATGTCTCGACCGGAAGCTTCGGTGCGTATCCATTCCGTGCAGCCTTTGTTCGTGGCTGGTCAGTGTCTCACAGAACCTCGAGAGCGCAGGACTATTCTGCAGCTGCTTAGAGGAATAGAGAATGACCTTGGATGGGCGACGGAGTACCGCGTTCAATTGTTACCAAAGGGATGAGAGTTGAATGAAGCGACTGGAAATATTCCTGCCCGTTGAAGAAATTCGACTATGAGGCGAGAACCCCATTTTCATGTCTCCAGAGCCTTGTAGAAGGTCTAAATGAAACATCACACGGCCAGATGCTTGCTATCGCACCAAATGAGAGCATAGGTGGGCATACTCGATTGTCCCAGTCGTTGGTAGCGGGACTCTCTGTCGTGAATTCTGTACATCTACCCAGGAGCTGACTTTCTATATATATGACCCTGTCAGATCCTACGAAAGTGTTATCCCGTTATCTCAGGAACTGTGTTTAACTATTTGGATGCAATAAAGCAGAGCCACCAAAATGAAGAGCAAGGTATGGATATTCCGGTGGAGCAGAAGCCTTTTTCTTTTCTACCTCGCTGCCTGAGAATGGAGAAGACTGCTAACATGAATATCAGCTCCCACAAAACCGGGGAAGCTCTCAGGGGTTCGTTTCAGAACGACAACCTCGTCGGCGACGGCGCCGCCGCAACCAGACGCAAAATTCTTCAACCCATTCGACAGAGACTTCTAACGACCAGCATAGTCCCATCGACAGAACAGACTCTATTTCCGTGCCCGACCATTTACAAATGGTCAATCGCCACCTACCTCCACACGTGTACAGCGTTCTCCTCCAACGCAAAAGAATTGTCACGGAGGAACTCAATCTTCTCAACCAGTATCTCGAAACGCTCCAACCCCCGCATAGCCCAAATCAAATGGACTGGGAACCCATCCCGCCAACACACAAATATTACCCACCGCAGCAGCCGCATCCGCAACAGCAATCGTTCGATGTATCTCTTTTAGGCTTGTCCAGAGCGAATAAGCTAGAACAAACTTCCATATAGGAACAATGTCATGTTATTTTACAGAAGTAGTTCGGGGCTCGTTGCGGATTTGTACAATATTTCTGATTAATTGCACTACACGCTCTCATTTTCCGTTGGTAAACCAAGCATAGTCCCCGACGGGTCCCACTGTCGTGAGTTTTTTACACTCTAATACAAAATTGACTGCCGAAGCTATTCTGCCTAATGTGTCCGATGAGGACACTGAACAATTGAGAGCACACGGTTCATTCACATTTCTTATTTCAGGTGATGATATGTACTATAGCCTTTCTTTCTCGAACTATATCTATTCTTGCGCCCACTTGTTACTCCATTGCTGCCGTAAATACAGCCCCTATAAAGCAAAAATGACTACCTACTTCATCTTCATTATTGAATAACCTAAAGCCGAATAAAATGGCCAGCATCACTACCTGGTCAGATGATTGAACATCACGGCTAACCTATGACTTCTTGGTGGTTTCATTTTATCCAGCTTCGTCAAACCATGTTCAACTACAGCGGTCATGAAAAGTGCTTAAAGAGCCAGCAGTGTTAATCTTCCTCTTCAGAGTGCCTAGGCAAGATGCTACATACTATTGGGGATACTCAACTTGTTTAACTGTGGGATAATTCCTAGATGCAACACGCTCTGAAGCGTCTAGGAGCGTGACATCGTATCTGAGTGGTAGTGGATAGATTTGGGTGTGAATATTTCCACCCGCGTTCTAGTTGAACTTCGTCGTCGAAACGTGATGTGTCGAGGCACAAATACGGAACAGCGGCTGTACTCAGAGCTCACTGAAACTGGGGGGATATTGGGTAGTCTAATATGTCAGGCCAAGTTTTGAGGCTGAAGGATAAATAGGCTATCCTAGTTTCCATTGGCAAGAAGATTCATCGGCCCCGTCGGGTTCGTCGTTTCTTCGTAACAGATTTTAATTCAGTTTCCACCTCTTCAAGCTGTACTTTTGTTTCCTCAAACTCGTGAGATATTTCTCTCTTTACTGAAATATGCGATGTCGTCTCTGTCTTTATGCCGTGCTCCTTTGTGACATTTTTCATATCAACTCCAACCTTGGGTACTAGGCGTTCCGAAAACGTTTTCAAATCTGCCGTGAATAAGACGCTATGGGCCCAGCCAGCCTCTTTCCCCCAGAGGTTGCGAAAATGATTGCCCACAGCATCGTATGTAGCTTTGGTTAAGCTTTTATGCTTTCCTTTACCAAACTTATAATCACGCTGTGCAATTTGCCACACTATATAGAATAACTTATAAGTAAATAAAAAACGGATGTGTGAGGTGGTAAAATGGACATCGGGAGCTTACCGTGAGTATCAACTGGGACGGCCTCTCCCCATCCCAAACCCATAAGGCATGCACAATCTGCGACTTTTGGGCCAACCCCCTGAAGCTCAAGGAGCAATTCATGAGCTTTTCGATAGCCATCTCTACCCCCTTCTGTCATTTCTCCTGCAGGCGCCGGGTTTGCGCCAAACGACGGAGACTCAGGGTTGCGGAGAGAATTTAACCAACCCTCCTCACGATTGGCGACAATGAGCGCAGTTTGGTAGATATACTTTGCCCGATATCCGAATCCAAGCTCGCGGAGACGAGATTCCACATCGCGACCTACCAGTGCATTTGGAGGTGGGAAATCATGATACGGTTTCTTGTCTATGTATCCGATTAGTGGTCCATAGTTCAAGCATAGTTTTTCTACCTAAATGGGCAAAAATGATAGTGTTAGTTAGAAGGGGGATCAATGTATGTACCAACTGCTGAGATAAACACATACCATCTGTGAGATTCGCGCTATATTGTTATTGCTACTGCAGATAAACGAAATAAGCGCCTCCCAAGCATCCTGTCGTAAGATACGGATACCAGTGAACTGGGGAGCTTTCTTCTTGAAATTTTGATCTGCAGTCGACCATTGTTCATACAGGCCCGTAAGATTCAAGTCCAAGTTGAAGTAGTTGTTGATCAATGCTTCTGTATCATCAACCTTCTCACAAGATGCTTCTCTTCTAGATGCCGGTACGGATGATGCGGGAGTCGGTAATGCAGGTGGAGCTGGGGGAAAATATGACCGATAATGGAGATGGGTGGGGTCCTGTCGCAGAGTCACAATGCGACCGTAAAGGGCGCAGCTCCATTCGTTGTCTCCGGACTTCTGCCATCTAAGTTGCTCGTAGAACAGTTTTTGTTAGTCCAGTCCGTACCTTGTTGCTTTTGATAATGGGGATTCGGAGAGGTTTCTCACCGAAATGATTGTCCACAGCGGAGAGTGGTATTGATGCAGAGCTCAGTCAAACTTATTGGCAGCTTTCGCCATTCAGAAAAAGCACCAATTGACATAGCGACGAGGATATCAATAAGCCCAGGGTCATTCATGGTCGTCGCTACGGTGGATTCTACGTCCCTGAGCCGTGTTGCCACCTACAGCACGTGACTTTTGATCTGGCTGGCATAATCGCGCCAAGCCCTTTTCAGCGGTCGACGGCTCTTTCTTCCATGCCTATTTTTCAACTTTTTATATCGGCAGCGCGCTGAGCAACCATCCACTACCAAACCATTGCTAGCCATTGCCTTCTGTTCAGTCTCGGAGCAGTACAAATCAGCGCCAGGTGCCTGATATTTCCAAGCTACATTGTGGGTTCTGCCTTGACTTGGACATCCTTCCACCTGTGCTCGGTCGAATTGAACAAGATGAACGGGGATAGCTACGTAACTAGAGGTAAGAATAGGGGCTTACTTGGAGTGACCTCTGAACGGTAACATAGCTGACCTGTGACAATTCATAGACTCTGGGCGATCGCGAGACTATTACGTATGTTACCGCGATAACTCCTTTTGTTTAACCTTTGATCCATTACGAACCTGTTCCTGTGCTCTGCTTATACGTTATATTTTGCTAGGGTGGCGCTCGCTCTGATCGAGAGGATAGAAAAGACCGTAGTGATCGCAGTAGCCGTGGCGATCGTAGTGATAGACGGGAGAGAGAAAGAAGAAGATCAAGATCTCCTCAACATGGGTCGAGGTCGGGGCGGCGCGAGCAGGAACCGGACTTGTACTCTTCCAGTCGTGACTATCGCGCAAGAGAGCGGGAGGACAGATATTCAGGTCGAAGGGATGAGAGAGAATGGGATAGAGACCGAAGCGAGAGACGACGTGATCATAGAAGAGACGATGATGAGAGATCTCGACGTGACAGAGACATGCCTGATGACCGGTCGCGAGGAGGTAGAGGTCGAGATCGCGATGCTTTGGGCGGGGGTAGGGAGCGGAAGAGAAGTGCGAGCCCACCGCCAAAGAAGAGAGAACCCACGCCAGATTTGACGGACGTTGTTCCGATTCTTGAGCGGAAACGTCGACTGACGCAGTGGGATATCAAACCGCCTGGTTATGAACATGTAACGGCAGAGCAGGCGAAGCTCTCCGGTGAGTTGAAAATTGTAATGATATCATGCCCATTTGAGCTTTTACCTAACGTTACCTGCAGGCATGTTTCCTCTTCCAGGTGCACCGCGGCAGCAGGCAGTCGACCCCAGCCGGCTGCAAGCTTTCATTCACCCACCTACTACCATTACTGCTCCTGGTTCATCTACTAACACTGTCCTAAAACCCTCAAACTCTCGCCAAGCGAAGCGTCTTTTTGTTCATAATCTCCCGCCATCGGCTACAGAGGAGAGATTGGTGCAGTTCTTCAATCTCCAACTGAATGGTCTTAATGTCATCAAAGGGGTCGATCCATGCTTGTCCGCGCAACTATCCAGAGATAAGACTTTCGCTCTACTTGAGTTCCGAAATGCTGCGGATACTACTGTTGCACTGGCTTTTGATGGTATTACAATGGAGGATAGTGGCGAAATGGATACATCGAACGGAGATGTCGACGGGCCAAGCCAAGGACTCTCAATACGTCGACCTAAGGATTACATACTTCCATCTGCAGTGGAAGAGGAGCCCCAGCAGGAGGGCGTTGTATCCAACGTAGTCCCTGATTCCCCGAACAAGATATGTGTCTCGAATATTCCACCATTTATTGAGGAAGAACCAGTCACTATGCTCCTTGTTTCTTTCGGAGAACTTAAGTCGTTTATCCTTGTAAAAGATAGCGAGACGGGCGAATCTAGGGTAAGCGTAATACTCTCAACTGTTACAATATAATTCTAACTGGTATTAGGGAATTGCGTTTTGCGAGTACCTTGATCCGACGTCGACAGAAATCGCTGTTGAAAATTTGAATGGCATGGAACTCGGGAACAAGAGACTCAAAGTGGTCCGTGCAAGTGTTGGAACCACACAAGCTGCTGGCCTCGACATGGGCGTTAATGCCATGTCCATGTATGCCAAAACAACTTCTCAGGACATTGAAGCTAGTCGTGTTCTTCAGTTGTTGAACATGGTAACGACTGAAGAGCTAATGGACAACGATGATTATGAAGGTATGCAACCCTGTATTTGGATAATTATTCTTATTGTATGACCCCGCTTCGCTTGTTTACTAATGTCCCTTATAGAAATATGCGATGATGTTCGTGATGAGTGCTCAAAATACGGGGAAGTCGTGGAGCTAAAGGTCCCAAGACCAACGGGGAATAACAAACAATCAGCGGGCGTTGGCAAAATATATGTTGAATTTGATAATAGCGAGTCTGCCACGAAAGCGCTAAAGGCGCTTGCGGGGAGGAAATTTCAGGATCGAACCGTTGTGACCACATACTTTTCAGAGGTAAGCCGAGCTCAATCCGGCGAAAAATTTGTGGACAAGATAATCTAACAGAGTACAGGAAAATTTCGAAGTCAATGCATGGTAATCGACGTAGCAGGGGAAATTGAGAATTCTTGGACTTGTCTTCATTTCCATCGCAACTCCAGCAAACCCGCAACTTCGTTTAGGAACTAGCTTTCCTTACCACATATTTTCTCGGACGGCGTCCTTCTTTCCCATTTCCTCTTTAACTTATTTTGTTCCCTTCGCACCCATCTCGGCGCAAGTTCCTTCGTCAAATACAAACAGCAGCTGGCTGGAACACTTGGCATGCGCAATTTCACTGTAACATAACTCAATATTGTAAGATCCTTTTTCCCAAAATCTCTTTATAATTCTTCTGTCATTTGTGAAGTATCATGGGCTGGGTGGATAATCAAGGCGAAATAATTATGATATGGTCTCTCATTTATATCTTTATATGTTCTTTATTTTACACTGTACTTTTTAAAGGCCAATTTTGACCACTCAATTTAACTCAAGAGTACATGATAATATGCGACTCTCGCCAGAGCGACATACATAAAAAAAGGGGCGAAACACTCTCGGCTTTCCTCTTGCAAAAGCCACCATGAAGTGGATATTATAGGAGTGATATTCATTGACACTATTCAACAAGAGAATGTACCCAGGTGGATTCTCTATTATCAGAGAATAAACTAGCACTAGCATATGCAGCAGACTGCTTATCTGAGATAGTATACACTCATTACATTGAATTTCTCTTCATGCACAAACAGGTAAGATTAAGTATTAATCTAGCTATTCTATTCTAAAATATAACTGAAAATATATATAAATGTAAGAAACTATACTTCTCACAGGTTTTCTTATCTCTATTCTTATCACTCACAGATCTTGACTACATATTCTATATAGACTGCAGTTGCTATTATCTTTTTATAACTCAGCTTGAATACTTTTAACTATTCTTTAACACTCACTAACTTTATTAATTAAGACTGTATTCAGTTACTTATACAAGCTTGTAAAATCTGCTCATAATAAGTGAATATTAGTTCACTGTCAATATTATATTTAAGTAAGAAATATAATCTGTCTCACTACTATACACTCTTATATGAGATAAAATTATACTAGTAAAATAATCTAAATACTGAGCTTACACAATTTTATACATCTCTTATTTTATCTATTTCAGTTATAACTCTTTATTATTCAGTATAATTATACTGTTGAAATTTAATCACATGTACTCAAGAATGACAGGTCAAACACAAGATTTTTTTCATGCAGATAATTTAAATATAGTAGGTAAAATTGTGTAAGTGAGTCTTTTATAAAGAGCTTACACAAGATTAAATAAGCAACTGAACACACTCTAAGTGACAAGAATAGAGATAAAAGATTCACAAGAAGCAGAGTTTCTTACATATAATCTAGAGCTAGCTCTCTGTGAGAATAATGAAGAATCAATCATCTCACAGCAGCAGCTCTTCACAAGATCAATTATCAAAGCTCTACAAACTTTAGAATGAATAGCAAAGAATACTCTCACTCTAGTATTCTTGAGTTAGTCATTTTTCACTGGCCAGAAAAATGATATAAGAAATTCAAGAAGCCATAGACTCTTTGTGTGTGAATGACTAGTTGTATATGACAGCAGCTGAAACTTCTTCATCAAGTGTAACACTGTTGTCTCAGACAAGAGAGAATCACTGCATACATCATGACTGATAATAGAGAGCAAGATCATCTCATGAAAAAGTGCATGCACAATGAGAGGTATGTGTGATAGTGTGTTGTAGCAGTAAAAACTATACCTAAACAACGCGAGCTTGTCCACGACGAGGGAGGGCCTGTTGGGTATTTCTCTTCTTCTCCATCCAACCGTTTGTATTAAATGAGAGGGAAGGGGGCGAAGGGATGTAATCTTCAATGTAACTCCTCTCATTCTGAGGAATTTGAAAAAAAGTTAGGACGACAATAGGTTACCATCATTAGACAAGCAGTTGACGTTTCGGAAGGAAACTTGATGCCATTGTAGCCAAGAGCTGATTGTAAAGGTCATGTCGGCATAAATAATAAGCAATTTTTGCCACATACTTGAAAATGACTCTGATCAAATTTTTATTAAAGTGTAGGCTAATAATAATGATCATCAATGGGGTCTATAGGTAAAATAAGGTTTTTTACAGGAGATAGGGACCAGAACCAGAACGTTGGAACTATATATATATATATAAGGGCCTGTTCGGTGATTTTTTCCGTACAGTGCCAGGGCCTTAACTTCTGACAGTGTAAACCTTCATTATTTCCACCTTTCCTTATATGAATAGTAGTCTGCTTGGTGTTTTGGCATTACTTTTTCCCTTATGAGTGATTTTTTATGATGTATGTAGCAGTTTGAAAATCCTGTTACATTACTACCTTTACACACCAAATATCAGTGAAAAATGGATATTATATTAATAAGTCTCAAATTGATCACTTCTGCAGCAGCAAGTCTTATTAACTGCTGTCTATGACATAGATACTGTCATATTGTCTCCCAGGTTGCATTATCACGGTTGCTCATCATGGTTGTTTATTTTTGATGATAGTTGCAGGTCTCTGGATGCTGTACAGCCACGCTGGAACATATCAGCATATATCACAACTTGTTCCAGTGTATACAGTACAGATTTAACTTGAATAGATTTAGATCTATCACTTTTTCAGCTAAATACACTGTTGAACTCTATAATATGAATCTGACTGCCAGCTTGACATGCTTGGCGACTCGCGAGTTGTACAGAGTTATATACAGAATCTACCGAACAGAAGGCCTTATCCGGCCAGGTTAGCATGTATAACCCCGGCCAGAGCCGTCCAGGGCTGTACAAGCTGGCACTGTACGGACTTATACGGCCCTGGACGGGGTCACCGAACAGGCCCTTATTTTAACTAATTTATTTTCTAAAAATTAATTAGATAGTAGAAATTACTAATGACGAGTAGTTTGTTGGTAATTTCTTGTCCCTGACAGATTTTCGAACGCGTTATACAGGAGTGAGTAATTAGCTGACCCCTTGCCTGGCTCTCTTTGTCGTTTCGTCACAGCGGCAGCAGGTCAAATGCCAGGGAAAACGGGAAACAAAAACAAAAATGAAATAAAATCCAACGCCCATTCCCATCCAAAAATAGTCAATAATCAAAAAGACAGAACAAGGAAATGACATAAATAGGGGGACCAAAAACACTGTTTCCATGCCGCCATACGCCATGCTTATACAGCCCCAGAAAAGAAACATTAGACCAACAAATCAAGATAAACAAAAAAAGGCATTTGTCAACAGATTAGGGCACCTCTGATTACCCTTGGGTAAGTAGCCCATTTCCAAAAACTTTCGCAGGTGCTTTTTCGTTGTTTCCCACCTTTGGCCCCTTCTTGTCTCTTTGATCGCCATAAAAGGCTCTGCATGTAAGGGTGGCCAATACGTACATGTACAGTACAAAATCGAAAATGATGAGCGAGAAATATAATAGAGCAAACGAGACTTTGAAGAAGGGATAGCCCTAAAGGAAGTCAACACACTGGGGAAGGGCGATAAGGACAGCACACTGAAATTTAAACAATGATTGAACGTGGACAAGACGTATTAGGCCCTGAGGGTGTATCAAGTTGAGGTGGGTGTAAGGAAACTAAGTTAAAGCTGATAGACGTTGGACATGAATCCTGTTCTTAATGCGTACACATGAATTCGCGCACACACAGAGGAAAATTAAGGCGCAAGGGGAGGAGAGAGAGCACGGCCAGGTATCAATAGGCAGGGGCAAATCCACATGCCAAGTAAATAAAGGGGTTATAAATAAGTTTGTACACGAATAGTGGTTGGTGAGAGTAGAGCTTCTTGCCTTGTCCTTCTGCTTTAGTCCCCAAAATAGAATTGTGAGGAGGACATCAATGGTTGTTATCTCCATACCAGTATGAGCCCTGCGGGTTTCCCTGAGCAAATGATGTCTGTGGATTCCAATCGCGACTGCCCGTGTAGCGACCGTGGTTATTGTGGTTTTGTGAAGCGCTCGGGGGTCGAGGCGTCGAAAAACTCAGTGCGGGACTGGTATATCTCACTTCGGGAGCATAGACTTCTGATTCCCCTTTTCCTGTGGAGAATCGAACAGTAGACATCGAAAGAACCGAGGGACTTGAAGAAAGTAGAGGTTCAGGGGTCTTAACCGCCTCCTTCCGGGGCGGGTTGATCATCTCATAATCGCGCGTAGAAGCCCCGCCCCGAGCATCTACGGAGACGAATTCTCCGCTGCGCATCAGTTTTCGTTTGACAAGGTCTATCCAGCCGAGAATCATGGAATACCGACCGAGGAAAAAAATGGTCCATATCCCACTAAGAGACAATAAGACTAGGACGGCGAAGATGGATGCTTCATTGGGTCCCAGACTTGAGGCCAAGTGTGCGCATTTATTCTTATCTCCTTTGGACAATACCAGGCAAAAAATCCAGGGTTCAGATTTCTTCGCTAGTTCTGGTGTCCTTCGAGCACTATTATCCAAGGATAAGAATATGATTGTGAAAAAAATGACATTTGCGATAATTGTAAGGACCACTGCAATGCCTCTCCATTGCAATTGAATGACCCTCCTCACACGACGGTAGGCTTGGCGAGCTGATACAGTCCGGACGCTTCCGGGGTGGGACGGTCGTACTGAACTATTATCAGTAGTCGGGTTGTTGTCCAGGAGTGATTTGATGTAGACGTGTATGCAATATGCTAATGTCACGAATTGGATCACCAACGCGGCGGCGGCTAAACCCATCAATGGGCCCCAGAAATCCGCCAGGCTGTTGTCATGATTAATGTGGCATATGCTGCCGAATCGATAGGATACCCCCGTGATGGCTAAGCCAAGGGCCAGGCCGACCGCTGGTAATATCCAACCTACTGTCAGCGTTGTGAAAAAAAAATGATTTCCGGGCACCACATCCCAGCAGATCTGTAGGTGCAGTGATAGAGCGCGACAGAAGCCTTCGTAATCAGATTAGCATCGAAGACGGAGTATTTTTAGGTATATAGAGGTTGAAAAAAATTTCTGAGGGCATACTCCACACAATGACGGCCCAGCCACCAAATATTATAAAGGAGCCTGAGAACGCGCACGCTAAATCCGACTTCATATCGTTGGGGGTTATCGCGTTAAAACATTCGTCTGGTTTGGCGATCAAAGGGACAATAAACGAGAGCTATTCAATGAGATGTCAGCAGGATTCTCGACTTGGCCCAGACCCAAAGATGCTGCGTCAACCAGGCTGCTTTGATGGGAGGAGGAATGGGGTATTACCTCCATAAATACAATACCAACCGTCAGACACACACTTAAATAGTGACGATGCGTCCATTTCACTGGTAATGCTGCAAAGCTAATCAACAGCAGGCAGTTCAAGGTGAAGATTGCCACGGCAATCCAATTTGCAACTCCGGTTTTATTTATGAAGTCTTTTGCGGCATGTTAGTCTGAATCGATTGTGATTTGGAATCAGCCGCTGATAGGAGGGATATAATTACTGTTAGGGTATCTCCAGGCTGCATGAGGGCATGGAAGGCAGCAGGACGTATTTCCATTCGCTCCGAGTGGGATTTGCTCGCACCATCTACCAGTAACAACTGCGATGTTTTAGCTTTCGCACAAGCAGCACGGAATTTATAGAACGCATCATTATCATTGGGGATACGAATAGGAAAGTGAGGAATTTGACATACATCCGCCAATAGACGGGAAGAGGTCTTCCTGCATGAACGGGGCCGGGCAAAGGCCATGTGTACTCGAAGTGTCGGTCATATCTGTCGTTGTCCGCGCGTTGATGGTGGTGATGGTGGTTCCTTTTCGTTTAAAACTGCCCTGAGGACCTAAACAATCTCATATCCTCCTTGAACGCATCGGAAGCGGCCACCGGTAGTATGCGATAGGTATACGGCGGGATTATCCCCAATCGTCATAGCCCGGAGGCTATACGAATTCTGGAGGCTCAAGACGATGAAGGAGGGGCAGGCGAAAGGAATCAATGGCTCCGAGGTATAAAGTTCCCGCGCATCTGCAATGATTGTTTAAATAGAAGAAAAAAAGGAAAATGATATGGAGAATCTACTTCATATAGAAAATAATGAAGTACAAAATATGCAGTGCTAAACGAAAGGAAGGAGAGCCATCAAGGTTCCAAAAATCAAATCCAAGGGGGACCATGCCAATATAATAAGGAAGAAACTCCGGAGGAGTCCCAGGAGAGGGTCGAAGCCCAACTGATAGCCATGGTTAGCCAAAACTAATATCAGTGGAATATAATTTACCCTCTTTTTTTTTTTTTTTGGCACCAAGGTCGTGTATCCGCTAATGAAGACGTACATACAACGAGGGACCAAGGTACTCTCTCTGGCGCGGCCTCAGCGTACCCATGGCGATACATCGCAAGAAAAAGGGCGGATAAGAAATCGTACTGGAGGATTCGGGAAAGTGGGACAACCCTCTCCAGCCCGCAAGCATGCGATGTAAGAGGGATGAGCGCCATCAGAGGGAACAGTTCCACCAAGAACAGAGCCCCGCCTATCATAGCCCCGGGCAGCCAACCTCCAGCAGAAAGTCCCCCTGCCATGCTTGACATCCTTGCCCCCCCTCCAGGCACAGCAGGCAAATCCAGCTGGCCGCACGGTCGACGGCATTTCTGCATGCCTTACTCCGTATTTGTTGACGAGATGGCGTCCCGAGGTGCCCTGAGGCCCCCTTGATGGAGGAACGGATAGGCTGATTCGAGCCCGTTGACTGGATCCAAGAAAAGCTGCGCCAAGCCGTAAGCCCCAAGGGGCTGGTGTTGTCATGCTATGTTCCTGGCACCTGACTGGTGGAAGGAGGGCAGAGGCGCTGGTTTGACATGCATTATTCCTCTCTTCTGACAAGAATACTAATTCTTACAGTGTGTGAGCGAGGTCAGAAAATAATAATTATTACTATTGGATATTACGGAGAAGTGGCGAGAATAAAGGTGTACACTGCTCTAAGGTGCGGCATTGACGAGCCAAGCAGCGGGCACTGATTGTTGAATGCTGATGGTTGCTCTTGGCCCACGAAGGCAAAACCACCAGGGTTCGCGTGAGAAAGGATTCTGGACGGCCAAAAGAAGAGGCGAGGGTTTACTGTGTAGCTGAAAGCAGGCTCCGAGTGAATCCGTCCCGGTATATTTTAGTGTCGTGATGCCGGAGAAGAGGACTCTGACGCCCTACGCTGTGGATAGTTCCCAGGAGAAACATCCTTAGGCGACGAGGCCTTGTCGTACACACGGTCTAGGGCAGTCAGCAGCTTACTGGGAACCCACAGCCACAGGGCCAGTGGGAGCAAGAACATTATTGAGTCGAGACTGTTTACTGAACAGGTGGAGTGGAGCAGTATGTCATCTCGGCTCCATTTTTGCATTTTGCCTAGACTGGTAGTAGTCTGACTATTCAAACTACCATCGTCTGCCTCTTTTTCTCGGGTGGGCAGCCAGGGGAAGAGAGGGGACAACGCTCATGATGTCTGATGTCTGCAGCGAATCTTTGGGAGGTCAAGACTCCAAAGTTGAAACCAAAAGGTGGTGGGGTCACCATAGCCGATCAGCGTGCTATTGTAGCCCTAAAGAATATAAAGAGCGGAGCAGTGCTTCTGGTAAGGCTGGCCGTGGGCAACGCTGGACAGATGCCATCATGCCAGACAACATCAATCTTCGCGGTCCATCCATATATCGCAAGATACTACACGGCAGTCCTTCTTGTGGTCAGGCGTTGCACAAATTCCACAGGTTGAAATGGACTTTCTACAGATTTACTCTCTCCATACGAGTCAGGAAGGGGGAAATTTCTCTCACCTTGAAGCGGAAGCGGATATTGTTGATAATCCCCTGCTCGCTCCTCTTCAGCCCCGGCAAGAAGGCTGAACTCCGTGCGATCTTATTATTATTTGCGGCTATGGAAGGAACTACGCTTATGTGATGCATAATCTTAGCGCTGCTAGCGTCTTCGAGATGTGCCGTCGTTGCATCAATGCGTTCCCCAACGATACCGCCTCGTTCTGCCTAACTAAGCAATTCGTTTGCGTAGTCATTCCTCCTAACAGTGCATTGAAAATGATCAGAGTATTATTGACTGGGGATTGTTACTACAGCATAATCCCTTTTTTTATTATTGCCCACCAATCTCAATTACTCAATTCGCAGATAACCTGCTCTCGTCCGGGCCTTCCCCCTCTCGCGAATCGGCGCAGATCCCAAATCTTTGAATAAACTTCCCACTTGATTCCTGACATGTGGATGAGTTCAATTCTCCCCGAGAATTCGTTTGGAACATGCTCACCCCAGGAGAAAAGGTTTACGTAGCCCTTCCTCGAGTGGGGAAGCGCCGCCACACGGCGAACGAAGCAATTGACGGGGAAGTGTATCCCCGGAAATAACCATATGTCATGTCAAGCGTGTACAAGATCTGGCCTTAGAGTACGGATTTATCCTCTCAACGGTTTACGGAAATAAATAGTTAGTTATCCCGTTAGCTCAAGGAAACGAGAACGAAATTATCCGCTTTGTGGTTCTCTGGAACTCTAGGGCGGTTTAAAATCTGGTATAGAGCAGAAAAGAATAAACGCGGTTATAGATTTCGGACTGGTTAGCCTTGCGGAAAGGAAAAAGAAAAGAAAAGAGAAAGAAAAAGAAAAACTACCCCATCCTTCGAATTAAAGCGTTAGAAAATTCACATGCGTCCAGACTCCACATACAGGTCCATGCCAAAATTGGCTTTACCCCGGACACCAATTCTGCATGAACTGAACATACTATAAATCCCTACCGATGAGGTACATCCCGATAGAGATCCCTTTTATGGGGATAATAATATCGATGAATTTCTCGTTCCCCATGGGGACGGACGGACTCTGGGGTAGGCAGATTGATGGTTAGTACTACGTATACCTTGTGATAGTTGGGCGGCATATGGAGATATTCAGTTCGCAGCCATATTTTATCTCGTGATTCTCTATGGCTGGGTACGTACGCAACAGCGTAAATCGCTCGGGCTTGGAGACGCCGAGGAAAGTTCGTGAGGGACAGCACGATCAGAGAGGGAAGTCTTCGCTATCGATCCGATTCAGGATATGGAAAACAATGATATCCATGAAAATATGTCAATGCGCAGTGTTTAACGTGAGAAATGATAGCTCACTTCCCTGCTGGATGATCTTCTTTTCCCCTCACTTCATCTGCCGGTTCTCTCCCTCGCTGGGAATCCGCGGTCAAAAAAGAAAAAAAAAATACGGATAGAGGTATAAGTAGCTTGTAGTTGTTCACATGCGAAACCCATTACAAGCACCTATATGTTTGGCCTCGGAGACTAAAATAGGCTGTAAAGAAAAACTGTAGGTGCCATTGAGTTATTTAGTGTTGAACAAGGACCATTGCTGAACCCAAAGGGAAAGTAGGGTAGAGTAGGGTAGAAGCAAAACTCCAGCTTTGATAAAGACTTTCCATGAGCCGCATAAAGAATTAAAGTTACATAAATAAACAACTGAGAGTTTGGTAACTTTGTGTAAGCTTAATTACTTTAATAAATTGACGTAGAAGCCCCTGCGCTAAAAAAAAAAAACCAATTTGTTACCTGCATCATGATTCGTGAATAATCAATTCCACGTGTTGAACCCTCCTGATCAAACTTAAGACACTTGCTGACATCCAAGGTTTTCTTTCTCCCCTCTCCCGACTTACCCTGTGTCGCGTGTTTCAGAGCTGCATTCCTACCCTCTCTCTCGGGGTCCGATGTGGGAAAATTGTCAGGAAGAAAGATATATCTAGCATTTAAACCAGAAAAATGTGTCGGAAACTTCTATAGTTGCTTTTCCGCGAACCTCCACGCGTTACACATCAAGTCATGGCCTTTAGCGAAGCAGAAAATATGCCTCTCTCCATGGTCTGGATGATGGCCAATGGACTGCACCAATTGCGAAGACCTTGGGAAAGCTTGTTGCTGACTTTCTCTTTGATTCTCAACTAGTTATCCCTGTTAGGATAAAAATTGCGCACCGTGAGAAATGGAATTTTTTTTTTGTCTCCAAGTGATGCCGTTACAGTCCTTCCGATGAGAGGAGTCGGCATCAAGTTCGTCCAAGCGAGGGCGACGATGGAGTAAGGGAGTAAACTTATCTCCGCCGTAACATGAGCGGAGCCTCCACAAGTGCGCTTTGATAATGCTTGATAATTGTTATTATGTAACGTCTTCTTTGAGCTCACTCATATTCCGTTATTTTACACAGAGTACTGAGTAGTAAATTCGGTAATTATTTTATACATGGTTCATGCGCAGCTGGCAGGGAGGAGAACTTATATGGGTTGAAAACTTTTACTGCGACTTTCGGGCCAAGAGGGGAGGGGTGGGTTGGTTTCAGTTAGATAGCCAGAGCAACGACAAGTGGAACTCTTTGCCTTGGGTGCAGTCGCAGTAGCAATGTAGCAGGCCTAAATGCCATTCACCATTGTCTAATTTCGCCTAGAATATAGAACGATAGCTCCAATGCAAATACAACGCTGCGCAGGTAATAATGGCCAGGGACAAGGTGTCTGCAGGATACGGGAAGGAAATAAAGTTATCAGGAAGAATTTTACCAAGTTCACGCATGAATACGAAACAAATGTCTGTTAAGGTCCGGCATGAATCCTTTTCTCGGCTGAAAGAAGAAAAAAACGAAAAAGAAAAAAAAGAAAAAAAGAAAAGAGAGAAAGCTCCTAGCCCACTGAGGAAAAACGAACGCCATCGCACAACAGTGGTGGGGCGTGATTGATTGGCGATGATTTGCTTCGTGATCACCAGCTAGGATAGTCTCAACCCCCGGCCACGAATAAAACGGTTCCTTCTGTCAGGCGCGAGGCAGAATTATCATCCCATTCGCCGCAAATCTTTGCCCGGATGGCCACTACCACAGGCCCCGGCGGCGGATAGAGAGCAGCATGATTCTTGATGCCGTGCCGCGGCGAAATCAGGAGGCAATAGCATCATGTATCCCGGGCTGGTCTGCCATTTACATATAGGTAGGCATCTGATAATAGAAGGGTTTGCCTCCAAGCTCCTGACGATGATTGAATCAGCAGTTGTTTTAACGTTGCGGCACGTACAGCAGGGTTTCTCCAACTCTTCATGGCTGGGCCAAAGTTGCATCGTATCTTTAGCAGCAGAGGGAGATTTAAACTGACAAAACCTGGGCCTGCAACTTTTTCCTTCAATCAGGAGCCACATTCCTTCTTCAGCCAACTGAATTTTGTCAAGTGGCGAAGATCGCGGGCGTCTAAAAGAGGGGCATTTGCAAGCTAGTTTCCTCGCCGGCGATGTCATAGGCGGCTTGGCTTGTCTGCCAAACCAGCACCCAATCAGCAACCGCCTTTCAGCACCTCCGTTGACGAAGTTCTGAATTGGCCCATCGAGCTCTCCGCTGCACTGACACAAGGCTGAGCCTGCGCGAGAACGCGAGGAGTCTGAAAACCAGTGAAAATGGATTTCACGCGTGCTTGTTGCTGCGTGCGCTGATTTCCATCAGTAGCTTTGGCCTATGAACGGGTAATTCTCCGCTATCAACATCTACTAGTATTGTCGACGCCAATGGTTCTGCTGCCGTTGTGTGGCTGTGGGCATACATCTGGACTTGCGGGGCTCACACTAGAGCCACATATATTCATCAACAGGGGAAAGGCTCTTGACTGGACACTGGACAGAGCTTGCAGACTCATTCGTCTCACAGATATTCTGAGGAGCCACTACATCTGGTTTTCCATATCTTTGCCGCCTGCTATGCCTTTGTGGTCGTTTGCCATCGCATGTTTGCGATTGGAGGCCATAGAAAGCTAAAAAGAAGTCAACTCTTCCTCAACAGTCCTATACAGAGCGACGTCATTCGATTAAGCCAAATCGGTTTTCGTGATATTAATTAAGCCTGATTATTTGCATATCCATACATCATCTCGTATGATTCCCACCGCAGTTGTCTACTTGATCATTGCCAACCGGTGATCTCCAATTCGAGCATGCTGAAATCAAATTTCCCCGCAATATGGGATCCCCCTTTTTATCACTATTCGTCTCGTATTGCTCTGTCAGGAAGCTCTTAGACATATTTCATTTGCCAGTTCTCCAGCCTCCAGCGGCGACGACCGTGCTCCAGAAATGTCAATCCCCAGCCAGGATCTACATTTAATTATCCCTTCAGACAAAAGCTGTCACAGCAACCGGCCATAGCTATTGATTCCATCAATTTTGGTCACCTCATAAAAGGTCAAGAGCTTTTTCGAATAGCTCAATGGACTATCAAAACACCGTATGAGTGTCCGTGAGTAAAACGTTGGGATCTGAAGATCTAACCTTGCAGCTAGGAGTGCTACAAAGCAAAGTTCATTCAATTTTGCTCAAGGAAGATCTCCCAGTTGAGATGAAGTTGGGTACGACATACGTGGATAGACAGGACATATGTAAGCAAACACCAGCGCAGAGCACTTCTGCATACACGACCAGCAGGGAGAAGAGGTCATGAGATCTCGAAGGCGATATTTTGGGGGCTTTATTTTCCAAACTTGGCTTTTGAACCATTTGGGAGGTAAAAGCAACCCCCCTAGGATGCATCAAGCGAGTGATACATGACTTTTTGGAGCTAGCACCTTTTTACAAAAACGTGGTTTACCTCCAAAGTAGCTCCCCCTTTTGGAAGAGCATACGATCAAAAGTAACCCGAAGCGAGGTAGCGCAAAGAGGAACGAGGAAGGGTTGTTGTGCAGCCTTTTCCTTCCTGGCTGACATTATACTCAATTTACATACCAAGACTCTGCGTATATACACTCTACCCCTGATCACCCTGTGGTGCACTGTACACGAGACACTGCAGCTTCTTATGCTACCCCTCACTTGCTGCTGGGCGACTTGATGATAGTGATGATTACGATAGATCCATCCCATGTGGATGACGGGAGGATGGACAAGGAGCGATGCCCAACTCTCATGGCAAGTCGACTTGCAGCATCTGTTATTCTTTTCTTGCCGGTAGTGGTGTATTTTAGTTGGTTGTACGTCAGATGCACGTACTGATACGTATAGACATGTCCATCTATGTATATGCATGTACCTACAAAGGGTAGGCGGCCAAATAGGGGTTTACTTTCAAACCCATGAACTCTTCGTAGCTTCTCTCCCTAGCTTTTTCTGGCTGCTGTAGATGTCATAAGGCATGGGCGCACCGCATGGCAGTGTGGGGTTCTCCCAAGGGGTTTGGGTATTATATTAGCCTGATGGACTGGTGGTGCGTTTCCAAGAATGGGGAATTATCAATTGTGGACGATGATGATGGTTGGGCATTGTCGAGGAGCTCCTGACTAAGATTTTTTTCAGCAGAAACCACTGATGATCACCACACTAGCGACAGAGCAAGGAACTTGCATCAATAGTCAGGCTCTTTGGCTTTGAAAATTTTACTTTCCCGTTTGGATGTTGGATGGAGAGCTGAGGTATAGCTAAAGAAATGTCAACGCAGCGCGCATATTTCAGGGGGCAGTCAATCTCCTGCACTATCGGCTGGGCTCCCAAAAACGATGTCAACATTGAGAAGCTCAGGAATTAGATAGGACAATGATCCTGCAAACATCACCCTCTCATCGCCTTTATTGAGTATGGTTACCCAATACGCATCTCAGAGTATGTGGCCTCCCCAGACCGGCCTGTAGCCGCATAGACATAATCAGGCTTCTGCCCCAAGGGGACTCATATCGCAAAAGTCATGCCGAGTTTAGTCGGCATGGTCCGTGCTACACTTCCGATAACCTTCGGCATGGTATTGACGTTCGGGAAGCTGCGGGTATCCTGTTTCGTAAATCTAACGAACCTAGGGACATTAAAATGGAAGTTAACTCGCCGTGAAACATCATGTATTTGCGAAGAGCAGTGGCTGGTAGATAAGGGTTAGGGGAGCAAGGGAATTTAGCGCACTCAACAGAAAGGAAAAGAAATGAAAAAGAAACTTGCGGACTCATAGGCAAAGATATTGAGGTAGGGGAGATGGGAAGGGCGAGAAATAAGAGAATACGAAACAAGGAAGAGAATTTGTTGTGCCTTAAGGTTGCACGCTCAAGAGAGTTAAGTGTAACTAAACAGCGAATCCTAAAGAGCTGGGAAAGTTATCTTGATTGGTAGCTATGCTATCCAATGCGTGGAAACATGAAGAAACCGACAGGAAAATGACAAGTTAACAGAGGGAGTTCATGCAAAGTGGCTGCAACCAATCTGGCCTCCTATTAACCGCAGATGACCCATTTTATTTGCAGTTCATCACGAGATTGAATCCAAGGGAGTCTGTGCTATGTATGCCTGCGTCGTGCCACGCTGGTACGGGCGCCGTGAGAGGTGGCTATGCATTTGAGTTCTACCACGAACAATGCCATTGTATGGAACAGGGTAAAGAAGGTCACGTCATCTGCAATATGGGACAAGTTTGTCATAGGATTCAGAAGAAGGGTAGATATGGAGGTAGCTAATAGTATTTCAGAACGATATTAAATGCCGGAGAAATAATCCTGGGAAAAAGTCTGCGCGGAACTTATTTACATGTATTTGGAAAGAAGTAAGGAGGTAGCACAGAAAAAGCTAGCCTGTATATGAACAGAGCCTCCCATCCAAATTGGAACATGTTTCACACGTTCAAACATTACATACAAGCTCTTTCCACGTATCCGTAGGTCTTTGTAAAACAGTAAAAAGGAGCAAACCAACCCTCTTAGATGAGGAAGTTCATCGAAGATGTAGAGACATCAGTGGTTGAGTAAATATATCAATTAGGATGATAGGGATGATAGACAGCATTGGACTCTCATCAGAGTGCATGTCTTGGGTCTTGGTGGGTTATGAAGTCCACAGCCCGCTTCCCAAATGGGATCAAGGCACCTAGATAAATCTGAATCGCATTTCAATGTTAGCTTCTTGTCTAAATCAAGCACACACGTACGATGTGCTGGTAGCTGCTTAAAGAGAATCGACAATGCAAAAGTGGGATGCATATCAGAAGTCCAGTTAGATCATCGGGGTGAGACCAGAGGTCCCACCCCTGACATAAGAGGTACCAGAAAATAATTGTATTGGTGTATATCATCATTGGCAAGAAGGAATGGAATCGGCAGCTGGGTAAGACGAGGCACGTACCAATTCAAGCATTCAACCGTTCAAGCAAAAGTGTTAGCTGTTCGAGCTTCTGCTTTTAAAGAGTGATGTTAGTGCATCAACAAATTAGCACTCAGCCAGAGCTGATGGTATTCTTCAATTGAGAAATAATAGCTTTGTTTTTGAAGTTTCTGAGTTGTGCGGAAAGAGAAAAAGAAGTCGTGATAAAAAAACTAAATTTAACCTGGTTGAAGCTGCTTATTAATAATACACTAGACTGCTTTTGTAAAATTACATCACGTGAGATGAATACCAAGAACCAATGATTCGTAGCCAAGATATCGCCCGCCGACTAATCACATTGCAGAACGGAACGGCGAGCACGTTGTTGCTTGCTGTAATGGCGTGGTTGTCGGCAGAGAGCTCGACCAGGGACTATCGGCGGGGAGCCTTCAAGAAGAATAATAGGGACGATCAAATCCTCCAGACCTCGCCTTGGAAGTCCCTACTTATGCTGCTAATTTGGCTCAAGCGACAATCGCCATTGGCGATGCCGAATCGGATTTTTCATATCTGCCCTCTGTTTGAAAATATAAGAAGAGCTACACCCCGTGCTTCGGACAGAGCAGGCTACAGTTTATTCCATTGTCTCGTAACCGATCCTGATCGCAGCAATGCCGTTGGACGCTCTTTTCAGAGGCTGGCGCTTGCATCCGCATAGCACTCGCGCCCCTTACGAGGCAAATAATGAGAAACTCATGGATCGCTTTCTGGATGTGATTCACCGCAATTGGCACCTGGGGTTTACCTCATTTGGTGGACCCCCAGTGCATTTCAGAATTTTCTACCAGAAATTTGTTGAAGGCCGAGGAGAGAAAACGCCCTGGATCGACGAGCAAACGGTAAGGAGGATAATATATTCCGAAGCTTTTTTTATTAACAAAACTCCATGAAACTGACAATTTTTAACAATCCTTTTAGTATCAAGAACTATTTGCTGTATGTCAGGCGTTACCAGGCCCTGGCAGCACAAAGATGTTATTCTGCATCTCTTTAATCCATGCTGGCTTTCTACCAGCTATTCTTGTCTTCTTGATTTGGAGGTTGGTATTAGGATCACTCTGGAATGATATGTATTTGCTGCTTTTATATGAGGATTGAACTGATATCGTTAACATGGTTAGCCTCCCTGGTGCAATCGGAATGTATGGGCTTTCCCTTGGAGTCCAACAGATAGATGAGGTGCTTCCTGATATTGTATATGCTTTTCTCTCTGGCCTAAATGCGTCCACTGTTGGGATAATCACCCTCGCGGCTGTACAGGTATACATATATACTGCCTCCCATTGCCTTGTAACTACTGGACATAGCTAATTTAATGATTGCAGCTGGCGGAGAAAGCAATCAAAGATCCGTTAACAAGGATTCTCGTTATCATGGGCGGGTGTGCTGGCCTTTGTTACAATGCACTTTGGTATTTTCCAGTGCTTATTATAATCGGAGGAATATCCACTGTTGCATGGGACCTCGTTGGCCGCCAGAATATCGCCAAAATGAGAAGAAAACTTCGTCGAAACTCAGACCCTCAGCGAGAGGTCGAAGAAAGCAGTGGACAGTCAACCACTTTACGTGAGCTGCCACGTCCTACAGGTGGGGTGCAGAAACGATCTGGTATTGCAAGTAATACCAATTCATCCAATACACCTGTTGGTTTGGACGCTGTAGGTGAGCAGGAAACAAACCGAATTGCGAGTATAGATACACGTTCGCACAAGATTCCTACCAAATGGGGAATTTTAATTATTGTTGGCTTTTTTGGTCAGTGCCTAGCTTTACTAGCATCACGCTACAATATTAGCACGTCTCACTCACAAAATTACCAGCTACCTTTGTCGCTATCCTTGTTGCACGTGGAGTTGTCAATAAACCCCCACTGGAATTGGATCTATTTGCAAGCATGTACCTTGCGGGAACTATTATCTTTGGAGGTGGCCCCGTTGTCATCCCCCTACTCCGCGAATACGTCGTTGAGCCTGGCTGGGTGTCTCCTCGAGATTTCTTGATCGGCCTCGCCATTATTCAAGCCTTCCCAGGACCAAATTTTAACTTTGCTGTTTACCTGGGTGCTTTAGCCTTGGTGCCTTCCACGAATCCCACTATTCTAGGCGGATTTTTAGGGTTCCTAGGCATCTTCTTTCCTGGTACCACACTGGCAGTGGGCTTCCAGAGCATTTGGAGAAGCATTCGAAGCAGCTCTTTCATTACAAGTCTGTTGCGAGGTATCAATGCTACAGCGGTCGGGTTAGTCTTCACAGCTGTATATCGGCTCTGGGAAATTGGGTATCTGAGCGCCGACTCCATATCGGGACAAAGTTTGGGAAAGGAGCCATTCTGGTTGGTCGTAGCCGCTCTATCCTACACTGGAAATGCTTGGTTCAAGGTTCCTCCTGCTGTTGCTATTTTTGTAGGGGGTATTTTGGGCTTGTGTTGGTATGGTGCTGTGGGACGATAATAAGATGAACGGCTCCTAGAAGATTTTGAAAGAAGTTACAGTGTTTCTGTGTGGGCTACCCAAGTGATGGCGATTTTCATCATTTTTGTAATCTCCCATACACTGTGATTTACAGCATATACACATTTTCCCCTTCCCAGATGTGATTTGCATGTAAGGTCATCTGATGTATGATGTGAATTCAGCAATTTGGCCCAGAAAATCTTGTGCAATCATGATACTCTCTCTCATCTTTGGTTCCAATTTGGGTTGGACGACCTTGGGAATAAACTAATGAAAAGACAGCTTTAGTTTATTTCTTTTTTCACACAAATTATAATTATTTATTTTTATTGCCAAATAAGTCTCCATACCTATGAACAAATAGTTCTGTGAAGATTGTTCTCAATGGATCAGGTTACTCTGCCCCTTTTTCATGGGCTGGTCGCACTTTACAGTAAAGGCAGCAGGAATTGTGACAAGTCAAAGAGTCAAATACCGGTTTATCTAGCTCAAAAAGGAATGAGCTTGGATGAACCTCCAAGTCCCTATATAGCTAAATTGCACCATCATCACAATATCCTTTTCTATCTACCCAACGATTGATCTCTGAGCTCCTGGAGGATCTTGCGGGCGAAGATCCTAGTTGAGACTCAAGCATAACTAGCTGAATAAGGAAATCGATGACTTGGAGACTGCGAGGAAGGTCCTGCTGTAGGTGGGACGAGAGGAAAGGGCTGGAAGGAAGATATTTCTGGTGGGCTAGCGTGCTAAGATTTCTCTGATTTTTATTCGTAGTTCGTTGCATTTTGATGTATGGTTTAGAAGTTGCCAAAGATAGAATGTTCAAGACTTTGCACTTTGAGGTATTTAATTATAAAGGAAGATTACTTGCTCGCGTGACAACACGGAATAAGAATATCAAGGGTTTGGTCACCTCTTGACTCAAGTCGAGCCAGAAATAGGCAGCAAAGATCAATGAGTGGAATGCTTCGAGTGAGTTGGACCCAAGGTAGCAGATGTGATAATGGAAAACTTGATAGCCTTCACGGCATGGAAATACGGCCGTCTTCTTCTTTACTTGCATTCGACGAGGTTTTCTTCAATGTCTAACTTGCGGTTGGTCAATGGACGAGATAATTTGGAATTCGGAAGCCTCCGAATGGCGAATGTCATATGAATAGTTCCTTTGAGGACGCATTTGGCCCTTGGTATAAGGAACCCTGCCCTACTGCTGCACCTAATCAGCTAATCTTATCAGTCATACCTATTATTTCGGGGTTGGTAGGTCCGTAATTTTGCCACCTTAGAGATGGCTATAGACGCTTCCAGGTATCAAAATTCTTCATCAGGATGTGCCTTTAGAGCCGTGAACTTATTCCCAAAGTTCTTTCACACTTCATTTACGCAGGGGCTTTGGCTTCCTAAGGACTACAAAACGCGATATCTGGAGCCTATTTCATCCTGCATTGCTTAAAGCAGTCATTGCTTCAAATATTGCTGGGGGCTTTGGAGCTACTGGGATTCACGCCTACAATCTCCAACATGTTTTGAAGAGACTTCAAAAACAGCCTTTTACACTACCCGAACAGGCTGCTATTGTGATGGAACGGTCTAATAAGAGATGAACTGCATATTATATTGTCCCTAGTACGAGAATACAAAGCTGGAGAAAGGAAAGAAAGAAGTAAACAAACCAAAACCAGCTACCTAACACATCTATATCATCCTGTCAGGCGAATCCCGTTGCCCTACTACTTAGCCCTAACGACCCGATTGGGACAGGGTCCGAATCCGCGCCGTCACAGCTATAGCATCTTATACACCGATCTCAATTAGGGAATTGAGCAGGTAGTATAAAAGGGCTAGACACCAGCAGATTAGTGTTCTTGAAGGGTTGGACAGGCTTCAATATGAGAACAAGAAAAGCTTCAACAACGCGAAAATCGTATGTTACGCGAAGGTCTACAGATTAAAGGGGTGCGAAGCAGGCGGAGCAAGCCCTGGATGATCCAATTTTGGCAAACAGTCAGGGGTGCCAGACTCCACTGTTCGACTTTCTCCTGAAAATCCAGTCAAGACCCGTAGAGATCACTCTCGCGCTGCGTCGCTGCCAATCACGCGGCCAGTAAAAGTAGGACGTTAGAAAGGAAGGAATAATCCTTGCAAGCCGCTGTAGAGGATGTCACAATACCGTTTTATCAGGCAAACCGGATCGCCTTGTTCCGTTTGGCCGTGGGGTCGTTGCAAATCCAAAGCCACAGCCATGGTTTCAGGACGTATCGGGGAATGGGACAGTGAGACCCAGATGATGCATCTTTTTCCTACCCAGCTTGCCTTTAGGAGGAGGCGCCAACAGCCCATCCCAGCCGAGGCTTAGCGATACCTCGGCCGGTTGGCCAACTCAGAAACTGAAGTGCGTCTATTAGGCCACCCACCCTAAGATGAATACACCACACCAGCTGACGAGACGCCAGCGAAATGATTGAGGCGAGGGTGGTGTGCCAGGCAAACCATCGACTGTCTAGACTGGAACCAAGAATGGAGAGCGTCCACGCCGTGGATGCAGGCTAAGAAAACATGCTGAAACAAGCCCGAATCCAGTGATCCGGCTATGCCGCCGTCCGCGTAATTTGTGGCCCGCTCCTCTGCAAGGGGCTGGCAGAATGGGAAAAGGGAAAGGTAGAGAAAGGCCCTGGGCGTCGCAATCATCGTCTCTCTCACAGAGCTAGTCCCTTGAACGAGTGTGGGCTGGCGAGGTTGAGTGCGGAGCCATAGCGTCCAGCATGACAGGACGGGCGCGGGTAAGCAGTCCAAGGTGAACGCGCGAGCATGAGTGAAAGGAAAGCAGATGGAGGCCGTCGAGCAACGCACCAACGAACTTTGATAGATGGAGGCTGCGTGTCGAGCGGCTGGCGGCGGAACTTTCCATGCCAGGTCTAGCGCAGAGCACCACACCCGATCGGGCGGCGCTAAACCGCAACAGGAAGGTCACCCCAAACGGCGGCGCGCTGGCAAATGCGAAGCGTATGTTCAAGCCTCAATATTTCTCTTGACGCGAAACCCAGCCGACGGGAGTGGATGGGATTTCGACCCTTCCCAATGGATTACCCAGAGACACAATATGGACACCCAATGGATTCTGGCATTGAATGGCTTGAAGAACAGGGCAATCCCTGAGCTTCCTCTGCCCAGAGCATGCCTAGAGTAGGCTCAACTCCCCATGAAGATTTAAAACCATTCCGCTTCAGGTACCTAACCCAAACCAAGCCTCGGAAACTTTTCTTGCTTTGATTTATTCTCTTGCCGTTGAGACTTCTGCAAGAAGTAACTTGGTCTATGCGAGGCGGTCTCCCAAAGCATTTGTTTACAGAATGGTGTATCTGGTTTTATACCTTTTCGCGCATCCAGGCCTAGGACCTGTTTCAAGCATTCCCTTAGCATCTTCAGACAAAAGATCAAAGCTTCTCCGTTGCCTGATCTTCGAGACTTCATTAAAGCAAAATGCAAAATGCGGACTCCTCGCCTCACTCCTATCAAAGTCAAGCACCATGTAGCTTTCGCTTTGATGGTGTCTAGTCAAAGATAGAATCAGGCATGCTTGAGTGTTCATTCAATCATCACTATAAACTCCCAGGCTCTTTTCCCCACTTCACACCTCTGAGGAGAAGCTATATAGAGCAGTGCACCCTGCGTGACAGCTTTTTTCCTTTAATTTTTGAATTCCCTCTTCCATGCCCTTCAGTATGGATAGCAAGACACAGAGTAGAGCAGTTCTTGTAGAACTGCTCCATTCCTCCATACCTCTCATCCCCTTGTTATTCCTTTTTGTCTCTGCTTGCCTTCAAAAATATCCGCCAAGCGCAACGCGACTCCTGAAGCATTGGCACAGTGTTGGCGAGTTGCAATCAGCTGTTTGATAGCAACTATGATATTGAGCTATGTACAAGACTCACTATCTTCTAGCTCATAGTCATATCACTCACAAGTCTCAGGCGGTGGACGCGCTAGTTCTTGTCGCCTTTGTCAAATCAGGATCTAATGCTCCCGCGAGGGGGGGCAGATTTGTATGTGGCTGCTTCTTGTTCACAATGTTTTCATGTCTGCTCACTTTGGTTTCCGCAGCTTTACCTATGGACATCGAACTTTACGTGGCTGGTGATTCTACTCAGGTGATTCTACTCTTGTGTATTGATTCAAAGGCGCCGATTAGCTACCCATTCTACGGCACCTGGATAGTATATCTGACAACTGAATTTGTTTTATTGTGGTGTCTGTTCTGCAACACATTCAACCCTCGACTAGCAATATTGCTTTTGAAGGTCTCAGACTTGCGCTGCTTACAATGTTTGTGGCATTGGCTGTTTTTGCCTCATGCATCATGACAACCGGGATATCCAACCCAGAGAGGGTGCCTCTCTTACAAGAAAGTCTAAGCTCCAGCGAATGTGGCGCTGCATGTAGCATTGTGGACTACTGGAACTTTTTTTAAGGTATGTGTTTATTCCCTGCTAGAATGGCCGTCACTAAGTACTCTCAATAAGGTGATGTTTTACTTCTTTTGGCCATCAGGAAAAAGAGGCTATCAACTCCTCTACCTAGGCATTGAGGGATGCCTAGTTGCTGAGCAGGTGGTGAACATAGCCATCCCTCTTCAGCTTGGATTGATAACAGATGCGCTGGCAGACTTCAACAGTGAGCCATTGTTGGCCAACCTAATTCTAATTCTAGTATGCTGCTAATTGTCTAAAGGAACCATCCCCGGGAAAAAGATAATGGTATTTATGCTACTGCAATGGCTCGGCTCAAGTGGCGGATTAGTAGTGCTCAGGGAGCATGTGCAGACGGTCCTTGACAATCATTCATACCATCAAATAACCACCACAGCATTCAACCATATCATGTCCTTGTCGAGTGACTTTCATGACAAAACGAACTCAACAGCTCTGGCACAAACTGTTATTCGTGGCCGAGGAGCCCGAGGTGGTGTGGCCAAGCGTATATGTTTTTGGGTGGTCCCGATGATTGTGGATCTAGCTTTGGCCGCCGGCACTTTATATTACATCTTTGGCGCTTATATGTCGTTGATAGTTGCAGCCGTGGCCGTGGTGTTAGTGTGGACATCTAGCAAGCTGATTCACCACCAGCAAGACAGATGGAAGCAGTGGGCGGAAAAACAGACAAATGAGGCAACCATCTTCCAAGAGTCTCTTAGTCATTGGAGGATAGCGGCATACTTTAGTTGTGTCCCTCATGAACAAAATCAAGTCTGGTCTGCTGTTCAAGACCAGCTGAAGTTGAGAGCTACATCAATGCTCTGAAGAGGCATGGTGACTGCTGCTCAATCAACAACTCTCCAGTTGGAGCTGGCGGCGGCCTTGATTATCACAGCATACAAGGTTGCCTCTGGCACAAAGTGTGTTGGAAGCTTTGTGATGCTGCTCAGTTACTGGGCACAACTCTCAGGCCCTCTACAGATGCTTGTTCATGGATTTAGAGATTTTGCCAAAGAGATGGTTGAGGCTGAAGAGTTGATGAAGGTTTTGCACCAGGACCCAGCCATTACTGACAGTCCCAGCGCTCAACCTCTGGTTTGCAAAGAAGAAGATTTTATAGATTTTAAGAAGGTTAGATTCTCTTATGATGGGGAGAGAATAGTCTTGAAAGATATCAACTTTCATGTGCCCGCTGGCAAAAAGACCGCCATTGTTGGAAAGTCTGGGGGATGAAAATCAACAATTCTAAGCCTGCTCCACCGGCTGCGAGATCCTACCGCTGGTGTTATCAGCATTGATGGACAGGTTTTATCCAATGTCACGCTTGATAGCCTGAGGGCAATGCTTGGTATTGTTTCTCAAGATACTACCCTGTTCCAGGGCACGATTGAGGAAAATGTTCGCTTTGCAAAGCTGGATGCCACCCATGAGGAAGTCAAGGATGCATGTAAAGCTGCCGCTATTCATGATAAAATCATCAGTCTCCCAAATGGTTATGGTACCATGGTTGGAGATGGTGGCGAACTGCAGTGTGTCACGATAGCACGAGTGATTCTCAAAAACCCAAAGATTATACTCCTGGACGAAGCCACCAGCAGTCTAGACAGCGAGACCGAATCATGTGTGCAACAAGGATTGAAGCAGCTCTGTGCTGGTCGGATCATGATTGTTATTGCGTAAGTCTCTTCAAACCGCAAGCCACTATCTCTTAGTAACAGTTCCTTCCATAGGCATCGCCTATCTAATGTGATGGATGCGGATCAGATTCTTGTAGTGAAGGATGGGAGTGTTGTGGAGAGGGGAACACATCCATATCTTCTGAACCGCAAGGGATATTATTATAGTCTGTGCGAACTGCAAGGCCTTGTTATGATTGACAAAGATGAAGAACGAAGAATCATTGGCTAGTGCGCCGGAACAATGAGATAATCCGATGTCCAAGTTGGTTGAGAATCCAAGCCCTGAGTGTCACGTGCGTCCATGAATGTCTTGTTGGGGGGTTGATCGGCCCTTCTACCAGCAGTGCGCTGGTGGTGACTGAGCTCTTTTGCCCCAGTAGCCTACATGTCTCGACTTCCTCCCCTCCTCCTCCCGAACCAAGACCTCAAAGTGAGTCAGCTCCGTGTTGGGTTTTACATTGAAAATTGAGAAAGGGCTGCGACCGCAGTCCTGACTGAGCAGCCAAAAGGATCCTGCCTGCCTTTTCGCGTCAGCCAGCAAATTCGGGGGTTTATGGGCGATAAACGCCTTGCACGTGTCACATATCTTCCCCGCTGCAAGTGCTGATTGTCATTCAAAGCCTGACTCACTGAACTGCGCAAAAAGAAAATATGAGGCTTTCTTTGGCTCGTTCTGGAGTCATTTGGCTAATAAAAAGGCTTGCTTCCACATGAAAATGCCAAATCAAGGCAACCATCTGCCTGCAAGGACATGCATCAGGCAATGTGCTGGCAAGAAAGGCAGATCAAGGATCTCGGCCTCATTCATCTCTTTGCTTTAGACCGGGAGGGACGGTGCTGAGAGGGTTTATAAACCTCGCATCGTTTCTGCCTCCATCCTTTGAATTTTAGAATTATACAGAGTGCAGGCAACTGAAATCATTCTCGTCGACTCTTCTCTCTTGCCCTACCACAAAAGCCAAGAATCCATATATACGAAATGGCCCCCCCCAATGAACAGAGTCTTTTCCAAGACATCCAAGCCGAGCTACAGGCCAAAAGACAGCGATTCACGCAGCTGGAATAAGAAGAGACTCAGGTGCTAGCCTACATGAATGATCTTGAGGCTCAGGCACACGCAATGCAACTGCTGAACACGAGTGCCAGGGAGGCTCAAAATGCCCGTTTCATGCAGAATACCGGCATGACGGTGGGGCAACAGATTCACAACCAGAGGGCGAAACTCAATGGAATCAGAGCCAATTTGGCCGCTGTGCGAGACGCAATTGAATTACTCAGTCATTCATAGTGTATAACTCAATTCCCCCGATCCCTACTGATGATATACACTAGATATATCGCGCCAATGGTGATAAGTGGCCACCGCGAGCGTGGCCTTTCGAGCTCAGCTTTCAGCTCCTGTTTTTTTCGGACTTCTCTTTCAACTCTTGCCAAGAGATCCACTTCATTCCCATCCCTAAAGATCTTGTCTGCTTTTTCGCTGAAATCCTTCAACTTCCTCACCAGCCCGGCTTCTTGCTCTTGTGTGAAAATTGGATAGGAAAAGGTCACACGTTGTTCTACTCCCAACTTTTGTCTCTCCTTTTCAAAGTGTGCCAATTCGACTACCTTTTGCTTCATAATTTCAAGTTCAGATTGCCAAATTCTCAATTTAAAGAATGCTTCCACTCGCTGGTTACGGTCCCAATCGTAGTAACAAGAATCTAGAGCATGGCAGTAGACGCTTCCGAAGGAGTGGGGTTTCAAAAGTCCGTGAGCAATAGCTTGGTCCTCATACGCCTGCTGGCGCCAAACACTCGCCATGGGAATCTCTGATCGCAGTTTTCTGTGAGGGTTGTAAGAAGTGTACACAAGCTCACACATGGAGTCAATGAAGTCTAGAGCTGCCACTGTATATGGGAAAGAGAATAAGGGCTCGGCAATTTGCGCCACTTGGAGGTTTGTGAGCCAGTAAGGGGGAACCGCAAACAACTGAACTGGGAGAGTGTGACTCCACTCCCAGTCCAGAATTGATGTGATGTTGAAGTTGTCATCGATAACAATATTGGACGGGCGGAGATCACCATGCATCAAAATGAAAGGGCCATGATTGTACTCTTGTTTAACCCACCCCATCACAATACCCTGACCTGCCCAAATACTGTATCGATAATGTCGCGCATCTTCTTCCCCCACTATGGAATCCGGGCACCGGCAGTAGTCATTGTAGATGAGTCTGAAAATCAGGTATATGTAATCAATTGCCGAGGTGAAAGTCTGCTAAGGAGGGAGAAAATGTGAACAAAAATCAAAACCACTGACTTCCTGATCATTGACATCAACTGTTAGAGGGCGGTTGTTGGCAAATACCCAGTCCTCATCATGCTCATCAAGGGTGAGAGCTCCGATTTGGTCGAATTGTTGGTGATAAAGTTGGATATAAATATCAGCAAGTTGGGTGTAAAAATGTTCTCTTGTCCTTTTCTCAAGATCTTGAAGTACAACACCAGCCAATGTCTTCCCCTCAATATACTCCATAAGCATAAATGGAAGGCCAAGGATGTTGTCATCGCTGTTTATGGAGTAACCGTGTAGATGAGGAATGGGAATGGTGGTCTTCTCTGCAATATACCTATTTGCTGTTAGATTTGCTTGTAGTTATACTATGAATTCAGGACTCCTGGGAAAAGACTGCCTACTTCATGGTTGCAATTTCACTGCGCATCTTCTCTTTCGGAAATGCCAGTCGAGGAAGGAGAGGAATCCTGACCATCCATTTCTCACCTTCCATGCTCTCGGGATCCTGGTTAAAGATCACAGGAAAACAGACATTAAAGCCACCCTTCTTCCAGTCTGAGAAGATCCGACAGGCACTTTTGGCAGGATGAAAGGAAGTGGCCAGGTCACAGACTCTTGTAGGATCAATTGAAGCTATAAGCTCCTCAGCGGCTCGATCAACTCTGTGCTTTGTTATTTGATCCATGATCGCAACGCCGGGGAAAATCAGGTTCGTCCGGGAGTTGGCTAACAGGGATGTAGCGAGGAAGCCCTGGTAACGCCGGTTCAAGATGGAGAGGCGTGTTTTCCAGGTCAAGCACCCAGTGATGGGCTTCGGGCTAATATAGGAATCGCTAGGGAAACTAGGAAACGCTATACACACACATATAGGGCACGTGACGCTCAGAGCTCGGAGTATACCTTAACCACCCCTCATGCTCCTCTGCACAGGAAAAGCTCCTCTGCATGGCTGAGGAGAGTATTAGATTGAGAAAAGGCAATCAAGCGGCTCGAGCCCTTTGGGCCACTTGCTACGAAGGACTGCCTCAATGGCGGCCGAACAAGCCGATGCGTCGCGAATCGACGCCTAGCTACACGCGTTCCTAGCTGCGGGAACGACGACGAGAAACTCGACCAACAAGACCCATGATAGAGCCGACGATGGAACACGGAAATCCAAGAGAGCCAGTAAACCCCCAGTGGGCTTTGACGCGTTTGTATATGAACAACCGGGAGCGCCGAAGAAGCAACAGTCAAGGTCAACCGCAAGGCCTGCAACAATCCACACCTGATATTCGAGACGGCAAAAGCAAGCGGGACATCTGAGCTCCAGGATCTAGTGAGAATACTACTTGATAAGCTTGAGGCAAATCAGGCTTCAACCGCCAAGCTACACGAGACGAATGTAGCGCTCCACGAGATAAATACGGCACTACACGAGACAATCAGCGGATTGAAGAATATAATGATAGGGATGGAAGGCAAGATTTACAAGTCTTGGGAACAAAGTAGCGGAACTTGAGAGCAAACTCGCCTTCCCCCCTCCATCATGGACATCTGTGGTGGCAGGCACGGCGCAAATCCCACCAGCCACCTCCCCAGCTACACCAGCAAGCTCCCAGCGGAAATCCTTAGCATCTATCCCATCAGCAGGTTCCAACTTGATGCCTCTCGCCTTTCCTCGCCGTCCATAGTGATCGACATGTCAGAAGTGGATGGAATTGGACAAGATACGACAGCCCAAAAAGCCACCAAGAGCTGAATCCAAACAGCACTCAAGAGCTTCAAGGAGACCGAACAGATCAGGGTGAAAGGACTGGCAACCACCAGTAACCCCTCCCGGTATCGAATTCTACTCTACTCTGGAGAGGACGAGCAGAAAGCACGTGTCAACCGATGTTAGCTGGAGTTCCACCTGAGGGGAGCCAAGTTCGGCCTGCCTCAGGAATTCCCCATTAGGGTCGACAATGTGAGAAAGGAGGCAGTGATTGATGTCCATGATAAAGCTGGATGGATCTCAAAAGACAAGTGTGAAATGCTCAGTGAAGAGAATCTTTATAATGAAAAACCAACCACAGTGACCAGGGCAAGATGGCTGAGTCGGCCCAATGTCGGAAAGAAATATGGATCCATGGTAGTCTATCTTTCCAGCAAAGAGGCAAGGGACTAGTTGGTCCAACATCATCAAATCTTTGATGTAGATGGGGAATCACGCTTTGTGGTAGAGTATGAGAACCGACCTCGGATCACTAGGCGCTTTCAGTGCCATAGTCTTGATAGGCATATCGCAGCTCAGTGCCCTCCCCCGCAGCGTGTATTCTATGTGCAGAGACGTCCCACGAGGAGAAGGACTGCCAGGCAACCACACCCCGGTGCGCGACCTGCAAGAAAGAGGGCCACACGCCTCGTGACGGACAGCAGTGCCCGGCCTACTGTGGGCTACTCAACAAACATGTCCATGCATAAGTTACAGATAATCCAAGCGAACCTTAAAAAGATGGAAGAAGCACAGCACAGCCTGCTAATGACGAGGATCTTGCGGAGGCAAGTCTACTACTTATCCAAGAACCACACTGCCACTCAAATTTCGAACACCTATTCATCATAGGACAATACTCGCGCTAGTGGGAAGTCCTATGACCCTCAGTAAGGGCAGACTCAACCTACCCCTACCGGTCAGCAATCTGGGCCAAGAAAATCCTACTATTTCAGCAGGTGGAGGTGAAATCATCAGACATAGTGGGAGTTCAGGTCACACTTCCAGAGGTTACCATGGTAATCTTCTCAGTGTACATTCCCAATGACCACAGCCAGGGACAACTACCGAGGAAGTGGCTACGGGAGCGATTAGAACATATGGAGAATGCCATCGAGGCCTACAGAGCCCGGTGCCAAAGCCCATCTTTGGAGGTCATCGTGAAGCACTCTCTGCCTAACTGCTCCCAATGGACCGAACAGAGACAAAATCTACAGGAGAGAATTGGGCTGGGAGTGAACAATCTTCCTCGCCTGCTAGGAAATAAGCCTGAAGGATCGCCGGACGATTGGAAGCCAGATATGGTGATGATTAAAGCAGCTATCCAATTTGCAAGAGAGACTGGAAGGCTAGATGAAAGCCGAGAATAGGAGGAGCGAAAGGTTGATACTAACAAACCAAGTCAGCTAGAGAGCCACGGTAGACGATGAAGAAACCTGGCACTCGAGAACAGTACTCCCGAGAAGCACAGCTGGCCGCTATAAACAACCCCTATCAACTTACCCCCTCCCTACCGCCCCCTCAAAACAAGAATAGGCAACTTGCAGAGACAGTGTGGTGAAGAGTATAGATGAAAGGGGCCCTTTTCCCCCCTATATATATATGTGCCCCGGGAGTTAAGTGGTTGGTTGATAAATGTAGTATAGACTGAACATTTAGGGTTCGAAAAAGGGAAAGTCAAAAGCCCCAAAAGGGATGTAATATTGATCAAGAACTACCAAGGAAACGAAAGTACAATATCAAGTTATATTCAGAAACATAAATACATGTGCGCGTACTGGAAACAAATCGCCAAATCTTCGACAAGTCCAAGCCAAGTATACCTCTAGCAAATTACAGACATAGCACCAGGCTCTTCCCACAACCAACTAAAAAGCAAAAGGTTTATCTCACTCCAACTTCAGTGACAGTGTCATAGCTTGGCCGACATACGGCCGAGTATAATAGGTGCCAGAGTGGCACATGCTGCCATAAGTGCTGAACAGCATAGAGCTCCCAAACATTGGTTGCTGACCTCACCCTTCTCAAGTTTGAGCGGAACACGATGCGCTGCTGATAAGAGAGAGTGCAAAATGACAGTAGGGACAAGGAAGGATATGACTAGAATGCAAGCAGATAGCAACCGTAATAGCATAAGTACTGGCAATGTAACTCCCCTAATCTGGTATGTGCCATGTACCTCCATAAGTGAACAAGATAAAAGGATTGCTAAGATCGGGATTGCGATCAACCCAAGGATCACAAACCCTCGAATGTTGCCAGGGGTGATTCTTGATAGAAGTTTTTCCAATGCTCTAGCCTTCTTGTCGATGATACTTTCGGGTCGGAGTTTTGGGAATTTTGCCGGCAGGGCTTCGCAATCCTTGCGATCACTGTATTCTATATAGTATTTCTCAACCCCTAGCGAGAAACTTTTTGGAATGGCCGCACCAATCGTTCTCTTTGCTGCACCGCACCCTTGACTTTATCGGCAATACCGGGTAATTTCGGTTTTTTTGATTCCCCTAATTTCGACGGTTACAGGTGGAATGTCTTTAGCGCCAAAAGAGGTAACATCCCTGATATTAAGGCGCATGGGCGGCGAACTAGAGCATGAAGGGTTAGTCTTTGGTCAACCAGAGGATAGAGAGATACTTACATTGCAAGTAAGGATGCCCGCCTCCTGATTGGCTTGTTTACACAGTATGAGGAGGCCCTCCGTACACACTTTGCCAATAAATTCTCCACCATGACTTTCGAATGATTTGAAGTTTGCAATGAAACTGGGCTCAAAACATTGTTGCCTTGAGTTGTAAAATGGCCTAGTTATGTAGACTAATTGGTATGCATTAAGCAGGCTAATTAATTAATGTAAATGATACTTATTCATATTCGGTTTCAATCAGAGCTATCGCATCATCATATGCCTTAATAATAGGATCATATAGCCTTTTTGGGTCTTGCGGTGTTCCAACAATAAGTCCTTCCTTCCCATGAGGAAACATCACACCTCGTATGGTCCTGCAGAGAGGTTTGACGCACTCGAATCCCAGTGGAAACTCCTGCAGAAGGTATTCAAATCCGCCAGCTTCCATGTTGCCTCGTTTATAAGTTGCAATATCCCTGAAGGTGCTACTATACCACTTTTTCAACATGCTGTCTTTCGGCCGGTCCTGTCTTTGCCTCTGTAGCTCATCTAGTTTTTCCCAACCGTGACGGGCACATTGCCAGATAAGGACGTAGAAGAACGATTCGAGATCATGCCGATAGGTGTGGTCGATATTAAGCAGCACCTCGATCGCCATGAACTCCATTGTGCCGGTCTGGTGGCGTGCGCCACTGCGCCCGCTCCCAATTTCCTTGGCAAGATCCAGATCGATTAGCATGCCTGAGTGACCATCCACCTTGTCTGGATCAGTTATTATTATATTGTTCTCTGAAATATCCCTATGAAGGATGTTCCCGTCTAGATAAAGAGACCTGTGCGCCTTTATTGCATCACGAAGCGCCATGAGCAGCTCCAAGGGTGATTTGTACTTGTAGATCAGCCGGCCTGCGGGTGATATCACAAGGCAGCGAAGGACACGGTTGTCATAGAGTTCCTCACCACTCCTGTTGAAGAGACTTGGCTCATGTGCTGACTGAATAGAGAAAGCTAGTTCATTCTCCTGCTGAGTGTCACTCAACGGTTGATTAATAGAACGTGATTGTTTGGATGCCTGCACCTCTTTGTCCGGAGATCTGCGTTTCCTGGAAGATGATTTTCGACAGATATCTAAGTGACAGGGTTCAGTGAGCAGCTGAGATTGATGAAATGAGGAGACTGTACTGGGGGGTGCACTTTTGAAGTTGTGGTGCTTGTTGTCGAAGGTCAGGCCGCTGCGCAGGTTGGCAATGCTGGTGATGGTACTGTGGCCAATGATCCTGGCAACTCCTCGAACATTTTTTTTACTTGCTAGCTTGAGAAGTTCCACCTCTGGGCGCCGCTTGTCCGATACCCACGAGAATTTGACTACAACCTCTCCATCATCTGCGAGAAAACATGTAGTCCCACGACACACAATGGCACGTTGAAAGGAAAGCATTTCACCCAGCCGCAGCACCATTTCCTCTGAGGGTCCAGGTCTTTTGACAGTCATAGATTTGATGCCCTCTTCATCCCTAGCAATAAAGGTGTCTAGTCCCAGCTCCTCATCACTCATCATGGTGTAGCCCAAAAGCACCTGAAAGAACTGTCTTGAGTTTGTATAGATGTCAATGATGCCTGAGCTGTAGGGACCCGAGCGGTCAAACACCCATGCCTCCATCTTGGTCCCGCAGACAGTGAATGCATGGACAAACTGCCGGGTGGGCTGTGCAGCAAAGACCTCACGCACATAGCAGCCTATCTGCAGTAATGTGGCTTTGGTCCTGAGCTTCTCCTCAGGTTTTTTAAGCTCACCAACCACCAGGATATCTCTCCAGTTGTGTTTGTTTTGTAAGGGGGTTGTACTTCTAGCTCTCAGAAGGAGATCGATTTGCCGTTTTGCCTTAGAACTGATAAGATCTGCTTTGCTTGCTGTGGTGTAGTAGGTGCTGCGTGATTCCAAGAAAAGGTCTTTTTGAAGACGAAACCACCAGGCAAGGACATTGTCCTGTGTAGGAGGATCAGGAAACTGGGCCCAATCACCATCACTGTCTGAGGCCAGCACGCGTTGACAGATGGCATCTGCTTTGTCACTCCAGTCTTTCCCTTTGAAGTACTTGTCAAAGAAGCCCTCGACATCTCGAAATGTGCAGCCACATATCTCCCCAAAGATTCTCGGATTCACCAATTCACGCGTCTGCTCGGAACCTTTCTGCGATGATGAGGTGGATCTGACTGGTGTGCCGTCAAAGGAGGGGGGAACGCTCGCCGGAGGAGTTGATCGAGGGATGTTGTCAATGAGGTTAAATACAGCTTTCCAGACATCGAAGTTCCAGGTTGTGACATGCTGGGATTCAGTCGGAGGCCTTTGAATAACCAGGTGCACTAACGGCCGGTAGTTGTCATACTTGAAGTTTCCTTGTGCCTTTCGGAGATGCTCAACTAAGTGTGCTAGATCAGACACCACATCCCCATTACTCATTCGCGAGCGAAGGCTGTAAGCTGCATCCTCTCCCTGTAAAGCAGAGAGGAGTTTTGAAATCACATTTCGATAGAGTTGGTCCAGGCTCTCATCAGCGCCATCATAAATTAGACGCGACTCATGTATTCTTTCAGCTTCCTGAAGCGCGCCTCGTAAACGATCGACTAAGTTGGTTAGAGGATGGTTCTTGATAATGTCGCGATCTTCTTGTGAAAGTCCCGCCATTTTGACGGTATAAAAGACTGTTGAGTGGTGCAGGTAAACTGGGAGTTGTAAAGGGAGAAAAGTTCGGTTGGTATGCTAATTTTACATGATGAATGGGAAGCAAACACGGAACAAAAATGCAGAAATGTTAGGAAGTTCTGATGTATGATACTTGCGAGAGAAGATAACTCGCTGGGAACGGATGCTGGTATATATAATATTAATCAAAGGGAGGATTATGGTCAAAGGGTTGATCCGGCTTGGCGTTGATGCAGAACGCGAATTGTGGGAACGGATAGAGCCGCTGAGCGAGGAACCAATAGGGAGATTGGAATCGTATTTTGAGGAAGGCAGCTATTCCTATTTGGGATTAAAACAGGCCAACCAACCAGTCGTGTTGCAGATGTGGGGTAAGTGCTGGCTGCCAGGGAAGATGCATCAGGTCTTAGTACTCCGTAATCAGGATACATAAAGCCTCAAACAAAAGGTAGCATAACCTATTACAATGAAATATAATGTTGTTGTGACTAGGATTGAATGATATTTTGGCTACGTAAAGGCGTCAAACTGGATTACAGTATTTTAGTAGGTGGAAGAATTTGCTGTTCGACTCGTTGGGAATTATGTCAGGCAAGGAATACAAAATGTGAATCGATCCTTCTTGTCATGAAATCCTATTTATAATTATTAATAGCTAATTTCTGTACAGGAAACTTCGGTGGAAAGTTGGGCAAAATGAGCAGCCATTCAACAATAAAAATGATTATGTAAATTAGTTGCTCACAAAGATGGCGTTGAAGCAGTAATAAAGCCCACAGCACTAAGTTAACTCTCGGTTCCAATCGGTGGAATTATTGCCTATCTAAAGGTACGTCTCTTCTTGGACATATTGAATGCTTCAGCAGAGCTCTCTTCGTTCTCCCGGGTTACCGGAGCACCCGACGCAGTGTTCTGCAAACCATATGCCTCTTCCAATACAGATGTAAAACTAGAGCCTTGTATATCAATGCCTCCGACACCTTGCGAAAGTCCAGTTGATTCTGAGAAACTCAGCTCCGATTGATGTAATACTTCAGGTTGCTGTGATATCTGTACGCCTGCATCACCTCAAAATTTACCTGTGGCAGTTCAATCAATAGCGGAGCATATTTTTCTTAAACTGGGAAGGTACCCCGTCATTGTACACACTCATAAAGAATTTGTACGGAAAAATGGTCTCAGCTACAGCTTGGCAGTTAGCGGAGAGGTTGGAGGAAAAGTCGCAGATTCCCCCAGAAACTGAGACTGTGCATAGGCTTGAAAATCCGTGATTGATGGAACGTTCTCCGGATAATAGCATTTCTAAATTCTGGAAATTATTTTGGTAAAAGGGCTTATATGAATTTTTAGTTGCATGTGCGACTTCGGCTCATTAAACATGCTACTATTCCTGATCACCAGGCAAGATCATATGACGCTGGCTCTTCCAATATGAGATGTCCCGTTTCTAGGATTACCTGCATGTATGCCTGACAGAGTAAACGTTGGATATCGGACATGAATCGCCTTGCTTCTTTTTTGAAAAATAATCATCTTCTGGATCTGGTCGAGCTAATATCCAGGCCCCATCAAAATGCCAACCCACTTAAGTCCTAGAGGAGCGACCTCTTCACGATTCTTCATGATTCTCTTTGTACGTAATAACATCGAACACTATCAAAATATTATCCATCTTACTCTGTTTCGATCCCACGCTGTCGTTGTTTCGCACTGTTGACAAGTGCAGAAAGCCATTCTGAGGCTTGTTGATTGTGTCTGGTTTCATCCAGTTTCATCCGCGCCTCTCTGAATTTAAGGTGAATAGAGATCGAATCTTCCCCTTCACCATTAGGCTCTATGATCGCTGATATGCAATAGCCCTGGCCTTTAACAGTTGGTATAGAGAAACCAGGTGCATCTAGAGTATCTTCGCTATGGCGGTAAGTTCAGATGCCCGGCTTTGTCACGGCTCTCTAATTTCATCGCTTGTATCTAATTCACATATATCTCTAGATAGGTGACGAGGCTCTATTAGTCAGGAAGGTGGCGCCTTTTATGCTTATGACAACCTCAACACAGGCGAATGAGAGAAATCCTGCTGGTGCCATTCTACCTGCTCGCTTCCATCACCTTTTCCCCGCAGGAAGAATCACCATGGTGCCGCAGAAATGTGGTGCCATGGAGAGGAGGCCGGCCAAATCCTGGTAAAACAAGGCAGGAAATGAGTGTCACCTACCACCTTGCAATACCAGCCGCCATCCCTGCAGAAAGTAAGAGAAGATCGTAACCCCTCTCGCTTCATATTTCCTAAACTGTCTGACTGAAGGGGTGCTAGCTGATTGTCATGCGATCATAGCCGCTCCATTGCACGGTCTTATGGCATGCACGAATTTCCAATAGTGAATCAGTCTGTTAATTCATCAAAGTGTGAATTTGTGAAGATGGGGAAACTCGGACATTGCATTGCATTGTTGCATCATCCCTTTCTCTCCTGGTCAATTTTAGCACCCACGAGGCTGAGGCTGAAGTCCCTTTTCCAGTGAACACCCATCTTTGTTGACTCAGTATCTTGCTGCTGGCCAAAGGGATCATAGCGTGACTGAGAATTCACCTGCACTGGAGCAGTTTGGATCATGTCCACATCATGCATGAGCCATGCCGCGAGGCTTGAATCATCGGGGAGATTTTTTTTGTTCTCTGAACATGTTACTCTTGCAACTAGCCAGATCTTCCAGACCCTGCACTCCAGTCAGGGCCTGACATGTAATGGTCCGCGGTGCAGCAAGGTAGATACTGTTTCTGCCATGCAGAGGCATTTTTTTTTTTTTTTTTTTTTTTTTTTCATTGATGTACCATCTCAACAAGTGGGAGGCACTCATCACTGCTGTGCGCCACAGATGAGAAACATCGGGTTTGCCAACTGATTGTGAAAGGGAGAGATTAAGGACAACAAGTACCAGGACACAGAAAGAATGGGATTGGCAGTGTTGGCAGGATGGGAGTGCAGAACCCAAAACATCAAATATAGGATGTAGAGCAATAGCCAGTTGTGTATGTAACAAGAAAATGAGATCAAAAAAAATGAACAGGAAACCTCAGCCAGCCACAGTCCCAAGAAGACCAGATATCCCAGTAGCGGACCTCAGCCTGTGCATGATTTTAGAGTAACTTGACAGTAGAGTGAGGCGAAATTGCATTGGGGAAGAAGGGAAGTGGACATGGTCACTATGTCGCCAACAGTTTTAGCTGCGGCACAGCCGGGCCAGGTGACACTAGCAGTGGGGGCCAAGGGGAAAGCATGGACACGGCACACACGAGACAAGAGAATTACAAGGAAACAAAGGGAAAATAGGGATGGTGGAGAGAAGATGTTCGAGCGGCGGGAGGAGGGGGTTTATATAGTCCAGAAAGCGGCGATATCGCGCTAAACTCAATTAGGGTAAAGCTAAACCATGTAAAGTAATTCCCCATGATAGGTATAACGGCGTGCAAGGTTAAATGTTTGATATCACGTGGAATGTACGCTAAACTTAGAATAGCCAAAGGCTCAGAGAGCTAAGCGAAAAATGCAAGTCACCTGATCCACAACTCGACCGGACGAACTTTTTTGTGGGCTGGCGGCTTTTTCATAACAAGAACTCCGTCAAACCACCACATCCTCGCGTTGACAAAAGATAAAAGGAACGTTTCCTTCGACTAACGACCAACCCACAACAACTTCAAAATGGGCCGCCTCCACAGTAAAGGAAAGGGTATCTCCGCCTCCGCAATCCCTTATTCGCGCAACCCTCCCTCATGGCTCAAGACCACTCCCGACCAGGTCGTTGACCAGATGTGCAAGCTGGCAAAGAAGGGTATCACCCCCTCTCAGATCGGTGTTATCCTGAGAGATAGCCATGGAATTGCGCAGGTCAAGGTTGTTACTGGTATGTGTGGAAACCAATTCGAAAGGAAAAAAAGTGACTTAAACCTGCCGCGGGTAATAGCTAACAACCGCGGAATTGAATAGGTAACAAGATCCTCCGGATCCTCAAGGCGAACGGTACGAAACCAAATACTGTCACAGTTCCCCGCATGGTGGCTGCGGGATGAGAGAAAGAGAAATGGGAAACGAGAGGTGGACGTAAATCAAGCAGAGCCCTTTCTGTATAAAAGCGGGAATCTCCACGCTAGATTAACTGCATCTCCTGTCTTGGACAAGATTTCTCAAACCTATCCATCATATCTTGACATTTTTATGTCATATCAGCACTGCCTCTGCTTGGTCATTCAATAGGCTGACAGAGAGACTTTTTTTGCAATATGTACAGGCCTCGCCCCCGAAATCCCTGAGGACCTCTACATGTTGATTAAGAAGGTAATTATAAGAAATTTATTCTTTTATTGAACTACAATTTTCCCTCTATCCCTTATTGTACCCCTTATTGTACCCCTTATTTTGTGCCTTTTTCATATATTTATTTACTAAACGATGGAAATTAGGCCGTCGCCGTCCGCAAGCATCTTGAGCGCAACCGCAAGGACAAGGACAGCAAGTTCCGCCTCATTCTCATCGAGTCGCGTATCCACCGCTTGTCCCGCTACTACAAGTCTGTCGGTGTCCTCCCACCCACCTGGAGATACGAGAGTGCCACCGCCAGCACTCTCGTCTCATAAGCGAAAAAAAAAGAGATCCAAAAAACTACGAGATGTAAAATATTTGGTCATGATATTCGAGAGAAAATGTCAGGTTCAACGGAATTAGATACCTAGGTCGGATCTTGACAGGCGACGGAATGGGTTCGTTTGACTATGTTCGGTAATTACGAGAAAACATTTAGATGAAGTGACGTTTCCTGCCTTAAATGGACAGGAGCCTCAATATTCGCAGATGTTTTTCTTTCTACGTTCAGCCTTCGTGTAGCTGCACAAGTGTGTATATACTATTCATGTGCATGAACCTTTTAACAAGCACACTCGAAATTCATTGATACAGGTATTTCTCATATTTTTATACCATCCGACTTTGTGTGTTGCGTATTCACCAGTTAAGCCGGATTTCGAGTCGTGAGTAAGCAAGTACTCGAAGAACTAGACGTACTATCTCAGACATACTGGAATAGTTTCATCACTAGAATAAAAATTATCAATAATGGCGCGTAGAAGAAGCGAGAAAATCACAGGAACAGCAAACCAGATGTGGGAAGAGATCAAGAAGGATATGTGCAAACTATATCCGAACAGTCTATATACGGGTATATTTATGAAGAAATGCAGCATCACGATGTCATCCAACACTAAACAACAACTCTAACAAAATTTAAATCACGGGAGTTTCAACCCTAACCTCCCTCGCAACAGCATTGCACAGCTCAACCCTCACTCCAGCACCAGTAAGCACATGAATCCACAACCGCTGGGTATCACTTAGCCGATCATTCTCAGACTTCACCTCCACAAACATAACCTCCTTCCTCTCTACGCTCCAAAGGAATAAATCTGGAATGCCTCCGCCCCGTTGCTGATATTCCTGCGCCATGACTTTGCACACAGTAGCTAGGGCCTCACCACGGAAACACTGTGCAATCTCAACTAGGTCGGAGAGGTTGAACGACCAGTCGATGCCGATGGCGCATGTTTCTTTCTCCGCTTCGCGGTCATGCACTTCACGGATAAGCTTTTCAGCATCACCGTTGGCTATCTGGGCAAGCCTGTGATTTATTTCTGAAGCGCGGGTCGGATAGAAAGAGTCTGTGTGTAGGTCTAAGGGGCAGGTCTGGAAAGGTGTTTGGAAGACGTTGGGGACGTATGTGAAGAGCACATCATAGAAGAGATACCCGAACTATAGGCGGGGGGAAGTGGTTAGTAATCACGGGAAATCTGACTGAGGTTCATATTATATCGGTATTTAACTTACCAGTGTTCGAACGATGCCACTCTCGCAGTGGAAACCCTTCCATCCGTTGTCTCTATACCAGCTTAGGCACATGCTTTCGACTCTACACTCGCCTCCACCTTCTCGTTCATCCACCCAAACCGTAGGTCTACCTCTTCGAGATATGGAACTTATATTGTTCTTAGAACCAGGTTTGATTGGGATATCCTTTTCAATCCGAATCCCTTCCACGATACGTTCTTCTGGTTTAACCAACATCACATGTCCAAAATCGTGTTGCTCGCGCTTTGTGACCTTTAGCGACTTCTCCAACTTTGTAATTCGTTTTTGTAAATCATAGTGGTATATCAAATGACAGTCGGGATCTTCAAGGCCTCCTTCGCATGTACGGAGAGCTTTTCGTTTCCACTCCCGTCTCTGCATCTCTTCTGAGCGGTTCTCAGAAGGGGTCAAAGACCACATATAATGTTCTTCAAGCAGAGCTTTGCGCTGGTACCACGCTCCTCGACGAGAAGAGTGGAACAAACGCTGGTCAAGAAGTTCTGTGAGTAACTCATGCTCTCGTTTATATTCCTTGAAACGGCCCAAGGCATATAGGCCTTTATGAATGATCCGAGTGTAAACCCATGCAGGAGAAAATCGACGTAGGTATGCGCCCTCTCCCGTTTCATAGACGCGTTCTTCCTTCCGTTGCTCTTCGGCGACCAGCGCCTTCCACCTTTCGTAAACACTTTCAGCTGAAGACTTAATAAGAGCTAACTTCTCCATGATGGGCATATTAGGTGACTCCAAAGTGCTGTCGATATCAAACTGCACTCGTAAGGCAGCTTCAAACTCGAGCAGTGCAAATCTGGAGGGGAAAATGGAATTGGAACGGGAAACGATATAATTTGGATAATTTCTCCGTGAAATTTTCGCCAGGATGATGGTTGTCAAGGATTTTTCAGTCCATTCCGTGGACCGATAAAATAGCAAATGAACCCTCTCGAAGAGTCTTAGTGGCGCAGAAGAGAGTCTGATGCAATCGCCCGTGTGGTCGAGGATCTTCTTCGTGAAGTACAAATCTCGAGTATTCCCTCGACTTAGCAAATTACTGATCTGATTTGGGTCAATATCACTGGATGCACCGTCGTCTGGCTTGTATCGCAGGGGCCAGCCCAGTCCTGATTGCGTCGTACTGGACTCACGCAATCCTTTCAACAGCTCCTTCTTATTTTTGCCCTGAACTTTGGCTTCCTTCGACAAAGATTTCAATTCGTCTAGAAGTAGCAAGGAAGATGCTTCTTCGAGCGTATTTATTTGTTCCAATCCTTCAGCGAATTGAAACATTTCACCAAGAACGACTTCGTCAGGAGATTTCAGTGCGGTAAGAATTGAGGACTGAGGTGGAGGAAATGAGATTGGGAGCTTCCTGCTTTGCCTCAAATCCTCGACCGTGGCAGGCATATCCGCGATATCTTGATAGTAACCGAGGCGGTTGACCCGATGCCACGCTGACGTTTTGCGTAGAAAGAGTCGCACGTATCTATTTTCAATATTAATAAACACCACTACGTCTCGAATTGCTTACACTGTACCCTAATATTAGAAACGGACGTACAAATATTGTGATTCATAGGGTAATCCTCTCCAATGATTAAATACAGCCATTTCTGTTTCGTCAAACAAATGGGCTTCATCTTCCAAAACGTTCTCTAATGCGAGATTGAACGCATCCACATATATGGAGCTTTTGCCTTTCACCCAATGTCGTTCCTCGTAGCGCTGAAGGCTCGTTGCACCTTTTTCGATCTTTATTTCTTGGGCCTTTGAAATCTCATAGTTCGCGATCGCTTCATTGTCTGTTTTTATAGGGAGAAGAGCGGTCTCTAAATCTGTTTGGGTGCTAGGCAGATAATCTTCTGCGCTACTATTATTGTCGATCCCATAATCATCATTATATCCAACCTCCGTTTCTGATGGAGGTATACGGATTTCAAGGGGCAAAGCATCTGATCCGGATTCCGTATTTGAAGAGGAGCTACCAGGACTTCCTGTTCTCTTCAACCTTTTCGAAGGTGGATTTATATCCTCGAGCATGTTGAGCTCAAGGGTGAACCTTGGAAGAGTTCCTGTAGCTCGAGTGGAAAAACTATGAACAATGCCAGCATCGGAGTAGCACCAGAGGCAATTCAAGATGAGTATTCAAAACATGATGTCCTCGCCGAGCGGTTAAACAAGAAAAGGCCTCACCAGTTAAAAATGGTGTCCGGATGAAGGAAAGTGGAGAATTGATTGGCCTCGATTTAATAGGCAAACGCGACGCCTGAAAACGACGACACGTTATCACATGACCCCTTAACCACAAACCTTGGAAATGGTTGTTTGTATTGTTTGCAGCGAGGTTCAAACCTTCATGCAACCAGCATCAAGATGAAGCGGCAAGGGATGCGACAAGTGGAACGATAATGGCATAAACCTGTTTACTCCGGCATGGCTGAGGCACCAAAAGACCAATCTCCGATAGCTACACAGTCTGAGCCCTATTCCTCTTCACCTCTTCCTCCCCCGCCGGCCAACGAGTCTCGGTCGTCCCACTCAACTCCACAGCTTGGCGCGGAATCGCAGCTATCACTGTCACCTCTGTCTACCAGTACTACCGCGACCATGAGGAACATAGATTCTGTACGTAAAACTAAATATCATATGCATTTGGGAAGCAGACTTTGAGAGACGTACCCATAGTGTATCAATTGTCAACTTCTCCCATTATTCTGCACATCTCATCCTCCTGCCATTCGAAATGCGCAGGCTTCAAACAGTGCAGGAAGCTTGCAACAAGCAACAAAGCTAACAGAATTCCCCACCATAAATTTAAATATTTGAACGTAGCCCGCGCAACAGCTTCCTGAAGAAACTGCTCGTCTGCCCTCTCCTCCTCCGCCGCAACACCCACCCGCACCAACCGATCTCAATAGCACCCACTCCCAGTCTGTTAAGCAATCAAACCAAGAGGAAAAGCGCGACATCGCCATGTCCGGAGGCGGGATGAGCAATGACCAGCTACAACCCCAATCCCAACCTTCCGTGCCTACTACGTCCTCTACCGCTACAGCTCCCTTGGCCAATACCTCCACCTTAAACAATAGCAACAATGCATCCACCACCCCGATACCCCAAGTACGTCCAGGCGGCGCACCAGCGCGTGTATACATGAACGAAAAGATCGTGCCGTATTTATTAGAAGGAATGAAAACTCTCGCGAAAGAGCAGTGAGTGCCATTTCCCTCTGCTCTATTCCTTCTCCTCTCTCGGTTCCTTCCCCCTTCTGACTTCGAGTCTATAAATAAATATATTTTTATATATATATAAAATGTTTCTTTTCCCGCCTTTTCTGTGTTTGTCAATTATGTGCACTGGAGAAACTAACAATTGGTGCGAAATTAACACAGACCCTCGAATCCCCTACGCGTCCTAGGCGAATATCTCATACAAAAGAGCAATGAAATTGAGGAATGAATAGGCGGATATTCGTGCTCGATGCAGGTATATCTCAAATTGCAAATTGTACTCTAAATGCGCGCTGGGGAATAGCAGGGCCCTGGATTCCTGACTCCGTGCCATATGCAACTTTACAATGCGATTTCGTAACAAACCGAAATGGGACGGCTTTCGCAAATGGACTACATATAATGGGCTCAAAGTAATGAAGTAATGGGAAAGAAGAGCTAGCGATAATTACTCATTTCGCTTGACTTCTGTTTGCGACGGCAACCATAATTAGGACGATATATGAAAAACATACAAACGGGAAATTTCAGGTCCGCGGCGAATCGGCGCTGTGTGAAATTTTGACCATGTATTGATTTATGGTTTCTTAGGGAACTTGAATACTCATTTTTTCTTCTATTTAAGTTTATCTCTGTACTCTATTAGTTATGGAGATCATTTGATAGGACTCATTCTTTGATCATGATCCGGGAAGTGAGATGATCTCTGTTGACTTTAGTAGATGGATCATGAAATTAGGTGGGATATTTGTAGCTTTCAATAAGGGGGAAAAAGCAAGTCAGATTAGATGCAAGCCTGCAAACAGTAGCAAAGTTTAAGAGAGGCGGGGTTCAGTTCAGTTTTGCTTCGCATCTGACGTCCTGGTCTCAGAAAACAAAACAGACGCCTCACAATCCGCAAGTAACGGAGACAGGTCGAGGATTTAGTCAAACTGGTCCATATCTGTATAAATTCCTGTCTGTCTGGCGAAAGGGTTTGTCTTCCACATTGACTTGGCTCATTCCTTGACTCAATCTTTTTAAGGTGGATCTGCCGCGAAAGGAAGTCACCAGGAGTGTGTTTTGCATTATACTCGAGCGGCGATTATCATTCATGCCTCCCATTCTAAAGAGATACAGGAAGGAGTTACAACGAATTCAGGCTTTAGAATAGCGTTAGTAATCAACATCCTTATCGGGTATTGTAAAACTTGATACTATCATCGAAGCTAGCGAGGCTGACAGGGCTCGCCGGCCAAAAAGCTGAAGTGAAAAAAAGTTAGCACGACATGTCAAATTTGCAACTTACCATTTTGTTTGGGTTGGAAGTTCGTTGCTATTTCTGCTGAAAACAATGAAGCATAAAATGTTTTGACTGGGATGCACTGCAGTTTTAATTATATGACGAATTCCTATAATGTGGCTTGTACGAAGTCGAACAGGTTGGCAAAAAAGCGGAAGGTGGGCACGTAAGAAGACAGAGGCTTGGCCAGTTACCGCGGTACACAGACAATCTTTACGGCGGTCTTGAACGGGTGATCACAGGTGAATATTATCAAAGAAACCGAAAAGGAATGGCGGCTACAAGTAACGAACATGGCGTCATGATGACTGATTTGTGCTGGACTCCATGAAACCTTGGCTTTTTTGAGACGCGAGGCGGAAAGTTTTTCTGTGGTACTTTGAGCTGACATCTCTGCTCCTCTTGGGCGAACTCTTGGGACAGTCGTTACCTGGGGCTGATGAGAGGTGATACGGCGAATAAAGTTGAATAGCGATAACGACCATAGCTGAAACTGAAGAATAGTGCTGACCACAAGAAAAACCGAGGGTATTACAGGTAGACATATTGTTTTTTGTTTTTGTTTTGTTCAATCCGCCGCCAATTTGCGATATCCGTGCGAGAAGAAAGAAGGAAAAAAACCATATAGACGGGATCTCAACACCAAGTTAGCCTGGGGCTGATCATATCGTACGAGGTTGGAAGAATGTTTTCCGTATTCGCCGACAAACCATGTATGCGCGAAAAGTTGACTTTTCTGGGAGACAAAATAGAGAAGCGCCGCCGTAACCGTCGATCTTGACCCTCAATTGAGGGTAGTGACATTAAACCATTCGTGGAATACAGGAACAGAAATAAAATAATAGAAACAAGAGAAAAATAAGAAAGTGGAGAAGAAAGAAAGCAGTCCAAAAAGTGGCCAATGGTCATTGCCGGGCCACAATTTGAAGCTTTCTTGATCCTTCATACCTACCTATCTGGCGCCATACCTGTCATCTCCACCACGGCCTTCGTAGCCACGGCCTCCGTATGGATCACGGGACTCACGGGGAGGTGGTGGGGCATCCGCAAATGGGGCAGAATGGTGTGAACGAGCATCGTCGCGATCGTAGTAAGCGCGACGATCATCTCCACGGCGGTCATCACCGCCACCACGACGCTCGTACCTGTCTTCACGACCTCCTTCACGGCCTCCTTCGCGTCCCCCTGATGTCGCATAACGATCGATACCACGGTAGGATGGCTCGTCGCGGAAGTCACGGCGACCGTAATCCCGACTACGTTCATTGTACGAATCATAACGGCCGTAGCGGTAGCTATCATCTGGTCGACGGCCACCACTGGCGCCATATCCTCCCCGACGGTCATCATAACGGTCGTAACGGCCGCCACGGGGCGGGCCACGACCGACTGCATTATAAGTTAGCCATGCGGTTGTTGATAAACGTTACATTTGAGATTTTTCAAACACATACAGGCTGTTCCACGTTTTGGCGGACCAAAGTATTTCCCAGGGGTTGGCGTTCGGGGGCGGCCACGACGAGCCTTCTCAATGCTAAGAGTTCTCCCTTCGATGACTTCACCTTGAAGGCCTTCCTTTGCCGCGTCCGCTTGCTCTGAAGTCACCATCTTCACGAAACCGAAACCGCGCGATTCCTTTGTGTGCGGGTCAACCATAATCGAGCAGTTCTCAACATCGCCATATTTCTCGAAGAGGCGAGATACGTCTGATTCAGTAAGTCGTGGGTGGATACCGGTAACGAAAAGATTAGAGCCAGTATTGACGCTTCCTTCATCGTCGTCGTTTCCTTTCATAGCCCGATCATTTTGGGGTACGCTAGGACGATATATTAGCCCACGAAACTCCCGCTGTTTTAAGTAAAATAAAAGCCCATACTGAGCTTACCGGAGATGATCACCGCGGCCGATTGGAGACATGCTTCGGTTCCGAGCTCCACCTCTCCCGTTGCCTCTTGGAGAGGCGCTACGATCGCGATCGAATCGGGGCTCGTCTGAAAAGATCAGGAATTAGTTCGGGATCACGCAAGCTCTTTGCATGTATTCGCTCATACCATCAAAACGACCATTCTCCGCTTCGTACTCCATAGTAGCCATCGGTTTGTATGGAGATCAGAGGAGATATGTTAAAAAAAATGGACGGGGTATGAAGAGTGGCGAAGGTGTTGAGAGTCGGATTTCACAAGTGGCAGAGCTAAAAGACGAGGGAAGAAACCGGAAGTCGACAAAGCAAACCTCTTCAGAAGAAGACAGAAGCAAAAATGAGATACACAAAAGGAACAAGAATAAAACTAGTCCACGCTGTTGGGGGTTTGTTGATAGAGCGAGGTGAGGTGAAAAGAAAATAAGAGCGACGGTCACAGCAAATCTGGAGCTGGGAAGAAGGAACGACCATTAGCGCGTTGGCGGCTCAAGTGGTGGCCTGATAAAGACTAGCGTCATCTCGACGTGAGCGAGACCCCAATTCAGCCGTGCGGCTCTGGCGTCTAAAGAAAAGGCAAAAAAACCAGCTAGAGCTTGATGGAATGATTGAAATAACTTACAGTCACAATCTCTACAAAACAGTTACCGGGCACCCGAAAACCCCTTTAGTTGAATAAATCTGAGACCATAATTATCATAAGATCCTAACCCTGCACACATACCATAAATCCTAGTAAACATGTGGGTATGTAAAAACAAAAGCGGGAAAACCAAAATAATAAACACAAAAATAAAAATGAAATCAGATGAACTATAAATCAACGCCTAGAAACTTAGAACCCCTAATATCACTCCGTCCAGTCCAGTATATTTATCTTTTAAAACCTTTCCATCGCCTTCGGGTCTTGTGAGTTTTCGGTTTCAAGGCACCAGCAGCGGCAGTATCCTTAGCGACGTCGCCGCTAGGTCCTACTTCAGGACCCGCGATTGGAAAATCTGAAACGTATTCGGGAGCCTCGTCCCCGACAAGATTCCGAAGCTCGTCCTCGCCGATCTCGCTTAGCTCCTCACTCATCCCTCTGAGCACTTCCCGACCAGTCCATCTCTCCTCATGAACGGTAGTCCCGATAGGATCGAACGGCTGCATATACCACTGTATACCACCTTGAGATAAAGGAGGTAGTTCTTTGCCAGCCAGAGAATTAACAGGCGAAGCCGGGGAGGCGGGAGAGACCATTTGTATATCACGAGAAGAAGAAGTATCTGTAGGCTGAGGTACGGGAGATAATTTAGTAGAAGTTGCTACGACAACCCCATTCGTTTTCGAACCCAAAACCTCCTTGTCGAGACCACTTTTCGTTGCCCCGTTCACATCGACCATTGTAACATCTTTATCCCCAGGCGCAGCCTGCTTCTCAGGCTCAGCATGCAGAGGTTCTGTAGGTTCTGCGGCGGGTTCTTGTGCATCCGCCTGATCGACTTCAGCATTGGTCTTTATCCCGTTAACCAGCGGATCTCGCTCCGTAGTCTTAACGTCATTTGTCGTCTCCCTGGGCGTAGCAACAAATGAACCCCTCTGCGAGAGGACGCTATCTTCCAACAAGGCATCCAAATCTCTTAGTTCCTTTTCAAAAGGCTTCCCGTTCAACTCGCTTTCCTTCCTCAGAGAATCTTCCAAAGCTGGCTGTATCGCCTTGATGATCCGTTTTGCAAGTTTTCGTTTTTCCCTTTGCTCTAAGCTAAGTTCTGGGGCCCGTCCCATGATCTGCATTTGCAATTCAGCTGTATCACCCACAGAATCAACCCCAATTTCGGAGGTGAAGACGTTGGCAAGATCACGAGAAAATGATGAAACCGAGGTATATGCTCGTTGCTCTAATTTTGACCGAATGGATAGTAGCCCGAGACGGAACGCACCTTTCCCGTCGAGCCTATAAGCAATGTTAGCGATCAAGAAAGACACATATTCGCAGGGATATAGTATACGTACGCAAATGCCTTCTCAAGCATTGGCCAGAGCATCGGAGGGATGGGAAAATAAACCAAATCAACTATGCTGCGCAGTATCTCCGCGTCTTTGAGCTTTTCTCGCTCCCGCTTCTTCACTTCGTCGCACAGCATCCTAACCCTGTCAAGATCCAAGTAGAGTTTATCCGCAAATGCGATCCTACGCTGGAGCCGAACAGTTCCGGCCACTCCCATTCCCGCAAAATTACGTCTTGTCATTTCCATGGATGAAAAAGTTTCAAGTTGGAGCTGCAACCGTTTAAGCAACGCTGCACCCCGACGAGATTCTCGTTTCAGGGTCCAATACTTGCAGGCGTCTTCAGCATACTGCTTCCGTTGTCGCACCGTAAACCGCTGTAGAGACGCGATGACACTGTTCAACACGACTTGAGGAATAACTGGCGCTCCGGAAGGTAATTTCCAAATGGTTTTTGGAAGAGTGCGCTTGCGTTTGTTTCCGCCCACTGTAAGTGTAATCCGAGGTGTAATCGCTCGATTGTCCTCCCCGGCAGGGTCAATCCCGTCTTGTGAATCTGTGCCCAAAGCCAAAGCCGCAGCCTGACTATCGCCCCACCTTCGGCCTTGCATCGTGTTGCGATAATATTCCAAGGCCTCTGCAGTGGCAGCATCGGTATTGTGTTCTCTTCTCCAGTCCGGTGGAACATGCTTGTCGCAAAATGCTTTTAAGCTGCTCGATTCCATGACTGCCGGAGCTCCCGGTATTAATTTCATCTTTAAATATAGGCGAGCCCGCCTTGCGCAAGTAACATGAAAAGCAACAAAACAATTTTTGTTGCTGCATTGAATGCACGCTCCCATTTTTTGTCGGCAGATGTAGCATGTAAGTTTCCAACGATTTCTGGGAACTTTCTCGACCTCATTTACCGGTTCCATTAACGATGGGTTCCCAATGGAGACTTCAGGTATCCACACTGCGCAAAGTAGATGTGACCACTTCGAGGTGTTCGTTTGCTTGAAGGCTCCCTCGGTGTTAGGGCAGAAGATGCACGATGGGGATCCACGGCCAATCAGTTGACACTTTCTACACAACCACTGGCCTTCGGGGATATAAGGGACGCCATAACATTCCTGATGAACCGCGAGGTCGCACCCATCACAGAAGACAATTGCATTTGCATTCTCACAATCACCATCGTCACATATTGCACATTTGCTATCCTGCTCTTCCCCAGGGCCAGCATGTTCGCCGTTAACAGCAGCAGCAGAGCTTGAGCGTGGCCGTTGTGTTTGTGGTGGTTTAGGATTTGGTTTCGGTATACGCTTCTCCAAGGCATGCCATTCCTTTTCAATTTTGGTCATGGTAATCTCAAAAACAGCAGGTTTGATAGGCTCAAACTGTTCCTCCCTCCTTTGCGCATTATACGTCTCCAGCCATTTGGCATCTTGTTCATCCATATCATATTCCACCCTTCCAACTCCAATATTTCCAATAGTAGTGTTGGCCTCACCGTCAACGGGCGTCGATGGGCTTAGATCCAGATCTTCCTCGGCCGCACCTTCGGCCATACGAATTAATCGCCGTTCATGACGAAGAAAAATATCACTCTCTTGGTAACCAACGCTTGCCATGGTGCGGTCAACATAATTCTGCTGTCCAACACCCTTCTGTTCGAAGGGAAGAAACGGGTCTTTAAGGACAAAGGATGGCTTAGGCAAGGTAAGTTTCTCGCGGGGATTAGGTCCAGGAGGGGGTACAATTTTCGGTCCGTTGGGCGTCCCAATCCCATTTGTGTAGGTCTCACTTAATCGTGGACGCCCTGGTCGTCGCTTTACGGGAGTAGAGGCATTTGGTAATAATTCCACGGCGCTATCTCCGCTTTCATCGGTTCCTCTGCCTGAGTGGCCATTTGGGAGCGTAGAGCTTGGTTTGATTCCGTCGACTTCATCGGAGCTGAAAACGGCGATTTTTACATCGATATCAAGGTCCGGATGAAATTCCTCCCAACCCCTCTCTTCCCTAGGCTTGTAACCATCACCTTGCGCAACAGCAAGGGCCGCGGCAGCAGCAGAACTGTACCTTCGCGTTTGATTTTTTTCGCGCCTGGGTCGACTAGAGGCAGGAGGGGTGGTGGGCTGGGTTCGCCTCACGACATTGTTGCTGGAAGGCTCGCGCACAGGTCGAACTCGAGGAGTCGTATAATTCGAAGAAGGCATTTCCCTTATTAATCTCGCAGGCGTTTCATTCCCATCAACGTCAACATATCTTCCTCCACCGCCTGGCCCCCCAGGAACATACCTCCGCCTCTTTGGAGGTGGTTCACTGTTGACGGCTGGGTCTTCAGTCTGGCTAGTTCTGAGGACCTTCGGTTGCGGTCGAGGAGTTCGAGGGTTAAGTGTTCTCTTTGAGGAAGCCAGCGGCGCCATAATCGTAAATCGCAGCTTAGGCAGTGGGGTCACGAGCCTTCAATAGTGGTTGGGGTTCGTGGTAGTTTGGTTTGCAAAGGGGCGAATGAATGTAAACGTTGGAATGCTCGTAGCGCGACATATGAACGCCAAGCCGTTACCAAAGCGGTGCAGCCACGCATAGGAAAGATATCCGCGCCAGATGCGACGGGTTTGGCAGCTTTGATAGCTCTGTCTGTCTCTCTGTCGTTTTAGACGCGGTTTGGCCCGAAGACGAGAGGTTTCTTGATCATGAAAGCCCAACTAACTGTATTAAGGATAGCGCCAGTGGTTGCGAGGGCTAGCGCGACCACCTGACGCTGTGAGCATCAGATGCTCATCTCCGACTTCTGCGCATCCCAGCGCTGACAAGCCATTCTCTCAACGAGCTCTAAGTGCCACAATGAGCGGCGCAGGTGACGATCGGTATGTGTGTGTATCAACTTGCCTCCTACAAATTCACTGAAATCTGGGCTTGCTAACAAAAAAGCTTTCCTCCCAGGTGGCGCGGTGGGCGTGGCTTAGACCAGAATCGCCAGCATGGGCAGCGACACCAAGGCGGAAACCTGCGCGACCGATCGCTAGGAGGACATCAGCAAGATCGGCACCCACACCGGGGTTATGGAAACAACGCGAATGCGACCAATTCCTGGGGCCCTCTGCATGGGGGACCTCCCCAGGAACAGCATATTCCCGTGAAATCCTTCAACGCTGCGGAGTCGAAAGGCGCGCTCAAGCAAGGTATTCATTCTCATGTCTAAACACGAAACCTGAGGGCATTTTATAGATTTTAGATTGCTGAGATCGGTATAGGATATCAGAATGTCGGCTCGCGTGGTGAGTTACAAACAAAACATCAAGCTCCTGTTTACAGTACTCCCTCCTCATATATAATACCAAAGCTCATTAAATTGTCATAAACCAGTTCCGCTCGTCTATAAACCAACTGACAAGGAAGTGAATAATTCACGGGCAGCCAGTGGTCCGTGGGGTTCAAGACGTACGTTTCATCCCTCCCGGAGAGCCAGATAGTGACAGTTACTGAGAGACAGCAGCAAATTGTATGGTCAATGGAAAGGACTTTTTCCTGGAGCTCCGAAAGCAAGTGTCTGCTTTACGGCAAAGCGGCAATAACCCTGTGGGCGGCTAATGCTAGCCATCAAGTCAAAAGATTTTTGACCCCGTGGGCAGATGTGTTTTGTGCATTTTATTATGAGCGGTCGTATTTCTTTTTTACACTTCACGGATAGCGGTTAGTCATGATATACCCAGTCATATTAGTTGAGCAAAAATTCGTTGCTTTTCATTTGCATTAGAGATGATGCACCAAAGACTTTAAGGTGGACACACTGCGCCTATTTTCTTCACTCCGAACAAGACCTGACTCCGGGGTAGTCGCACTTTACTCAGGATGAAGATGGCTTGTTATGTTTGCTGAGCTATTAAAAAGATCTTTCCACGCAGACAAATTATTTTTACAGTCTATTACATTCCTCATTTTTTCATTTCGTTTCCAGGCGGTGGTACGGTACGGATGCTTTATCGCATATTGCATTTTCCCCTTCAAACTCCTTGGTGTCGCGTTATCAGGCACTGTATTACATATGGAACCTGCTGAAACACTAACTGCCAGCCCAGCCTTCTTGAGCACATAAACATTAAAACTATGCATTCATACTCACCCAAGCAGCTCTAGAATTGCCACAATTTCTATTTTTGCCGATAAACGAGTTCTGTATTCAAATCATGCACTGCATGTAGGTAACCGATGATGTATAATCTGTACCTGCTCACAATTTCAGAGTTGCTTCAACGACTACAGTAAAATGCCCAAGTCTTCCATTGCCTAGCCAAAATGAACCCACAATACACTACTCCGTTTGTGTTGTGATATAGTGCAGATATATTTATGATGAATGACACCATCATGCTCTCCCCTCTTCACTCGACAATCACACCAATGTGGGAATACTTTATACCGCTTTGATCATAACTTGATTCAATCTCCAAAATAGGGGTCTCTTCAGTGCGACGATCATAGTCGATGACCTTAGCGCCTGGTTGAATGGGTACAGTACTTTCATAGCGGTCAAGAGGTCTCCAGCGAACACAGATACTGACCAACCAAAATACTCCTCAGTTTGCCAATCTGTCTATTATTGGATATACATACGATACCTAGGTATATCTTTAGGCGTTCATGTGCTCAGACTGAGCGACGGTCAGCAGCGAAACCAAACCCCCCACAACAACCAGCCGGGCGCAGCGGCTAAACTCGCTCTCTATTGGGCAGAGATGAGAGCGCCCAGCGGGCCGTGCGGCAACTTAAATCTCTAACAGGGGCAAGTTAGGTACGTAGTTAGTTAACTACCAGACAGCAAGCGGTCCCGCGTTTGACCTCACTGAGGTTGATGGAGAACGAACAGATAGAAAGTCCAAACCAAACCCCCAAAAAAGACAACAAAGAGACATCAAAGTCAATCTAGGATCCTGAAACCCTGACCCGAAGGCCACAGGCAGAAATTAAAATAATGCACGCTCCTGTGCAACAAAAATATACGAGGAAGAATCCCGCATTTGTTGAAAATCAATCCTAACGAATCATTCCCGGGCGACCCGGCCCTTTGGCAAGAATAAAAAAAAAATAAAAAAAAAAATAACAGGAGTAATGAAAAAGGAGACCGGCGCTGCAAACGCGGCCCACACCCACCAACCCCCTCCCTCCCCAGATTCCCTCTGATTTAGCCCTATCCTATGCCAGAGATCTAGCTAGGGCCTCTAAAACTGGCATAGCTTCCGGCAAGGATATGAGGGTAGGAATACCTCACTATCTCACTTACGGCATGTGAAACTAACGGAAAAGATCATCGGCCTATTTCCTCCCTGCTGGGACGCGCATTGTCCCTTCAGTCAGTACGGAGTATATTTAGAAGTAGGGAATATGTTGCGTGCAGATTACAGCTAAACGCCGAAGGACATTTCTTCTTGGGACGCTAAACTACACGCAGAGTGGAGATCCTTGGCTAGCTTCGACACTTTGACCCCCTTTCGCTGCCCGATACCCCTTCGCCGGACGCAGACAGATCGGCTCTATGATTTTGAACGGGGGTAAACTGGATTAATATTTGTGATAAACAAGTACATGTAACTACAGCAAAAAAATAAATAAAATAAAAATAAAAAATAAAAATAAATAAAAATAAGAGGAAAGGGAAAAGGAAAAGGAAATATTTTAACTTACTCATCCACCCGGGGCCACCCTTCGCAAACCTTTTCAAAAATAAATTAAGCGCTCCCTTCCAAGACCCCACCCAATCCGACCCCCCGCGTTGCTTGAAACAGGACCGCCATTCTGCAGCCTCCAGCAGGGGGAACCCTCCATCCGCACCTCCCTGAGATCCAATGGGTTCTTTCTCATCGTTCAGGGATAGTGGGGACCAGGCCATGCCAGGCCAGGACCATCGATGCGGAAGACCACGTAGGGTAGGGGGCCAGCGCTTCACAGCGGTTGCCCACCACTGCCACCACCTACCTCCCTTCCCTTGAGTCCCCTTGGCCCCTTTCTCCCGCCCTTACCTCAGCGCTCCCAGCGCTTGAATCCACCACCCACCACCCACTAGAATCACTCCCCCCCCCTGCGTGCTTCCACTTCAACCTTGTCGTCTACCTACTTCAACCCAAACCCCGCTCCCCCCCTCTAGGCTCAAAGAAAGCACTGGCTGGGTTCACTCCTCAGGTGGACGATGACTCCCCTCCCAACCCTCCCCCCAACCCTCCCATCCAGCCCCCCATCCAGCCTCACCCTGGTTCGTACCCGCCCATCGACGGACCGGTCCGTTAGCCAAACCCCCCACCCCCCTTCTCCTAAAGGTAAAAAGATATACGGCGGTACCGCGCAGTTAAGCCATTTTTGTTTTGTTTTGTGCAATCATGCGTCCCGCTCTCTCCCCCGAAGCGCTCACTGCTACAGACGCATATACATCTAGCGCATAAACCTCAAGTTGGGGGTGGATGGAGTGCTTAGAACGGCAGAGCTAGTAGAAGAAAGTAAAAATAAAAAAAAAAAAAAAAAAAAAAAGACAATTAGGAATGGCTGGGCCACCATGTCTAGGTTGAAAAAACAGGAACCTTTCATCTACCCGTGGAGTCCAGCTCCTCTATCCCAAAACGGACAAGGCAAGGAGAAGAAGAAAAGAAGAAAAGAAAAGGATTTGCATCAACGCAATGTTTGAAAATATATAGTTAAATATATAAATCTTGAAAAAAAAAGAGCCAAAATATCAAAATATCCCGACTAGTAGAAGAGCGGACAGGCCTGATTTGATCCCGCCCGCAGATGCAGTTTCATATAAGAACCGAAGCCATTGCACCCCCTTCTCCAAGTTGTAGCTTTGTCACCCACCCATCTGGGATTATATTATCGCTTTTCTCCCCACTCCCTCCCTCACTCGCTCCCTTCCACTCCGCTCAACCTCGTTCGTCCCCTAACAAGTCTTCCTCCCTCCTCTCTCTTTCCTTGACATTTTCCCTTCTACTCTGCTAGCTTTATTTCTTCCCCCCTCCCTCCCCCCCTTCTCTCCTCCCGCAGCTACTTTCGCTGAAACATATATACATATTACTTGGAGCAGCTACTTGCCTATCATTTATATATATATATATATTGTATACTTATTTATCTAATCGAACCGGGTTCGTTCGGTTCGTCTCGCCTTCCCATCCCAAGGGGTTTTCTGCTCGCGCCCTCCCGTCCTTCCCAGCTTACACCCGCCGCTGCATATTGTTCACCCATACCGCATATCGAATATCGCATATCGCAATAACGCACCCCATCCGCTCTAACCCTCCCTTCCTTCCTTGCAGGCGGTTGTCCTCTTGTTCACTGAAACATCAAAAAAGCGCGGCCCCCTCCTGAAACGAAACGGAACCTGAGGACCAAGCAAAATAGAAAGGAGCAAGGGTAGACCGAAAAAAGGCGCTTAGATATCCCAAGGGACCTTGGGTATTCTTCAGCTTTCTCAAAAGGTTGTTATAACTTTTCTTTTCTTTTCTTTTCTTTTCTTGCTTTTAATCAGGAAATAGTTGTCACTTCGTTTCATGTTTCAACCTTTGCTTCCTTTCCTTTTTTTTCTTATTTGTTTTTCTCTTGGAAGCATTTTGGTGTGGTGCAGGTGGATGCCTATGACATACAGCCTTGCTGGGAGCCCATGAGTATTTCTTTAAAACCCTCTCGCACGGACGCACAAATCCAACCAACCCATCACCCAAGAAATCAAGCAAGAGAAGAAGAAACACCAAGAAGACAGAAGGGAAGAAAAGCAGACAAGTGCCAGGTCAAGCCAGGCTTCTGCTAGCCACTGCTGAAGGCTGAGAGTTCCCCTTACAGGCCTTTTCTCACGTGGTTATTCTGTTCGTCCGCCTGGTTTCTTGTTTGTTTTCCCTTCCTCTTCTTTTCTTCTTTCTCCCCTCCCCCGAACAAAACAGTTTATCGCACGGTCGTCCTCGCCGCACATATATCTTGTACCATCGGCCGATTAATTTAACAGAAGCACCTTTTTCTTCCGCCCTTTCCTAGCCCCAACTGCCCCTCTCCCTTCTAGTCGATAGAAGGAGGAATATACATGACGCAGGCCTGGGTGGAGGAGTGAGGCGATTTGTTCTATTTCTTCATGTATAAATATTTTGTCGATCACTGTTCCACGACTTGGCTGGCCTCCGCGTTCATACAGAGCGCATACCCTGACAGCTCCCTCACTCGTCGTGCTCGAAGTTGAAGCCACGATCGTTCCTGTGACTCTTCTCGCTGTGACCTGACACGAACTAAAATGCCGAAACAGACAACCCCCCGCGGATCTAGACGATCCAGGCCGTACCCTGACCCAAAATCGAGAACAACGATGTTGACAGCCACCATGCGTCAAACACGAACACCTGCCGCCGCCGCAGGGGCAACCGCACGTCGCCCAACTCCACCATGGGAGGATAAAAGCTCCCCTCGTACCATGCCACCACCGCGTATTTCCACGTTAGATCGTCGGACCATTCCCGAACGGCCAGAGCGTGCCGTGCCTCCATCTCCCGCCACACCCGCCACGCCTAGCAGTCAATCGGGACAGTGGTCGCAGCAAGATGATGAGATCCTCATCTCTGCTCGTGCGCAAGGCTATGGCTGGACCCGAATTCAGGAAGAAAACTTCCCTTCCAAGAGCTCGAACGCGTGTCGGAAGAGGCATGAACGGCTCGCCGCCAAACGCAAGGGCTCTGAGTGGGTAGAGGAGAGAGTCCAAAAGGTAACAAGACACTACAATCAGCTGAGGCCTGAAATATGGCGCCCACTGGCAGCGGCCACGGGAGAAAATTGGGAGGATGTCGAAAAGCTTGTAAGTTCATTCCAATTTCATGAGTATGAAGTTTCGCATCCTGGGGTTTTTCCAGACCACTGCTAGCAAATGAAGGAAATGAATGGGGTTAACAAGTATTTCGGACGTCAAACAGTGTTTGGAACGCGGCCAGAGGAATCTTTTGCCTATGACGACCCCAAGCTCCTTTAGGAGGGCAAGCTCTGATAATGAAAGTCGGGGGAGTCACGATAGCCATGATGAAGAGAAGCTTAGAATAAAGAGCCTCCTAGGATGAGAGTTACGTCGGATGGTGCATTCCCAACGGTATTAGGTTGGATAACGCCGCAGGGCGGGTTTGTGGCGGTTGGTAAATTTGTGGTTTGCGGGCCTTCGTGTTCATGGCAATTCTCCTTTCACACATCTGAGTCAACTTGCATCGGGTCTGCCATTTGCCTTTAAACAGGTTCCTTTTCTTTGGGTTATTAATATTTCGAGTCATGATGCATACATATGTGGTAATCTTTGAGCTGTTGCCCAAGATTACAACATATGAAGAGGGTCATTGGAAAGGAGTATGTGAGATTTTGTCAACGCAGTGATGCCTTCCTCTTAATATCGTCCCGTTTCCTTTGTTGCATGTTTAGACGACTTTCATTGGTTTTGATCCGCATGTTTCCGTTTCCAGTTCTTTAATGCGATTTCTTTCCTCTTTATTACCAGCTTTCCACTTGTTCTAGGTCCTTAATGTATGTTGTCGCTAAAGACTCTTCTTTCATCCAAAACCTACATTGCAAGAAAATGAAAAGAAGAGTTGAAAACGAAAGACATTCGGCTTTGAATTCATTCCAAGTCATGATTTCCTATTTTCCTCGAGAGGGTTAGATTGAATCGGTTTTTATCCAATCGTCTGGCCCCAGGATTCCACCATCCTCAGCGCGAGGATCAAGTGACCACTTCCGTAATGGCCGACATCGAAGATCCGAGTGCCATCCAGCTTTGAACATTTCAATCCCTGCCCATCCAATCATCGCGGCATTATCAGTGCAAAGATAAGGCGGTGGGGCAATAACCTCTAGATGTTGAAATCCACGAATGTCGAGAAAAGAGCGGAACAGCTTCCTCAGGAACAGATTTGCACCAACCCCTCCGCTAATGACAAGGTGCTTTACATCCTCAAAAGTCTGATATCCGTATGTCGGGTCTTGCCGTTGGTTCCTTTGTTCTTGCTGTTGTCGTTGGCGAATGTTTTGCAAAGCAATCACTGTCCGAGACGCAAGATGTTCAAAGCACACGGTCATGAAGGCCCGGGCAACATCTATTCTCTCGTCATTTGACATGAACCCTTCCCCCGTATTCCCAGCCGCCTCCCACCGATCCTTTTTGTTGGAGATAATGGATTGAGCCCGCGACGCAATACCCGCAAAGGTAAATTCCAACTTTCTGCTTTGAGCAAAAGGCAGGGGTATGGACCATCCCCACCGATTATCCTTCACTTTCATGGCTTCCTCCGCTCGTGTTGCTGGAGGTTGATAGTCGACGAAATCACGATGGCCATTAGGAAATGCAAATGCTTCTAGCATCTTACCGTACATCGTGGTATTTGACTGTTCCAGAAATGACTGGGGTAAAAGAGACCTGGCAAGCTTATCGAGAGCATCTCCAATAGCAATGTCCAACGTGGAAGCGAGAACCTCATGATCCACTATCGACTTCGAATGTACAAGCAATGTGTGCCCACCAGATACAAGAATGGACATAAACGGGAAATTTGGACTGCTAATGAACTCTGTATCTGCCTTGGCATCCCGTTGTTGCTGGAGAGAAGTTGCAAACCTGGGTGTAAGCAGGTGCGCTTGCATATGATGTACGCCAACAATGGGAACCTGCCAGGCCACAGAGAGTCCCTTGGCCGTATCCAATCCAACAGATAGGTTTGATCGCATTCCTGGACCCCTTGTGACTGAGATAAAATCCGGCTTCCTCCGTAAGAGCGGCGCGATCCCCCAAGTGGCGTGAGGAGAGAGGGTGATTATCCGTCCCACATCCTTTGGGTCCGTAAGCTCGGCCGCGGGGAGATATGCCAAAGCCTTATTTATCAGCTTTGCTGCATGCTCCTGGTGGGAATCAAGTGCCACGATTGGGTGGATCCCGTTGTATTTCCTCGAGTCTGCCGTTATGTTTTCCAGGAAATGGAGGGAAGAGCGGGATGGAGAGGAGGATGACGATGACAAGCCGTCATGCTTCTCAACAATGGCCACAGAAGTATCATCGCTGGAGAATTTTCAATCCACGGGCAAGGCATCAAGCATGTTAGCAAAGATGTTTTCCTTTGTAGCCAACATAGTTCAAAAAGGAGCAGATATCGCATGTAAGCTATGAACACCTACCATGATGATTCGATGGCGAGAGTTAACAGATATCTCCGCCCAGAGCTAGGATGGCGAGATAATAATTTTTGATAGCACAGTCCCCGCAGTGACTGTCGAAGAGAAAACATTGACTGTGTTGCGAAAATAAAGGAGTGTAAAGAGCGTTGGGCATGAACAGCGGTGGGCAGGAGGTACAGCAGGCAAGCTTTGGTTCTCGAGTCCTGGGAAGAAATTCATTCAAGCAAGCATGGCGGGAGGGAACCAATCACAGGTGGAACGGTTTCTTGCAGCAATATTTAACCCACCAGATCTCACATTATCCAGTTGGGAATTAAATATCTAGTTCCGCGTAAACGTGACTGTTTACTTGAAAAGTATTTTATTATACGATATATTCTAATTTAGAGAGTTTCCCAATTCTTTATTTCAAATTGGATTCAGGTCAAATCCCAAAATTACAATCACGTGAATGATTTGGGATGCACGATATCACACCTGGGGGTGGTGGCACGACTGATTCTTAGCTCCAGAAAGATCTTTTTTTATGTTACATTCAAAGATTTAAACAGGCCGGACAGGCACCGGACAGGGAGCAGAGCGGATCCAGTATCGTTAAAGGGGCCTTTTCTTTCTTTTTTCTTTTGTGTGCTAGAGCCCCTATTCCCATGCGACTTCACCCTTGCAAAGCCTCCAGGTAACTTACAGGTGGTACAGTGCTTTCCAGGGTATTCGTCCCCAAAAGCTAAGTTACATCTGAGCTACACAAGGGAAGTAAACGACTAAGCTAACTACCCCAGAGGATACATCCGTGGAATGTTTACTCTTGCCTTAAAAAAAATATATATATTCAGAGGAGAAAGAGTAACTAAATAAGTAATAAAAAAAATAAAAAAATATAGTTTAACCGAAACTGAATACGGCAAAAAACAAAATACTTCATTCATAAAATCGTTAAAGAAAAAAAAGGGCATAAATCCATAATATATATCCGAAAAGTGCACGGCTGCTGCTCTCGTTTTCACTTCTCTATACATTACAAAGCAATGTAGTTACAACAACTTCCCCGCTCACCACATTCCCCAGGACTAACCAGAGTCCTGAATCGCAGCCAAATGCTCCCCTCTCCTCCTCCTCATCCTCCCCGAGAGCGAATCTTGTGGTATTCTCTTTCAGCAGCTGGTCGCTGTTGGTGAAGCCTCGAGTCCCTATGGTGGATGGATAGGTGCATGGGTATAACTCGAACGAGTGACCCCTGGCGCGTGAGAGGGGATTGCCAAAATCTGAGCATACATTTTCTCCAGCTGCATGGCATAGTCGCATGTCGACTACACTCAGAAAGAGGGAGAAAACAGTGGACAAATGTTAAACCCCCCTTTCTCTCTTTCCCAAAGGGAGAGGGCAAGAAAAGAGGGAGCCAGAAATGGAAGATGACTCGGTGGATGAATCGTAGATAGAAATGTCGCGTCGTTCAAATTTTCCCAATGCGGTAATTTTTTTATTTTTATTTTTTATTTTTCATTTTCATTTTTTCTGCATGTGGGCTTTTTTCTTCCTCTTGAGTCTTCATTTAAGAGCGGAGCAGCCATCGTCGCTCGTCTCTGGACATCTTCCTGTAGCCACCGTAGTAGTCATCTGTGTTCTCAATGGGAGTGACACAGTGGATGATAGGCTCGCAGTTGAACTGGATTTTCTTAGAAGAAACACCGCTGCTCGGGAAGCTAGAGCTGGAGCTGGAGCTGGAGCTGGAGCTGACGCCGTTCTTCTTGAGGATACTTTTCGAGGAGGTAGGGTTGACATATGCGAAGGTAGCTTGTTGAGGCATGGTAGAGAAGCCACGCTGGTTGAGCTTTGTGTTGCGAGTAGTTGGACTTAGAGGAGATGGGGATAGCGGTGTCCGAGGAGACATGGCCATAGACATGGCAACGGGGGATTTAAGGGATAGAACAGGGCGGGATGTGCTGCTGGTCGAGGCGGCAGCGATGCTCAGAGAGAGCTTGGGTTTAGTGGCGCGTGCAGCGTACATTATGTTTTTGTATATTTGTGGTTGGTTTGCTTGTGGTGTTGAGAGGTAAAAAGTTGATGATCAAAAGTTTTGGGGAAAAGGATATTTAATAGATAGATGGATGGCAGCGGTTGCTTTGAATAGAGGATAGTTAATAATATAATATGCTCCTTTTTCAGCGTCGTCGTCGGTAGGGGGCGAAAAATTAGTCGACGACTCTGGCGCGGCCACGAGACACCTGAGAGCGGATAGATATAAAATTATGTTGTTACTGAAAATAACTAGATAGAGACGATGACGCAATGAAGGAAGCGCATAGACAGAGGATAAAAATAGAATATTATATGATTGGGCCAGCCAACCAGTGCAAATTGGAATAAAAAAATATTAGAGGAAAATAAAAAGGGAAGAGAAAAGAATAAAGGGGAAGAAGGTTCGAAATTCGAAACACAGACTGCAGCAAAGAAAAGTAGGAAATAATAGCAACAACAGCGCAGACAAGGAAGGGGGGCCACAGCGGCTATATAGGCCCCCGGCGGCCCAGTCGCTCAGGCAGGGGGTTGGGGCCAACGGGGCAAACAGACCAAATCGCGGTGGCTGGCCGATGCTGGCAAAGGATGCTTGTATCCTTGGAAGAATCAAGCCAGCAACCAGCCCAACCTTGCCTGCCTCAGCCAATCGCGCGCTCTATGTGCAGCAAACGCTGCTTGAAGCGCCCAACCAATGCAAGACGGCACATCCAGATCACACACATCGCGCATTTTGGTCACTCGTCGGCTCTTGGTCCAGTCTATCAGAGGCCAACCTCACCGATTCTCGTCTGCGCTCCCTTGCGCACGGTTACACAACCTCCTGCATGGCAACAAGCCCTAACAGTGGCCGAACGGTGCGACGGTGGCTGCTGGGGTGAACAAAAGTGATGGTGACGATGGATTTTTGTCCGATCCAGCCTTCTTATGGAATAGCCTTACTCTGCTCCTCTCTGGAATGACATCAACTTGCGGGGTTTCGCATAAAAAAGATGATGCGCAGAAATCGGCCTGGTAAGAAACCAGCCCCTCGGTGTGCCGTGTGGTTGCTGAAATAAAACAACTACAAACTCGCCCATCTTCTCGTCGTTCCATCTACTCCGTAGATGGCTTCTCTCTCACTTTCTCTCATGCTAAAATATTCCATATTGAGGGCAGTGTGCCAGTAGGATCGGTGATGGGCAAACACGTTCTCAACCCCTGCCGAGTTACAGGACCTCAAGAATCAGAATCACCCATCCCTGCATGATCCGTGTGAAGAACGGGCTTGGGCGCCAATGTGAAGTTTGCATTCAAACATCCCAGCTTCACTTCTTGCAATTGATGTGTCGAATCTTGAGTGTAGAGACTGATGTATTCTCTACTACTCCGTACTGTGTCAAAAGTCTCAGCATGAATATATCCCATCTTTGCCATCTGCTCTGTCGGGTCTACGCTGTGCGTACCTATCAGGAAACAATTTTAACCCCTCCTTACAACATCCCTTGAGATCTCGCGGTAAGCTTCAAGCTAGTTGTGACAACCTGAGTTCAAGCAGCCAGCAACAAACCAACCAGCGCTGAAATCACACGCTACAGGAGGACAGTTCGGAATTCTGATCTCTCCCACCACCGCTTGGGCGTTTCCTATATAAGTCTTCAACGTCATTCGTCCTTAGATAAGATGGAGTTTTAAGTTTCCGCTCCCCCGCATTAACATTACGATGATACCACACTTGCGTTGGTCAATCATCTCATACGACTGTCATATCATCACGATAAGAGCAGACTTGCCCACCTCAACGAGGAGCGGGATCCCGAACATACATATGTTTCCAGGGGGTCGATCACTGCATATCCAGGCTCTTGAGCTAAAAGGCATGATGGAAAAGGAGGGGGAAACACCTCACCTTGTTGGGTGTGTTGCTATAATTAGATACTGGTACAGTGCTGTGGATAGTGATAACGGGATCAATGATCTCATGGAAAAAATTTTCCTTAATGCGCACTAATTGTGATCATTGCAGCAGCCGTACATGATCAACTTCACTGCGGAGCACCGCATTTTTGTGATGGTTGGTTGGGCCGTCGACAATTGAAGTTTTTCGTTTGTCTCTGCTCCATAGCATATGAATAGATATAGCAATTGCAGTGTCAAGTTCTCATCTGGAGATGTTCTGATTTGTATTAGGCAGAGGTAGAGGGAGGGAGGGAAACGTTATGGAATAGGGCTCGCGGCAAACCGGTTCTTACGTTCATCATTCATTCTCCCCAATTTGAAACTATTTCTTACGAACGCAACAAAACTAGAATTTCTTATTGAAAGTCAGAGACAAAGTTATCCAAGAGTAGAGGTTTCCTTTCATCTCTTCTCATCTTTTTACTCTATATAGTAACTTACACTCACTGATCACAAAGATAACATACTTCTTATTTGCACCAAGAAACAAAAAAACATGAAACCGAAATCTGGCTCTGGCACCTGTGGCCGTATCCAAACTCACGGATCCTTCCGCCTACGGAAGCGAGGGGGCGGATACAAAATAGCAGGCTTCCTCGGCTGTCAACGCAAAAGGTGTCGCCGTGTCAAAATAATAAACGAATATATCAATGTTCGGGGCCTTTTCGTTCTGATCATGTGTTATTTTTTTTATTTTTATTTTTATTTTTATTTTTATTTTTTTAAGCACTAACTAGGCCGATCGGTCCGACACCTTCATTTTTTATAACAAAATGATCTGGAATAGTTCCAAGAGCTCGAGATCCGCGGGTTGAACAAGATATGGAACATGAGGATATTTCGATAATCCTGTAACTTTTCAAACACACGAACCAGCATGTTGGTGGTCAGCGCTCCCGGTTTCGGGGGCTTTCATCTTCTTGGACGTCAGAGTAGGCTTGTCATTTACGTCCTTGCTAGGCTCATGCTAAAAGGGTGGTTCTGCGGAGCACTTCAACTTCCCTAGATATTATAGAAGTCGGCGGATTTCTGTATATATTTTCAATACGATATCCATGCCAAAACCCAGTCAAAAGGAAACCCGGTTCAGCACTCACCTGTAGGCTGTTCGAAAGCCAGTGCGCGGACTCCTTTAACCTTTCCCTTTTCTTTTCCCTTTCTTTTTATTTCTTTTTTCTCTTTCCCTCTCTTTTTATTTCTTTTTTCTCTTTCCCTCCGCCTGATTCTCACAAGAGAAATATGGATATCCGGGCCCACTGGCAGTTTTCTTGGTGTGGGATAGCAGAATTGGCCGATGCGGGGAGAGCGGGTCGTGAAAGAGTAGCGGCAGAGGTCATCCCGATAACGGCTCAACATAGCTAGCTATCCCATGCCTGCCAGCATCAGAGGGAATTTTATGACTCAGGACTGTGTGCTGTAGAGCCTGTACACAGAGTGTGATGGTTCCTAGCGTCGAGGAAAAGCCCAGGGTGATTGTATCCCTCAGATCTTCAGTTAAGCTTTCGTGCCTATCTAACGACCAAGCCGAGGTCTTTCTCAAACCAGTGAGTGTACCGTGCCTGGGCGGAGCTCTCCGTACAAGAAATCAACGTCTCAGCGCAGATGAGTTAAAGAGGTGAATAATAATACATAAGCCCATGTAAAATCGACCGAGTAATAATCCAGTTAATCCCTCGTAGGCATGATAGACCTGAAGGGCAAAAATGCCTTGAGCATTTTATTAATAGGCTGGCGCTCGCCACACTGCCGATGTTCTGTCATGCCCAAGCCAGATCGGCTGAGTCATCCGCCAAACTCCCGCGCGCTGCGGCAAACCATTGGCTACGGAAGGTCAAGGATCCAGGAAAATTTTTTTGCCGCATTGATTCATCAACATCCATCCCTCACCGGTCATTTATACATCTCCTATCGCTCTCCTGTGTAATTTTTTTTACACACACCACTGCACTGTGCACTCGCACACACATTCACTTTGTGCATATTATTATTATTCTTATGAATAATTTGCCGGTGACCTTTCATCTTTCATCTTTCTTTTTTTTCCTTCTTTTCGTTTTTAATTTGGTTGCGTATCGACCTTTTTCCACACCCCCCGTTCACTCACCACTAGCAACCTGGCTAGTTTCGTTATTGCCAAACCCTCTTTTAGCTGCATTCCTCGGAATCGCGGCTCTTGACCTTGTCGAAAATTCCAGGCCTTTGCTTTTTGCCCCTTCTCCCTCTTTTCTAAGCCCGAAGTCAGCAACTTTTACTTGGGGATAGCTTTGCGAAGCCGTGCGTGTGTGTGTGTGTGAAATCACCGGGTTCTAGTTAACCTCCACCCACCTCACCAATCTTTCAATCATGGCTGCGGTTAAGGAGAGTATGAGTATAAAAGGATCCATCATGGGATCAATTCTGCCCGATCCTGACCTCCCGGTTACTTCTCGGATCAGAGCGCATTTCTATCAACATGCCAGGACTGATAACGAAACGGGAGAGCGGTATATGAACAAGGAGGATTTCATCAATGCCATTGCTCCCGTACATGAAAACTATGTAAGTTCAGCTCTACCTTCCAGACCCATCAAAAGGAACAGGGGATTGACCATTTGCTGATGCCTCCATTTTTCTTCCATCTGTAGCACAAAATCAAACGCGAACAATACGGTATCCTATTCCGAGTTGCCGATCGACGGAAGACTGGTAAAGTAAATCTACACGATTGGACCGCGTTCGAGAATCTAATTGCCAAACCCGATGCGGAATATGAGATTGCGTTCCGTTTGTTTGATGTGGAAGGGACCGGAGCGATTAAATATGAGACGTTTCAAAAACTATATACCCAGAATACGGGGAAGGATAGTATTCCCTTTGACTGGAATTCAGAATGGGTATCGTTGTATACAGGAACGAAGAAGAGACGACATGACATGACCTACCCGCAATTCGCACAAATGCTTCGTGGCCTCCAGGGCGAGAGAATACGTCAGGCGTTCCACCTTCTCGATAAGGATGGGGATGGCTACATCGAGCCGGAGGATTTCCAGCGTATCATCTTGAACACCGCTAGGCACAAGCTGTCAGATCATCTTCTAGAAAACCTACCCTCCCTATGCACCATCAGCGCCGGAAGTAAGATTTCGTACGCCAACGTCCGCGCCTTTCAGAATATAATACGAGAGATGGACATGATCGACTATATCGTCCGCAGCGCCGTAAACAAGAGTCACGATGGCACAATCACCCGCACCGATTTCCTAAACGAAGCCTCTCGCGTCGCGCGCTCGTCCCTCTTCACCCCCATGGAAGCCGATATCCTCTTTCACTTTGCCGGTCTCGATGCGCCTTCAGGAAAGCTCTCGCTAAACGACTTTGCAAAAGTTATAGACGCTTCATGGCATTCCGCAGCTTCTGCGGTCGGTAACGCTGCAATGGAAAGCGTCACTCAAACCACGGAAAAGGCAACTACAAAATCGAAACAGGTCCTCCAGAACATCTTGGAGTCGGTGCATCATTTCGGTCTGGGCAGTATCGCAGGTGCCTTTGGCGCCTTTATGGTGTACCCTATTGATCTTGTCAAGACGAGAATGCAGAATCAGAGGAGCGCGCGTGTGGGGGAGAGGTTGTATAGCAATTCAATCGATTGTGCGAGGAAGGTTATTCGGAATGAAGGTGTTCTTGGCTTGTATTCGGGCGTCATACCGCAATTGATTGGTGTTGCCCCTGAAAAGGCCATTAAGCTCACCGTAAATGACCTGGTTCGTCGGACTTTTGCGGATAAGCAGACGGGGAAGATTGGGTTGGGGTGGGAACTTTTTGCAGGTGGTATGGCTGGTGGATGTCAAGTGGTATGTTTATTGTTTGTTCACTCAGCTTCTTTTTGCTTCTTCTTTTTCCTAATTGATACTAATTTCACACACAGGTTTTCACAAACCCCCTAGAGATCGTGAAGATCCGTCTGCAAGTTCAAGGAGAGATCGCCAAGAGCGTCGAGGGTGCGCCACGTCGATCGGCCATGTGGATCATCAAGAACTTGGGGTTGATGGGATTGTACAAGGGAGCTAGCGCCTGCTTGCTTCGCGATGGTGAGTAAAATATCTTCAAACTAATTCTTTGTCAATGCAGCTATCTAACTTATATGACCCCACCCAGTCCCATTTTCGGCCATCTACTTCCCCACCTACGCACACTTGAAATCCGACTTCTTCGGCGAATCGCCCACCAAGAAACTAACCATTATCCAACTCTTAACCGCCGGTGCCATCGCCGGCATGCCGGCCGCCTACCTCACAACACCATGCGACGTCATCAAGACAAGGTTGCAAGTCGAAGCCCGCAAGGGCGAGACGAGATATACATCCGTCCGCCACTGCGCGACGACGATAATGAGAGAAGAAGGGTTCCGCGCGTTCTTCAAGGGCGGCCCGGCACGTATCTTGCGCTCATCGCCACAGTTCGGCTTCACGCTTGCTGCCTACGAGGTTCTGCAGAATTGGCTGCCGCTGCCCGGCAGCCAGCCTGAAGACGTTACGCCGATCGGCCATATCGAGCCCGGGTTGGGCCAGCGGGCGACGGGGCCTCTGCCGTATATCCGGTCGCGGAATGCGTTGAAGCTCATTCTTGATTTGAATGAGGACTTTGGCCGGATTAAGATGCCCAGGAGTGCTAGTTTGCCCGCTGGTGCTGCGTGAAAAATGATGCAGCAGGTGTAAAATTCTCCGTCTGCGGTTCATATCTGTGTTTGAATATCTAGACCCGTCCATTTTTTGCCCCTTGGGTAGCAAGCGTACTTTGTGTGTGTACTTTTATCTCCGCCTCCCTGGTTTGGTTCGATTGCCGTGTCATATACTCTGGTCATATATCGATCATAGCATGATGACCGGAATCTATTACCAACCGGTGATCCCGTCCTCCTCTCGCCACCACGCCCTATCAACCTCATCTCGCCCTCCGCTTGCTTGCTTGTTAAAAATTCCCTTTCCATCTTAACGCCATAGATTTTTGTTGTTATTTTCATTATTTTTATTGTTTTCCATTTTAAATTTCCTAATCGAGCTCGCTTTTCTAACCCCCTCCCCTCCGCCGGTATGTGACGCTACTTACAGAAAATCCTATTTAGTTCCTATTCCTACTCTCTCCTCGACATTTCCTCAGTCCGGCTTGTCTACCATCCATCATCCTCCCAGCGAAAACGCATACACACCATTTAACGAAAGATTGCTTGCTTACATTTATTCTAGGCGATCTTTTATCTCCCGCGAAAGATTCCTTTTTCCTTTTCTTTTTCATTTTTGATTTAATATTATCTTATACCTCGCATCTACCTCTTTTGATTTTCTTTTTCTTTTTCTTTTTTTCTTTTTTTCTTTCTTTTTCTTTTTTGATTTCTTCCATATTTTCATTTCTTCTTTCAAGTTCACCCCGCGCCCCCTTGTTCTTGTGACCTTATTTTCCACATCTGGATTTTCGCAAGAAAAGAAAGAACAAGCCAAAATACCCCCCCAAAAGTGTCGATAGAATCATAGAGAGAGTGTGTGAGGGAGAGAAATGGACAACCTCTGAACCGGTTAACCACTAACCGTACCACCAAACGTCATTCTCTCCCTCTCAAAGTCCTATTATTTCTATGTATATGTATCTAGAAATAATAGACTAGATTAGATCCTTTGAATAATTAGAGAATATTTCTGTGTTTTATTTATTTTAGTACTCACTAGGTAAGTCAACTTGTAGTTTGTCGGCTTGCGGTCCTCCCCGTGTCCGATGTATCTGCTGGAGATCAAAAGTTTCCAAACTTTACCCACCTGTGACAGGATGCTCAATGCTCAGTTTCAGCTCTGGCTTGACATTAGTCCATTTATTTTATTGCTTCTTCTTAATGCCATTGCATATTCGCAGAATCGCGTTGAATATAATTACTCACCCTATTTCTGTCAAGTACCCTAGCGGGAGGTGACACATAATATAGATAGCCCCCTGCTTGGTTACCCTACGATGGGTGCACGCTAACGTTTATGCAGTGAGTGTTCAAGATGATGGGATGCATGACATCACTCTCGCATTGTCGCCGAAAATTTCGTCCATTAGAGGAATACTCCCATGATGAAGTACCATCACTAACAATCCTTACCGCGTTGTTTTACTTCGAGATTCGATAATGGTTAAAGGCCTCCTACCTACTATACCATATCAAGCCCAACATAAACTCATTTCACTTCACATCCCCTACCTTATCCTAGCCAACCGGCAAACTACGTTACAACAAAAACAAATGGCGCCTGAATCGACTAACCCCTGCCATGCGCTGGTTCTTGGCGCCTCGGGAATTTCAGGATGGGCATTTATCAACCAGCTCCTTCATGATTATCCGCGGCCGGGTATTTGGGACCGGGTGACGGGGGTTACAATGCGACCCTTGAATGAGGAGGAAGTGTCATATTGGCCAGAGGATAAACGACTACAGCTAGTTTCGGGCGTTAATTTCGTCGGGGACACGGAGGAAGTATTGAAGGGGAAGCTGGGTTCGCGGCTTGTGGGTGTGGGGAGTTTTACGCATGTTTTTTACTTAGGTACGGATATATGACGGTGGAATATGGATGCCTGAAGATATATATGTAAAGTTTCGGGCATATATTCTTCCTTAAAAAAGATTTGAAGAAATATGATACTTAGAGAGGAACGAGTAATTAGCGATGAGTTTGTTTACACGCTTTATACCTAATGCCAAAACAATAGTGAGCGTGCCCGATTCCAAGGCATTAGACAGCCTCCGCAAAGCCGTGACCGTGATCGACGATCTCGCACCAAAGCTTGAATTCATCCACCTCCAGTATGGAACTTTCATATATGGGACTTGTTTCGCCGAGGACTTCTATATGCCAGTGCCACTCTCAGAGGGGTTGCCTCCCCTCCGCAAACCGTGGGCTGATCGCCTCCCATATTTCAACCTTTCGAGATGGATGGATGAGTTCTCACGCGGGAAACCGTGGAAGTGGTGCGAGACAAGGCCAGACGACATTATTGGTTAGGCATAATTTTTTTTCTTCTCTTTCATATTAATGCCGCTTTATGGCACAAAGATCACTAAGCACCTATGTACCCCAAGCCAGGATTCCTCCCTCGCCCTAATGGATATAATGTTGCATATCCCATCGCCATGTTTCTTTCGCTGTACGCCTACATCAACGGCAAGGGCGCCCAATGCCCGTTTCCCGGTAGTTTCGGCGTCTGGAAAGCGCTCTCCAACGACGCGGGTGCAGATATGATCGCTAAATCTGCAATCCACCTTTCACTATCCTCTAATCTGTTGGCCAACGGAGAGGGATTCAACGTTGCTTCCTCATCGACCCCATGGAGCTGGGAGATGAAATGGCCGGTTATATGCACTTGGTTTGGACTTGAAGGCATACCGCCCGTTGATCGCGAGAGGAGTGAGACAGAGACACCCGGGCCTGACGAGTATATCCGTAATCATGAAGAAGAGTACAAAAGGATGGTAAAGGAATATGGGTTGAAAGGATGGAAAGTAGCGTCTCCGTCCATGGATGGCTCGGAAAATTGGGGGTTGACTAAGCTAAATTTTGACCGTCAAGTTGATTTGCGGAAGACAATAGCAACTGGCTACACGGACGAGGAGAGCAACGCGGAAACCTGGATTAGGGCACTTGAGCGGATGAGATCCGCAAAAGTTATCCCATAGATAGTCAAGAACATGTGTTCTAAACAGGAGTGAGATATCTCTTTGTGTTCGAAAACGTTGGGGAAGCAGGGATATATTTAAAATTTGTAGTAAGTCCGATGTCAAATTGTTATGGCTTAGATGGCAACATGGGATAGATTGTTTAGAAGAAACTGGACGGCCGTTGGGGTTTGCTTGTTTCCGTAGTAGGTCCCTCATTAGAAGTGACTCGTTGATATTTTGTCGTTATCTCCGGTTCACTCTGCTGCGGAGTAGTCGACTGTTGCGAATCATTTCCACCGTCACTATCGGACTTTGGCACGTTCCCGCGATGTGTCCGCTTAGCCCTGGAATGCCATAGGGATTCTTCCTGCTCAATTTCTTTCAAGACTAGATGTTCCAATCAATTAGTATTTGTTTCCATCCACCTATTAAAAGAGTTATAATCACCTTCTTCCCACTCTCTTTCTTTTGCCTCGTCCCCCGTACCCAATAGCCTTTTGACATCCACATCTTCCCCTTTCTGAATCCGTTCGATAACCTCTTTTAGCAGCCGGGTTTTCGCATCTGCGCTCCGGGTATCGTTCGCGTACTCATTTCGAAGCATAATCATCCGGATAGCCTGGGAGCCGATAAGAGTGAACATGATGGCATAAAATGTAGCTGGATTAGGCGCTCTGGACTTTCGGGGTGCGGAATCTGTCCCACGCCGATTCCCGCTCCGAAGGAATTTGGGAACCATAGACGTCCACATCGAAGGTTCTAAGATTTTGGGGACTGCCCGCCCCGCTGCAAGACATCGGCGCTGGGAATGAGGCTCGGTTGGAGGTAGTTTTGACTGTGGCAGGCGGGACCGGGAGAGGATGGGATTGGATGGGATTGAGAGGTGGCAATGCCTCAAAATCACGGGTCGAGAAGACATGATTAACTATAATATTCCTCCGGTATGCAAAAATGAATATTGCCTACTCAATGTTGGACTGGACTGCAACGCGATACTAAAAAATGTTACAGGTTGGAGACCAGAGAGAGAAAAGAATTGGCGCTAAACCCTGAGGGGAATTTCTGGAGCAGGGACGATTATGTAATCAATATGGTTGCCTCGGCAACCAGCAGCTAGTGACCATCCCGAAACAGCTCGGACGTCGCTACGATAGAGCCTGGAATATGGTCGGCTTCATTGACAGTTACGACATTATCGACTTTAGATGACAGAAATGGAGGAAACGGCGCGTTCCATACGCGCTCTGGAGGCGTCCGTGAAACAAGCTGTCAAGTCGACCTCTACCTGCACTAGCGACACCACCTCGCTGCTCAAAAAGCTCCTCTCCCCAAACTCCGCTCCAAGCACCCATTACCACGATGAACAACCCAAGAATGTCAAGTCAACCAGGCGGCCAAAAGGCTCAACAGTGCGCAAGGTTTCCAAGCCATATCAGTTAAAAACTGCTGCAAAATATGCTCCATCCCAAACATTCGATGGAACAGACAGTGGATTGCTCTCGCAGAGAGAGAAGCTTGTATTAGCCACGGATGTGTTTAATTCCGCGTCAAAGGCACTCTCCGATTATATGAAACTCTCCTCAAACAAGCAAGCCTCTAGGGAGTCTGTGAAAAGTAGACTTGACACTCCGCAAAAGATGCTGGCTCCTAGACGGCCCCTGCAATCGGTCTCGCCGAATTCGACCGCATGCTCGCCCGTAAAGACGAAAGGCATGGACATGAGTAGTCCGAAAAAGAATATACCAAGTTGCGGGGTTGTGGAAGTTGCAGACTGTGCCAGATTAGCGTTGTCATGTCTTCGAGACCTGAAGTCTCCTCCCGTAGCGGAGACGCAGCAATTCAATAGCCAGCTAGAGCAAGGGTTTTGTGTTCTGATCGGGAAGCTGCTTGCTGTTGGTTTGAACGAACCTGCAATAAACGAACTGAGAAAGCTGAAGAGGAGATTAAAGGGATATATACTAAACGAAACACCAGAACGGAACTTCGAGCGCCTGAAGAAGCCCGCCAATGCCCGCCAGCGGGACGAACCATCAAAGGAAACTCTAGCAGACCTCATCCAAATCGATAAGGTCCCTGCTGATGACCAACTCTTAAACCTAGTCATCTCTTTTCAGGCCCATGCTCTAAAGGCCATTACAACCGAAAAAAAAGTTCTCATCGTGAATAAGCTCTCAGACCTGCTTTTGTTGTCAAACCCAACAAGCCCGGCTAGCATAATTCTTATAGCGCGGAACAAAGGTGTTCTAGCTGACAACAAGGCGGCTCAACTGTTACAGTTGCTTTCGTACACTATTCTTTCCCTTGCTTCCCCGTCGCCAAATGCTGAAGATGGAAAAAGTTCCTCAGCAAAATCTCACCCCAAATATATCGTTACCTTGAATCTCCAATTACTAGCATTGGAAATACGGTGTATATGGTGGAAGATCTGTGGACACAAGTGCAATATGGAGAAAGAATTCTGGCACCCGTTAGCTCGTTATCTCACGACATTCGCCAGACGATGCACGGTCATAACTAAGGGCGATTTTGAGTCAGTGAAGCAGGCTTTCCGGCGCCTAGAGTCAACGGTAATGGCACAAGGATTTACTTTTTTGCCTTCTACCGACCAGGTTGGTTCTGTATCAATGGTTATGAAGGTACTCGGCCAATTAGCACAGAGTGCTGACTGCAAACTCGATGCGCTGAAATTTTTCGATGACTGTATTTCGTGTCTGTCTCCTGACCAACCACTCCTCCTTGGTATTTGCCATTGCAAAATCTCTCTTTTACGGTTGGAGACACTGCGAATTCCAAAGATTGGCCGCGCATCTAAAACTGCCTCAGCGGTATCGGAAGCGTTGAAATGTTTAGCAGCTCCGCTGAGGGGAAATCAATCCGATCTCGAGGAGTTAGTGATAGAATCAGCTAAACTCAAGAAAGCAGCGATGGCTTTTCTGAATACACTGGGCGACGCGGTCCTAGACGAAAATGAAGGACCCTCGGAGTACGGGCCTCTAGCGCTTTACATTATTGACTATCTCAACAACTTTGTGAGGTTCTTGACTCGCTACCTTGGACAAGCAGCTCCAACCAACGTCAATTCCGATGACAATCTTAATGGTCTGTTTCATCAACGGCTTCTAAAATGCAAAAATATTGTACTTGCAGCCGTCGATTCTGTTGTTGCCGTTGGAAAAATATCAGTTGTTGCCAAGCGACCGGCATGGGCAGATATCCAGCCTCTTCTCTCTGATTGTTTCACTCTGCTGAAACATTTAAGTTCTGTGGAGAGTATCGAGAACGAAACAAAATCGACTGGTTCAATATCAGCTAGTTTCGTTAAGCTATCAAACCTGTACTGGTCCCGCTATGTCAAACAAAAGGAACTTGGGGTATCGTCATCTGATCTCATCCCACTACTGGAGCGCTCAACGAGCCTTCTGCGGACATGTCCACCGGAAAACACAGCTGGATTCGTGGCTATAAAATACGAACGCCTAGCGACCCTATACTCGGATGTTTCCCAATTTCAAAAGTCTCAAGGGGCCTACCGGTTTGCTATCCAGGCTCATATAGATGGTGGCATTTTAAAATGTGCAACTCAGAATGCTGCGACTCAGCCGCCATCTTACATCATTAAAGACCCTTCATTTCCCTTAGGCCGCGTTTTGGCCAGCTACGCTCGATTTTACTGGAAACACGGCTATGATCCTAGCGAAGCAGTTTTTGACGACGAGAATCTCGAGCCCGAAGAGAGAGGAATCTTACTTGAATGTCAAGCTATGGCTTTGTTAGAGACATCTTCCAGCGGGGAACTAGATTCGAAGATATCGCTGTTATCCTTCCTAGTTTCAGCTTTACTTGAACAATATCCACAAAAAATCTATCCAATACGGAGATTACGAGTAATCCTTCACGCTATCCGCCTCTGTCTACATGTTCCTAATCACTTGGGTTCCGAACTTCTTGAGAAAATCTTAGTAGAGGCAAACTTATTTTTATCTCGTGAACTCGACATGGGGAAAGATTCCGGCCTTGTCCAGTTTAAAGAATCCATGCTGGCCTCTCTCCGCCTAACCCTGGGATTCTTGAAGGGACCCTTGCCTACCGAAAGCCTACGGGAAATAATTTACTCCTTTTCCGCAATTGCACGAAGTTGCCCGACATGGGAGTCCGTGCTTGTAAAAGTCCATGACCCGGAAGCTTTGATCGCACAATTAAAGGTGCTGATCAACTATGCGGAAGTGCTTGGATCGTGGAAACTTAGGATATTGGCCCTATCGACACTTCGACATCTTCTAGAGATCCAGGAACCAAAGGATTTTTCAGAGATAGTATCTTGCTTATCCCACCTTGGCCTTCAGTATAGTCGCCTTGGATATCTTGACATGGCAGGGTCTATGTTTGGGCGCGGAGAGGACCTACTCCGAAACAATGTCTCGCCTATGGTGTTAGTTTCTTGGAATATTAGTCTCGCGGAATATCTGACCGATATAGGAAGCATTGATCAGGCGTGAGTTTACCTGGCCCTCCATCTCCCCTGCGTTTGTCCTACCATCATTTGCTTTGCCCACTGGACTGACATAACTAGAATTGAGACTTTATCCTGTGCTAAGGTGATATTTGAACAAAACACCGGCCATGCGTTGAATTCGAGCTTCCAGTCTAGGCTGACTTGGGAAAGACTAGTAGCTGAAGCTGCTTATGTTTCTTCTCGAATATATTTCGAACTTGGATCTCTCAACCATGCTATGTTTTTTTCCAAATGTGTTGTTAAACTAAACAATAGAATATGGGCAAAATTAGACAGAGTGTCAGATATGAAGCGATGCAAAGCTTTTGAAATTTCCGACTCGGACATCGATGTCCTCTCCAATAAGGTCAAAGCGATCAGTTTATCATCAGAGAACGACTGCGTACGGGATGGCTATCGAGAAGGCTCTTTGTATTGGCCGCTTTTCACCTCGCATTATATTGGCCTTGTCAACCTATCCAAGCTTTCCGCGCACAATGGTCTTTTCCAGGACTGTGTATATTTCGGGGAGCAAGCACTAAAAATCTGTAAAGCCATCGGTGCAACGTCCTCGGCTTCGTCGATCCAGGCGGAACTGGGGAATGCCTGGCTCCGCGGCGGTCACATTGAGAAAGGCCAGGAGCTGCTGGAGATCGTCTCGAGAATATCCAATTCGCTCGATCGGAGTCTAGATATTGTGTCGCTTCATATGACTTTTTCCCTTCTTTATCGACTCCAAGGAAACCCGGAGGAGAGGACTAAATCGCTTCAGCTCGCTCATCGAACTCTCCTAGACATTTCGGCACATCCTCTGGTTGAACCAACAGATACTCTAATCTCGGAGCCTGATCTTGAAGTAAAACTGAGCCAGTTGACCATCAAAGCCAAAGCGCAGAGTAGAAAGGGCCCCACCCTTCGTCAAACAAGGGCGAGACGAGCGAAAACGGCCGGCAACACGCTTCCTCTCCCCAAAGTTCCAACTAGTTCGACCACCGGAACCTCACTTTCACCACGATCGTTTTTACGGTTCCAAGTTGACCTGCTACATCAGCAGGTAGTGGATTTATTATCGACCCAGGATTTTCCAGAAGCCTCCACTCTTCTTGACCAAGCAGAGCAGCTTCCGAAATGCAAAACTCGCGAGACATCTTACCTGATAACCAAGGCGCAGCACCTCCTCTCCAATTGGATTCAACGGCTCAGTTCCCATTCTGTTTACTGTGTTCTACCAGAGTCTACAATTTCCCTGCCATCAATATATCTAGCAGAGAAGGTCAAGGAAGACAAGCCACCTTCCACAGGTTCTCGCAGCACAAAAAGGCAGGCTCAGGCAACCAGAACAAGAGCTGCGACTTCGACTACGAAAAGCCATTCTCGGGCTTGCCCGAAAGACTTTGCTGACATGGCATCTATAGCAAGTAGCTTACTGCCTGCTATGTCTTCTTCCGCGCCTATTTACGGTTCAACCCGCGATAACCACAACGTTTCATCCATTTCAGGCCAAATATGTATGGTATCAAATGCGACATGCTCCAAACTGGAAGGATTTTCCGACCCGTTACAGGCAGCAGTTACCATAGGTACGTACCAGGATCTGCAAATTAATGTCCCGTATCTAAGCTAATAATGATGAGTAGAAAACGGACGAAACTTGGCCTTCCTAAGAGAGAATTCTTGCATCACAATTGACAAAGAGTTGTGTGGCCCAGTTGAACCTTTGAAATGGCCAGATGTACCCAGCAATTTCGCGAAATCGAATGAACTCAAATGCACCGATTTTATGCTAGATTATGTCGATATTTTACCAGATACCTGGAATGTCCTTTCTTTAACCGTAAGCGACGATCATAACGAGTTCATCATATCCAAGTTACGGTCTGGAAAACCACCCTTTTTACTACGTCTTCCATTGAAGAGAGGAAACTCGGAGGACATGGACGAGGATGAATTCGACTTTGGAGAGGGGAAAAGGGAGCTACTGGAAATCATTCGGCTGGCCAACGAGAGTGCGCACGACGCCCGAGCTCGTGTCGGTAAGATTGCAAAGAAGGAATGGTGGGCTACTCGCCAATCGCTAGATAATCGCCTTAAAGACCTCCTTGGTAATATTGAAACTGTTTGGTTTGGCGGTTTTCGTGGCATATTCTCACAGTGTCCACGGAATACGCCTCTTCTCTCGCAGTTCATCGAAAATTTTGGCAAAATCCTCGACAAGCATCTTCCGTCAAGAAGACAACGCGGAAGAGGCCGAGCGTCTAAACCAAATTTCCATTGGGATGTTATGGAATTGTTCGTCAACATTGGGAGTATTGACGAGAGGTCAAACCCGGAAGACCTAGTTATGGACCTTTTGTATTTTGTTGTCGACATACTCCAGTTCCAGGGGGAAAGAAATGCATATGACGAAATCGATTTCGATATGATGGTCATTGACACACTCGATGCGATACGCAGATACAAGGAGCTTGAGAAAAGGGAGCTGGTATCCACTCAACCAGGCCATACAATACTCATCCTTGACAAAGAGCTTCACTCGTTCCCATGGGAATCTCTCGACTGTTTACGTGAGTCCTCTGTCTCTCGGATGCCGTCTTTGTATTACTTGAAAGAGACACTGTTAAAACTCCAAGCCAACAATGATCTTGGAGAACGATTCGATGGATTCCACATTGATCGAAAACTTGGCTCATATATTCTCAACCCCGGAGGGGACCTTAAATCGACACAAATTATGTTTGAACATTCGTTGTTAAGCTTGGACGGATGGAGCGGTATCGCCAACCGAGAACCAACTGAAGATGAATTCAAGCAATACCTAGAAAGCAAAGATCTACTACTCTACTTTGGTCATGGGAGCGGGGCCCAATATATTCGGGGAAGGACCATTAAGCGCCTAAATCGCTGTGCCGTAACCTTCCTAATGGGATGCAGCAGTGGTTCACTGACCGAAGCAGGCGAATTCGAGCCATATGGGACACCGATCAATTACATGCATGCGGGAACACCCGCTCTTGTAGCCACGCTTTGGGATGTGACCGATAAGGACATTGACCGCTTTGCACATTCCACATTCGGGCAATGGGGTCTTATGGACGAGGCACCAGTTGAGAGCAACCAATCAGGCAGAACTAAAGGGCCAACAACTATGAAACCCCATCTACCCAGTCCAATAAAACAGCACCAAGGGGGTGGCGCGGTAGGGCTTGATACTGCAGTTGCTAAGTCCCGAAGTGCTTGCATTCTGAAATACTTAAATGGAGCAGCGCCAGTGGTGTACGGTGTTCCGGTGTTTTTGAAGTAAAGGAGTTTGATTTGGTTTTTCTTGTTGTTCATGGAGTTATCGCATTTTCGTTCTCTTCTTTTTTTCTTATTTTCAACTTAACCTTTATTGCCTATATATTTACTGCAAACTTATTGATAGACCGGGTGCGGCTTGGGTAGGGCACTGGAGCATAGCGAGTGTTTTTGTTTTATTGGATTTAAGATAGATTATTCTTTTTCGTACAAGTTATTGTTAAATTTGGGTCCTTCTTCTTATATATTTCTATTCCTGTGTAGCTCTTGTGAACAGTTACTCCATTTTTTTTGTTGCTACCGGCGATTTTTCCTTTTTCCTTTTTCGTTTCTTTTTTAGTTTTGTACTCCGTAGTATGAAATCAAAATATTGTTCCCCTCCTCCCCGCATGACGTCATCCCTCTCCGCAAATACATGGCCAACAAACTCACCAAATTGAATCTCAATTCAACTTCTCAACTACAATTTGGACAACCATCAACCATTGACAATTCCCTACACAACTGTCATAGCCAAACCAAAACCCAACATGTCCGTCGTAACTAAAGCAAACATCGCTTCCTTCGGCGGGAAGCTCCTCAAACTTACTCACAATGCTGCCACTACCAACTGCGAGATGGCGTTCAACCTCTACCTGCCTCCACAAGCTATCCAGAACCCAAAACAGAAAGTTCCCGTCCTGATATACCTTTCCGGCCTCACCTGCACGGCAGACAACTGCTCCGAGAAGGGCTTTTTCCAGCATGGCGCCAGCAAGAAAGGGATTGCGATTCTGTATCCCGATACCAGTCCTCGTACGTTTGATATATGCCCAAGCCCTTCTATATGCTCGTGCTACCTTTTTCCGTTTTGTTTTCTTATTTGATGCAGTGCGATCTAATCGACAATATGATAAGCTGGCTAATCTATCGAATCGATTTATGAAAAAACCACAGGAGGCCTAAACATCGAGGGCGAGAATGACTCCTGGGACTTTGGCACCGGGGCCGGCTTTTACGTTAATGCCACGAAAGTTCCTTATGATAAAGGATATAACATGTACAGTTACGTCACAGAAGAACTGCCAAGGACAGTATTTTCTGCATTTGAGCAATTGGATTCGTCCCGGGTCAGCATTATGGGCCACAGCATGGGCGGACACGGCGCGTTGACTTTGGTAGGTGGCCATTTTTCAATACAAGAAGTCCAGTGCCCCGACAAACCCTCTCCCCTCCCTTATTTACCCAAGCCGCTGATTACATATGAGACATCTCGAAATCTAAAGGGAGACGTAACGGCTAATTTATGTTTTTTCAACGCTTACCTAGTTCTTGAAAAACCCTGGAAAATACAAGTCTGTTTCCGCCTTTGCGCCCATTGCCAACCCCATCAACTGCCCCTGGGGCCAAAAGGCGTTCAAGGGATACCTTGGCGACGACATTCAGAAATGGAAAGAATTTGACGCCACGGAGCTTGTTAAGAAGTGGAAAGGTCCTCTTAATGCACTTATTGATGTGGTATGTGGTGCCGTAGCATCATCTGCGTTTTCCACTACTTCACCCACCCCCCTCTTCCCCCTCTCTCCTTTCCGTATAATTTTAAGCCCTTTGGGGCTTCAGTGCTTTTTTACTGATTGGCCTGTTCTTGTTCACGTGCAGGGAACCGGCGACAACTTTTATAAACAGGGCCAGCTCCTACCCGAAAACTTTGCCCAGGCGGCCAAGGAAGCGGGTGTGGAGGGCGTAAATATCCGATACCAGGAGGATTATGACCACAGCTACTATACCATGGCGACGTTTTCGGATGACCATATTGAGCATGCAGCTAAATATCTATTCGCATAGTACGTTTATTTAGATTAACTTAGATTAACTGAGTTCTTCCAGGAAAAAGGGAAATGGGATTATCTCCCGCTTGAAATCGCGGATGTTCTAACTTCTGGCTCTGAAGTTATAACTAGCTGCGGAAATTAGTATACTTTGTTTTGATATATTGTGTACGGAGTACTGTTTATTTTGCCGAAGGCTGAGAAAGTTGAAATGATAAAATCCAACTATCTCTGCGCTTATCATATGTTGGATACATATAATAATTTTAAATCTAGATCCTTTTATATTCATTGTCATCATCCATCGCGGCCCATCGGCCAACTAAATACGCTTTGCTATAACATTTGCCAAAAGCATAGCTATCTATTCAACATTGTACTTGCCCCCCTTCCCTTCACCCTTACTACCACCCCACCATCCCTCTGCTCTCCCTCCCAACCATTTGCCCCGTTACGCTTCCCAGGTGCTTATCAATGGTATCAGGTACTAAGGCCCAGCACCAATTCCTTACCCTAGCATCAATCGCCCCCTCAACAATTATCTTCGCCGTCCTAGTGATAAGTAAACAACCTCCTTCATAAATAAAAGGGACTCAAAACAATATCCCGCAGCCCAAACAGCCCAAACACAACGGCAAACTCAAAAACTTAGCAAATGCGGGAAAAAAAAAGCGAACAGGTATCTCCTCTCCACTACTATTTTGTTCAGTGCTTCATAAAATGGGCATAAATGCAGAAAAATTCATGCCGTATGCCATATAAAAATAAAATAGAATAACTGAAGAAACGCGAAGAAGGGGTGGCGAAGGGCAACGCAATTGGTTTTTTTGTTCAACAAAATGATATGATCAAATAGGGGGGATCAACGCCTAGAATGCACATGCATCTGTCGCCCTTGTGTGTCTTGGCAAACAACAAAATTTTAAAAGAGGACAAGGGAAGGGGGAGGGAAGGAAGGGAGAGATGAATCGAAGTATAGTTGTGAAAAGTAATTATCATGCAGATTTTTGGAATTGTAGATCATGAGTTTAAGGTCAAATGCATAATTTGAGTTTTTAGAAGTCCTCTTCTTTTCCATGATTGAAAATAGAGTGGAAGAAGGCGTGGGGTTGATGGGAAGGCCGTTAGGGTTAAAGAGGTTGGTATATAGATAAAAAATATATATATATATATATTTGTTGTATAGATAGTCGTAGAGGGTAAGACGGTGACAGCGAGAGCTCTGTGGTATCATGCGCTTAATCGTTGGATAAACGACTGCAATAACGAAGCTAGGTTAGATATTATATTTCTAGTAAATTTTTTCTCTGGATTTTTCAGGATAGGGGAGAACTGTAGCTGAAGCAAGTGCACGGGATTTGAAAATAAAAGAGGTTAAACATACCTGAAAAAATTGCCGGAATCCCTTTACATCCAGCTGCTCCAAAGATCCGACATACTCATCAATGAGATCCCCCCCCATTCCCAACCCAGGCAATTCTCTTCCTCTAAGCCATTCAATATACTCCTGTCCTGTCTTTAAGTATATGACCTTTTGTAAGCTAGCCGCCTCGCCCAGGACTTGTTTGGCTTGCGCATCCTTCGGATTGAAGGTGGGAGTCATGGGAAGTGACCAGCAGAGAGGGGAGAAGCGGGTGATCATGAACTGAGCAAAACCCGGCAGGGCGGCCTGGGTAGCGATATCGCCATTGGAGGTATCTGCGGGTTCGTTGATATCTGGCCCGCCCCATAGGCTGGACATACGGGACAGGACTGAGAATGCCATCTTAGCCGTGGGGAAATCGTCGACATCCCTTGCAAAATGTTCAATGGTGGTAATGACGGTTTCGAAGATAGGCTGATTGGCTAATTTTGAGAGAAAAGTTTGTCAGCATTGAGTGTTTTAGAAGCTATATTTAATATGAGGGTTTAAAAACATACTACTACTAATTATGACCGGTCCGAGGTTATGATTCAGGAGAATTAGCAAGAAGTGGAGATACTCCCGTTTCAGTTCCGCAAGTTGAATCTCATCGTCGGTGCCCGTCGTTGGGTCAGAAATTCCCGCAAATACCCGCTGGAGGAAGGGCGTTAAGAGGGTGTCCAGCATACCATAAATCTCGGTTTTGAAGCCAAAAATAATCTGATCTAGTAAGCGTAAAAACAAAGCCATTTCATCTTTGGAGGATGTTTCCGTCATTAATCCATCAATCCACCGTGGGAGTTGTGGTAAATTCTGCGAACCGCGAACGCCAACAAGTCTGGAGAATGCAAACCTGGACGCTGTTCTAATATTAAATGATGATTTCAGAGACTCAAGAGCCACCAAGGTGGCCTCGGATACTTGGCTGAACGCATCGGATATTTCCGGTGCCGGGGGCGACGTAGGTGTTGTAGTCCCTGGAGTCCAGTCCGAGAACCCTCGAGCGAGTGTTCCCAACGCCATTATATCATGGTGAATTTGTAAGATGGATCTTTCGTCGTTTTCCTTGGCAGCCCCCAGGTGTCGCTCCATGTCCATGAATATAGGATTCATGACAGATTGAGCATAAATGACTTGTTGGTCAACAGGGACTGCAGTCGTAGAACAAATAAGGCCAATGGCTTCGAAGAGATATAGCTGGCTATTGAAGACAGCGTCTGCGGAGCCTTGGTGGTCTTCTGATGACATGTCATCCGCGTCAGACCCTTCTTGAGGCACTTCTGCTCGGATGACAAGGAGATCACCGAGAGCTTTGATGACGGTTTCCGCAACATTCCCAACGCGGTTCCGAAGATGCTTAACGAGTCGATGAAAGAGATACCAAGATCTAGTACTGACTTTCTTGACTGGATGATGAACTAATTGTAGGAAACTTTCTAAGACACCCGGGATGAGATGGACATGATGATCGAAAAAGGAGCTGTACCGCACACAGATTTCCATGAATTGGAGCTGGGTTGCCGGATGGGTAAATGATCTGATATCTGTTAAAGGGCAAACTCAGTTAGCAAACAACGTGGAGACTAACTGGTGGGAGCGAAAACAACTTACCAGCTTCAACCATGCTTCGCATCATCTCCACCAGCCTTTCTGCTGCAGCATTATTCAATTTATTTTTGACGTACAAGCCGCCCGATTTCACAGCTAGGTCCCCAAAGAGGAACATCTCATGTAAGGCAAGATCTAGATCCCTCCAGTCAACTTGGGAGCCAGGCCGTCTCAGGTTTTCAAAAGTAGTCCCAACCACCTCACTCACAACATCCATGTAAAGCTGTTCGTTTGAGGATGCAACGATTTGCTGAAGTACGTTTAGTCGTTTCCTGAGTTCCTGAAACTCAGCTTCGTCTGTTTGCTCATCCTCGTCGCCCCATGTCGAAGTTTCATCGTATCTCATTTTAGCAATGATAGCCTTTAGAATTGGCATCAGCATACTGGTTTGCTGAGGGACAAGAGCTGGATTCTTTTTGGCGCTTTTGCGGATGTAGGACAGGAGATCGTTCATTGAAGGGATAACGGTGGAACATATCTCATCGTACTCATCTGCGAAATATCGGAGAATATGTGGTAGAAACGATTGTAGAAGAGTCTCAGCCTTTTCCTTAGTGGCGGAGTCGATAGTCTCATTATCTAAAACTCGGACGATATCAATCGTCGTCATGTTCACCAGTTTAGCCACCGTTTCTGCCAGATCAGTGTCGTATTTAGAGGTGAAGCGATGGTCGTGCAACGGAGGGCTTGCAGTAAGTTGAGCCACAATACTCTCTAAATTGAGGAACACGATCATATCGATCTTATCCGAAGGCTTCATTTTCTTGCCCACAATCTCAGTAAATACGTCAATTGCTGCATCCCGAACCTTCTCCCCACCCTCAGGGAGATTAACATCCTTGGCTCTGGCAAGCTGCTGGAAGAGCAGATCAAGCATAGACTGGTTGACGATTAGCGAGATATCGATCCAACTGACCCAACTGCCAATGGCTCTTAGGCAAATCTCCGCTATCGGGTCGCTTCCATTCTGCCACTGTGACAGAATTTCCTGCCAGGAGCTAACAATTTTCTGCACGTCCCGTTGGCGTATAAGGTCCTTCAGCAGATTTGCCTTGTCCTGTTCGACCCGTGACCTCGAGAGCAGCACATCTCCTATCTCGCCGTGGATAGAGTTAATGACCCGGAGGTAAAATATGATCCCGAGGGAGTTATCCTTGGATGAGCTCTGGGGACCTTTGTACGTTAAACGGATAATATCGTCAAAAAAGGTCTCCCATCCGTTGCCATAGAGGGCGGAGAAAAGGTATGTCAACGTTTGGGCCACCTTATTCTGAATGCTGGCTGGGTCGATCTGAGCGGCGGGCCCGAGGCCATATACCTGGCCCAGATATTCCATCATTGTATCCTTGATATACCCAAGACCCTGCATGTCCACTAGACCGGTCTGTGTCGCACTATTGACAATCTCTAGAGCAGAATGGCGCACAACCTCCGAGCGACGGGGCGATTTGGTGAAGATGGATAGGCACACGTGCCATCCTGAAGGGTCCGATCGGAGCTGGTTGAGGTATTCAAATGCCTGTGCCTTGAGCGCTTGGTCGGAGGAGGGGTTCCAGGCAATTTCAATGGCGTTCGCTACCTAGTTATCAAAAACAAGTCAGAGCTTTGCATGGTGTCTAGTTGCACTGCGTCGAGTAAAGTTCGATCGAGGGGCAATTAACGGAGAAAAGACGGATATGAGGCTAAAAAAAAAAAAAAATTGTGTATCTACCTGGTCCTCCATCGTTTGGCCAGTAAGTTCTCCAGGCCACTCAGCTCACACAAGGTCTGTTATTCTAGACGGAGTCTGCCTGCGAGAAGCTTTCCTGCTTTGTGCAGGAGAATTCTGTTTGAGGTTGAGCGTTGTGGTGTGGTGTCATATCACGCTCCTTAAGCCATGGCTAGGCTTCTGGGAGTCGGGTAACGAATAGTAAGGGGCTCTGGTAATAAAACTCGAAGTAGCAGGTTTGGAGCTGGAATTGCGGAACAACAATACGCTATTGCAATTGCGAGGAAACTTGCGGATGTGGATCTAAGTTCTGTTGGGTTAACGGAGTCGTAGGGCAGATTGGGAGTCCTGGCGGGGTGTTGCCGGGGTGTGCTGAGAGTTGTTTTTTGGGATGGAAGACGGCCTATTTTTACTGATAAGACTCGCGCGCCGCAGCAACCAAGGCCGCCACAGTCATTGAACCCCTACACCGCACAAAGTTGTGTGCAACGACTCCACTCGGAATGAAGACTCAAATTTTGTTCTGGGGCTATCGGGGGGAAATAAATGTTTTTTTTTTTTTTTTTTTGGGAAACGGATCGGCTGAAAATAATATGGATTTTACTCTTTCTACGGAGTATACATATACTCAATGCACTGGTGGACCGGCAAAGAATGGTCCTTTGGCTGGGCTCACGTGGTAACATCCCCAACTGAAGAATGCGTTCCTGGATTTCGGTCTTCTAAACATTTATTGTATCTTCACTTCTGCAGATGGGTATTTCTCGCACTTCCAGATTCGTGGTTTTATGTATCTTGCCTCTTACACTAACGTCGATGTAGATAAACACGTTTTACTGATTCTAACCCCTAGAGCCTGCTTAGCGTAGAGTTCATAACGAAACAAAAGTTGAATTCAGATGGATAGTTAACGATGCCATCCAGGCTGGGCAAAGAAACAGGTGTCTACCAGCCTTCTCTGGAAGACAAGCAGGCTATGACGGCAATGTCAGAGCCACAGCGCCCAGACCAGCAGATCCTCGTCCGGGATGTTGGGATATGGGACATGCTGAAGGATGAGCATTGCAGTATTAATTCTCTAAACAATACCAGCTCATGAAGGAAGAGGGAGACAGGAAAAGTCAGGTAAGGCCAAGAAAGGGGGCTCCTGAGGATTAATGGTATGGAAGCGGAGAGTGAGCAATCGAAACGTCATTCGTATGCATGATGAGCAAATGCAGTTTGCTAGTTTATGGCAAGGGGAGAGCTCCCTTTCTTCAATGGGAACTTGCAATTTGACTAGCAGTACAGACGTGCTCTGTATATCATTCCCTATTATCGCATAGATCTTCGGGTAGAAGAAACCAAGAACGAAGCTGGTAAGGCAGGAAGAGCCTTTCAGAGAGCAGAATGACGCAGGGCAAGGCTCATAATAAGTTAATAATAAGTGCACTGGCTGACCGGTAGTTACTAACTATTTAGCTTATTTAGATAAACGACTTCATTCTAGGATGGTTTCCAGCAGTTTGAATATGAGTTTCCTAACTTTCCATGTAAAATCTTTCCTTACATTTTCTAGAGAATTTAAAGGAATGGAGGGACTACATGGGAAGGCGATTTAGACGAGTGGATGTGTGAAGCAGCAATGCCAAACAAACAACCGTTTAAAAACGAAGATAGGAGGAATCTCTATACTCCACGCATGCGACCAGAAAAGAAAAAAAAAAAAAAAAAAAAAAAAAAAAAAGCCCCAGAAAAAGTGAAAATGAGACGAGGAACAGTAGAGAAGCAAAACGATTTAAACTCAACCCGCACTCCTTCCTTCCGCCTCCTGCCTTAAAATCCGCTTCTCCATCATCTCAAACCCTTCCACCGCCTTCCCAAACCTCTCAAACAACCCAGGCTGATACCCTTCATCAATCTTCTCCGCAAACTCCTCCTCCTTCCACCTCTTCCCAATCAAATCCTCAAACGTCTGGTTCGGCGCCCTCTCCTGCGCCCAGACGGCCTTATAGGCTGCCCCAAGCGCACAAGCATTCTCACCAACATCTAGCTTGTAAACCCCTTCAACCCCGCCGAGGACTTCCCCGGCCACTTTGGCAATGGCTTTATTGCGCGACCCACCACCAACAAGGTATACGCGGTGGGGCTGCGGCGGGGTGTCTTTGGACGGGCTGTGCACGAGATCGCGAGAGCGCAGACGTAGCGAGAGCATCTGGCTCTCGACGATGGCACGCGCGTCGTCCAGTGGCCTGTCCCAGCTCTGCTCGGATTCCTCGAGGGTCTTTTTGCGGGGGTCGTAGTTGAAGTGCCATTCGCCGTTGCGGAGGTTAGGTACGATTTCGGGCCTGGGGAAGAAGAGGCCCATTTTCATGAGATCAGCGTCTGTTCTTTGGCCGGCTGCTGGTCGTTGCAGGAGGGCTTTGTCAAAGTTACTCCAGGGATCGGAAGAAGTGGTGCCAGATGAGTCTTTGCTAATTTTATCATTAATGGCGTCACGGATGTGTTCGCGCGCCAATCCGCCGTTCTTATAGCAGAGCATGAACATATAGAGCCCCGGTGTTGTTGGGTGGTTGAAGAAGTGTGTCGAGGGGTCAGTCTTGTATTCTGGCGTTGACATGAGGAAGGTAGTTGAAGTTCCTAGGGATACCATTGCGTCCCCTGGTCGCAAAGGTAGAGCGAGGATTGTAGCTGGATTATCTCCCGTGGACGGAATTACAACACATTCAGGATTGAACGAGTACCGCTCTATAAAGTAGCGGTTAATTTTCCCCAGTTCTATTCCACCATCGTCTGGCACGTCGCCTAGTTTTTGTTTTAAATCGGCTACTCCATACGGTCTAGCGCATAGCTCGAGCAACCGCTCATTCCACCGGCCCTTTTGAATATCCCATAGATTCATCCCGCATACATCTGAGATATCAAAGGGGGCAATCTTGCCTAAGAATAAGGACGCCAGGAAGGACGAGACGAGTGAGATCCTCGCAGTCTTCTTATATGCATGCGGGTACTTGCGCTGGAACCGTAGTATTTGCGGTCCCGTAAATCTCTGTCCCAAATTAGCACAATCGTTAAGAAGTAGAATATAACCGAAAAAAGAAGTAAAAACCGAGAGACCAGACCACCTTACATGATGCGCCTTACTTCCCGTCACCTCCGCCAACTTGCCCTGTCCCCCCAGAAACTCATCAAATTGGTCACACTCCCGTTGTGTACTCGCATCCTGCCAATTCGGACTATGCGGATGCGATAGCGCCGCCGCAACCTGCTCCTCCAGCCCCCTCCCCGCATCCAACTCAGCCAAAATCCGCCCGGCATCCGCATTCCAATAGACACTGCCATGCTGCTGGCCCGCACCGCTGATGGCGCGTACACGCCCGAAATCCAGCCCTTGCTCCTTAAGCCGGAGCAGCACGCCATCCAGCGCTTGCAGCCACATGGCGACGGGTGCGAAGACTTCATGCTCAACCTCGTTGGTCTGCACGCCGTTTTCGACGGGGAAGCCGTGCGAGTCGGCGTCGAAGTCGAATTTGGCTACATGGATGACTTTTAGCGAGGAGGTGACGACCAGGCCTTTTAGTTGTTGGGTGGAGAGGTCGAAGCCGATGTAGAGGGGGCCCCCTTGGTTGTGGGTTTTCATTTGTTGTGTTTATGTTTGGAATTGACTTTTCGGGTATATGGGGTGTTGTATTTCGTTTCTTGATGCTGCTTCTTTTGTTGGCTTTCGATTGACCCTCTTGGTTTTACGCTCTGGTTCTGCGAATTGGAGAGAGGTCTGTGTGGGGAAGGCCTAGCTACGTCATAAGATGGGGAAAAAATACGTGGATGATGAGGGGACAGTTGGGATGAAGCAGGCTGCTGGCAGTCCGGGTGAAAACAAATATGGGGTACTGGAGTGGATAAAGAATAGAAATATTATAACTGAAGCAAGCGATTACTTAGAAGTCAGAAGCTTGTTTCGTGTTATGATTTGGGTGATTCATTTACTGTGCCCTATACAAGAGACTATTTCGCAGGGTGTACTCTGTACTCCTCCGTACAGTGGCCTCCTGATGTCAATATACAGTGTAGATCCGTTTTGGTCGCGCTGAACGTAAATTCGCCATGAGCACTAATCTCTAGTCTGTTGTGTTGCATCGATGTGAACCATTATTAACTGCCTCCCCTAAATTCCGCGACGATGAATGCTAGTATTACTAGTACTACAGAGTACGTATACACCCAATTCTACTTTGTGGTTTGGTTAGCTATGCAGAAAAGACACGGCTAGATATGTGTCCTAGGACTAGATCTAGCAAGCGGAAAGTCAAGCTCTGTTAATTTGTACCGTCTACAAGTCGTAGATACATAGATATAATCTAGGTGGCCTCGTCTAGTTACAATGCACTCTCACATTGCCCCATTGCAAACCCAGGGGCCAAAACCCAAATTCCGAAATTAAATTCTCTTAAAATAATAGGTGGTACATGGGGTTTTAAATGTCTATCGAGCCCGGGAGGTGTGAAAATAAATCGATCACGGAGAACAACAACTGAGACAGAAAGGGGGAAACAGGCACCAAAGCAGCCCAAGATAAACTATCCGCAGAGTAAATACTATGGAGAAAAGACCTAAAAAAAATATGACCACCGTCTTCCAACGCCAGTAGATCATGTTGAACTTCTTCCCTTCTTCTTCGTCTTCGTCTTCGTCTTACTGGTGTCTTCCTGTTTTTGGTAGCCGCTGTCAAAGAAATCGCTCGACACCGCTCCAAATATTGTGTATAGATAGTTTCGAAAACTGTTATGTAGCCTTTCCACTAGAACCAGCCCAGCGGGACAAGCGAGAAGTGAAATTTTGTCAAAGTAGAAGCCGGATTGGGCGCTCTGTATAAGCATGCAACCCCGTCCTGGCCTGAACTTGACACGGCTTTTTCCTCGTTTCAAACAGCTTCACATCAACGTCCAGAGACAACCAAGAACGAAAAAACAGCGACAAGTAGGTGTTGTGTTTCGCGAAAATATGCATATAGAATGGGTCTAGCGTCTCTTATTCACGGTCCCTTCATTCTCAGCTTGTGATCCCGAACTCACAGCCGCAAATTTATCATGATGAGCAGTCCCATTGGCTTCTTCTACTTCCGGTTCCGGACTGCTGCGCGGGCTAACATCCCGCGCAATAAACTCCTCCAAGAAGCTCGCATCCCGCTCAGTATTAGGCGTGAACCGAACCTTTAACCGTTTCACCCCTCGAACCCGCGAAGCAACCCGCTGCCGAATAGCCTCTTCAACTACTCGTGTCTGACCAACAGACCACGAGCTGGGCACGGCCAGCTCGACCTCCATCAGATTATTCTGACCCGATTTGATTCCTTGCACTTCGCGGATCTGTATCTCGCTCCCAGTACCATCTGGCAGCGCGGAAATGGCCTTCCTAACCGATTTCTCGACAGACGCGCTAATTTCAGAGTCGACGCTGACGTCCGCCAACTCCAGTAAGGAGATCTTGGTATTTACCCACCCGGCTCGAATGACCATGAGAGAAATAATAAGGCCGCCCACTGGATCGAGCCAAGAGGCGTCGGGGAGGATATGGGCACCGCCGATTGTGAGGAGGGCGACGAAGCTTGTTAGCGAATCGACGCGATGGTGAATGGCATTTGATGCTAGGACGGACGATTTTCGCTGGCGTGCTACTTTCATCGCTGTTTAGGGGCGTTGTGTGCGTTAGTGGAAAGATCTTTTTAGGTGCAACGGGGTACGGTTGTGACAAGCTTACTTGCATGATACAACGATTCCTTTACCAAAATGGAGCCCGCCGCAAGCCAGGCCGCGTTTATATTCGGACCCAGTAACTCATGATCATGGCTGTGACCGTGAGAATGTCCGTGGCCCAGTAACCCCAGGTGTGCGAAGCAATCCGCAACGGCAGGAAAAAACTGCGTAAGCAGAACCTCCATCGCGTTTAAGCCCATCAAAAATCCTCCGCATAAAAGTAAACCGCTCACGCCCAAAGCACCAAGACTCTCCACCTTCCCGTAACCAAACGGAAACCGTGATGATGGCGGCTTAAGTGACAGTGACACTGTGGCAAGAGTCATGAAGTCCGAGACCAGGTCTGTAGCGGCATGGTAGGCATCTGCTATTAACGCAGAGGAGTTGAAGACGTATCCCCCAAACCCCTTTCCAATTGCCATGGCCAAGTTGGAAAGGAGGCCGATTCGCGTGATCCGCACGCCTGGGTCATTTTTATTCTTGGATACCAAGTATGTATTGTCGTGGTGATGGTGGTGGCCATGACTGTGCCCGCTGTGAGATCTGGTCTGCGAAGCCGTCATTGGTGCGAGGAGACACGAGGAGGATTGAGGGAGGAGGGGACTGGTAGGGGGACGGGGAGGGGTGGAACGGCGGGTCGGGGGTAAACTCGTAACGGTTCCCGTCTTGCGGCCGTGGTGACAGTAGTGGGCAGGGGACAGGGGTTGTGCGGTGGGGTTGGGGTAATGAAAGACACGTTGCGTTAACGATCTTACGAGATGTCTTGGTGTAGCAGACGGCGGAGGAGAGATCTGGGCCACCTGCATGCGCCGTGGAGGTTGCCGATGCAGCGCCATAGGAGAAGACACCACGGGGCGCAAATGGGCCAGTCGGACTCGGCTCCTGCAGCCCCGGGGCTGCGGGAAGATCATGACACTGGGCCTAGCATAAGACTGGGTAGTTGGATGAATGGTTCAATTAAGAAAAATATATAAAAAAAATCGCCAAAAAAAACCCCGATGGGCAGCTCCGGGAAATAATTATTCAACTGCGGCGAAAAAAAAAAAAAGAAAACCTTTACCAGCCCAACCCAGCCAAGATATTTAAGCCCGCAGCAACAGGTAAATAAAATATACTTTTCCCAGGCTGCTGCCGGAGAGGCAGAGAGAACAGGATTTTTGTCGAAGGTGCGATACTACATCTTCTGGAGGTAAGGTGTGAATTGGCTGCGGGCACTGACTGGAAGAGAGAATTGAACTTCCTTTAAAACAGTATCAATGATAGAGACCTACCTCTTGAGTATAAATATGTATTGTATTGTTTATCAACATATCATATCCGTAGAACGCTAAGAAGTTCCGGATGCCGCAGCCCTTGGGTCGAACCACAGTTGCGCCATTGTCCAACAGAATCAGACATTTTGAGCACGATTACGATTCTTCCTAGCTCAACGCCAAATCGCATCAACTGTTAAATAAGTTAACTATTAACTAATATTGTGACAAAAAAAAAAAAAAAAAACAAAGTCAGGATTAGTAATGACAGCCTTACCCTTAGCTGGTTAACAGCTGGACTCTTTATTTGCAATAGTAGTTGGTTCTAGGTTCATGGGGATGGGATCATCTAGCTACAGTAAATTCCATCATATTTACCGTAACTACATGTACTAAAGCTACTAGTTACTATCTATCCGTCACCATCAGACTTCCCCGGTTCTCCCAGCGACACAATTCCGCCATGTCTTACTGCTCATGACGAAGCCCCTGATCAGAATCCCCTTCACGGGTCCTCTCCCTCCACCAATTATATATCCCCGCTCCGCCAACTCCATCTCCGGCGCAGTCGACGCCATCTCATCCTTCCTCTCCGCCCCTCCCCCCCCCCTCCTCAGAGGCACTGATGTTGGCCGGAACGAATTAACGGTCCTACTCACCGGTGCCGGCATCTCCGTCGCCTCAGGCCTCGCAGACTACCGTGGCGAAAATGGCACCTACCGACGAAACCTAACCTACCGTCCCATCTTCTACCACGAATTCATTTCCCAGCACGAGGCGCGGAAACGATACTGGGCCCGCAGCTTTGTGGGATGGCCCACGCTCGTCAACTCCAGCCCCAATGATACACATCTAGCTATTGCAGAGCTGGGTAGGAAGGGCTACATATCCTCCGTCATTACCCAGAATGTCGACTCTTTCCACTCCAAGGCCCACCCGCATATCCCCGTCGTCGAGCTGCATGGCTACCTACGTTCGCTTGTATGCGTCAATTGCCGCCGGTCAATGTCCCGGAACGACTTCCAGGCGGCGCTGCTAGAGCTTAATCCGGCCTGGTCTGAGTTTCTGGACCAGATAGTTAAGGCGGGCGCGTTGGACACGGATAACAGGGAGGAACAACAGAAGAAGGGACTGCGGATGAATCCAGACGGTGATGTTGATCTCCCCAACGCCCCGTACTCGAAATTCCGCTACCCCCCGTGCCCCCACTGCCTCGAGAATCCGCCCCTTCTCCGCAATGGCACGCAAGGGAGGGTAGAGGTGGAGCACGATGGAGCGCTTTCTGCTAGTTCCAATGCTGGCATACTGAAGCCAGCTGTGATCATGTTTGGGGAGTCGGTTGATGAACGTGTCAAGGAACGAGCGGAAGAGGCGGTTGATGAGGCAGGGAAACTACTTGTGCTGGGGAGTAGCCTGGCGACATTCTCAGCATGGAGGCTTGTGGAGCGCGCCATCGCGCGGGGAATGTCGATTGGAATCCTGAATGTTGGGGGCGTCCGCAATGAAGCTAGAGTGTTCCAGGCAGCGAATGGGTGTGGGTTTACCGACCCGATGATGCGTGTGAGATGTAGTGAGCAGGCGGAGTTTGTTTTACCGCTAGTTGCTGCTCAGCTCAATGCAGCCTCTCCCGTTTGGCGGAGATGATGAACCTTTCATTGTTTGATTTTGGCTAGGGGCGGGGGCGTCTTGAAACTACAGGGGGGTTATACTTCTTCTTCATGTTTTCTTTTAAGATGATAATGTACAGGGCATTGTTTGAAATAGACCTCTGTTCTGCTGGAAGTCACATTAACTATTTATAGAGCGGCGCATATTTGCCTCTGTTATGGGCGCCTTCAAGAGCTCCTGAAACGTCTCGATAAAGAATGGGCGGCAATTTCGACTACCTTCGCCATTATTTACCTAGAGGTAGAATAGATGAAAGGTCATAGAGTATCGTAAGACCGATTGACCTTGGATGCAGTCTTGAGCCACAGCACCAACTCTGGGTAACTTTCAGCCTATCCATATCTGCGCTGAGGGGCAACTCTCGCCGCAGAAACCTTAGCGTCAGCATCAACCGCGGGGCCTCGACGCAAAATCAAGGCCCTGCTACTTAAATGGTGACTCCCAATCGTCCGTTGTCTACTATTTGTGAAGAATAACACATTGGGGGCTCGTAACCTGGTTAGTTTACAGGGGACTCCTCCAACAATCTCAGAGCGCAAACCAACCCGCGTTTATCTTGATATGGACCGCCCCAGCCCCACACACCCCCAACCTGCTCACCATTCTTCTACAACCGCTGCCGCCGCCGCCCCCGCTGCTGCGGCCAATACTACCGCTGCCGCTGTTACAGCTGCGACGACGGCCTCTTACTTAAATATTGCTTCCTCGCTCGTATCCCCCGGCACGTATCTCGCAAACCAGCGACCCGTGCCACATCCAACCTACAGGCCTTCACCAGCGCGAGCAGCACCCGGTACAATGGACAAACGACAACCACCCAACTCCTTTCAGCAGCTTGAGAAAGTATGTAGCATACTGATTTTGAAGTTGTATTCGAAGACTTTCGTTTTTATTTTCTCTAACTAACATTTCTCATCTAGCTTGGCGAAGGAACTTATGCTACCGTACGTGACGCGATCGTTTCCTATATATCCCTTAACTAGGTTCCTACCTCTCCAATCACGACCCTTGCTAAATATGATACTCGCGAACAGGTCTTCAAAGGGCGCAACCGCCAGACCGGTGAGTTGGTCGCGCTGAAGGAAATCCACCTAGACTCCGAAGAAGGCACTCCATCCACCGCCATCCGAGAAATATCACTCATGAAGGAACTAAAGCATGAGAACATCGTCTCCCTCTACGACGTTATCCACACCGAGAACAAACTCATGCTCGTCTTCGAGTTCATGGACAAGGATCTCAAGCGCTACATGGACTCGCGCGGCGACCGCGGCCAACTCGACTACGTCACCATCAAATCCTTCATGCAGCAGCTGCTGCGCGGCATCGCCTTCTGCCATGAAAACAGAGTCCTCCACCGCGATCTCAAACCGCAGAACCTCCTCATCAACACCAAGGGCCAGCTAAAGTTGGGCGATTTTGGCCTCGCCCGCGCCTTCGGAATACCCGTAAACACCTTCTCCAACGAAGTCGTCACCCTCTGGTACCGCGCCCCGGACGTCCTCCTGGGCAGCAGGACCTACAACACCAGCATCGACATCTGGTCTGCTGGCTGCATCATGGCAGAGATGTATACAGGGCGCCCTCTGTTCCCCGGCACGACAAATGAGGACCAGCTTCAAAAGATCTTCCGGCTAATGGGCACTCCATCCGAACGCTCCTGGCCCGGTATCTCCCAGTTCCCCGAATACAAACCCAACTTCCAAGTGTATGCGACGCAGGATCTCCGTCTGATCCTACCACAGATCGACCAGTTAGGATTGGATTTGTTGAATCGCATGTTGCAACTTCGTCCTGAAATGCGCATTAGCGCTGCTGATGCGTTGCGCCATCCCTGGTTTCAGGATTTGAATCAGTTGCAGGCTCAACAAGCTGCTGCACAGCAACAACAACAGCAACGACAACAGCAACAGCAGATGTCGGCTAGTGGATACGTGGCTCCGGGGCTTGGTTCGCAAGGTGGATATTGAGGGATGGGTTTTAAATCTCTCTTTTTATTTAAATAATGGGATTAAACTATTGAATTAATTGCTTGATTGATATGCTCGGTAATGGGAAGACGAACTTGGCAGCGCGGCGTTTTTGACGTTGGATGGCGCTACATCTTTGCTTTTCCTAGGTATTTAAAAACTAGGTTATGTTGTCGAATGAATTTTCCAAATAATGGGTTATGGAATGAATTTTCGTTTTATGTTAATCTTTTGATTTTCGATACTTTGGTCTGAGGTCAATAGGGATTGATAGTTTCCTGTCTGGCTAGAGTTGAAACTGGCGAATTAGGACTGCTGTGCTCAGTACTCCGTACGGAGTACAAAGTTGTGGAATCGAATATATTTCAGATAGATAGAGTTTCAACCGCTCTCTAATCTAAGTTACCCTTTTAAAAAGCTAAGAAGTTTAGCGCTGATCCAGATTGACATCATGTGATCTCGCGTCTGGGCCAAGGCGCGACCCCCAAGCCCGTGAGCAAGCCATCCCGGTCACCTCGATCTAAACACCTTCTCCGCCCTATCTATCCAATTGCTCTCTACCCGCAGTAGAGTAGCCCTTAACACCCTTCAGATGGGAAAATGACACCCCAACCAACCCCTCCCGCGCCAAATGGCCACACCCAACAACAACAAGAACAGCAACAGCAGCAAACCCCCGCCTCCCCCTCCCCACCGCCTCCAGCTCCAGTCCCTCTGACACCCGGGCCCCGCGCCGTGCGCCTCCAACAAGTCTTCTCCCAAGCCCTCCTACGCACCATACGCGCTAATTCCTACGCGAACTTCGCCGCCTGCTTCCCCACGCCGGCTAAACGTGTCCCGCATAGCCTCGAGTCTGTCTGGAGACAGCTGAATGCGAAGCTAGAAGAGAGCGCGCGCGCGGAGTTTGAGGATGTATTGAGGGAGAGGGAGGTGGTTAAGGGGTTGAATGAGTTGGATCGGTTGGTTGGGGAGGCGAGGTTGCGGAGGGAGAATGGAGAAGGGGAGGCGAGTGTGCCGTGAGTCTTTGTCCCCCCTCCTCCCCCCCCCCCCCTTTCTCCAACCCTTTCTTTTTGTATTCTTTTTGCCCCTGGGAAGATGTAAATTGGTTCTGCATTGGGTATACTAAAAACCTTCTTTTGTGTTTCTTTTTGTTATAGGCCTCACACTCTAGGCGCGAACGAGCTTTACCAAGCGCACCTTGCGCCGTATCTGTCAGAAGCCCAGGCTTCGCTAAATACGAAATTGGAAACCGTGCAGAAGGAGAATGCCCAGCTTTCCGAGAAAGTCGCATCTCAGAGACGGGAGATTGAGCAATTATTATCTGGCCTTGAAGCTGTCATTAGCGACGTGGAAGGCGCAGCGGCCGCTACGACGGAGTTTGACGCAAACCATACCCTGCGTAAAGAGGCGCAGGAAATGGACGATGAAATTAAGGCCGCTCAACGGCCATGATTATGTTTTTGTATTTACAACGGGAACTTGTGTGGTTCGATAGCGAGTGTATGTCATGTGTGGGGTTACCAACTCGGGATCTTAAAATTACAGGGCATAGCGCCGGGCTTGTACGTATGTACAGATCTCAGAACACGATCTCGTCCGGGTCAACTTTCCGGAAAAGTCCATCCATATCCTCCGCCGAGACCAGCCCATCGTCAACCATATCCTCCGCTATCTGCCTCAATTCCTTTTCCGAGCTGGCTATCAATTCTTCCATTTTCTGCATGTCGCCCGCGAGAGCAAAGGCAAATGCTTCTTTCGCTGTCCCTTCTTGACACTGTTCTGTTAATCCATCCCTCCCGGCAAGAGCAGCTGCTCCGCGATAATATGTCTGCGCATTCTTCAGGAGTGTCGAGGCATTCTCATGCGATATCTTATAGCTCCAAGGCTGCCCACCCAAGCGCCACCGATACATCTCAACGTCTCCTCGCGCAAGGTGGATCTTGGGCAAATTTTGGGCCTCGGGAAGCTTTGTTGCTGCGGTAAGGGAATCTAGAGCGGACGATAGCGCTTGCCATCGTAGCGTCAACAGCCTATTCAACGCTTCCTCGTTGTCCGGCTGGTCGCAATCTGCCATGGTAGAGTTGAACGCCACCAGCGACTCTGCTTGGCTGCAAAGCGCCCCCGGATTTCCCGGCAAATCCTTCACATCTCCAAACGCCGCGCTCACTTCGTTCTTGTACGTGTCAAAATCAATCCTCCCACTCCGGAACGAGACTTCCGCCAACGTTGAAATGAACTTGGCGCGCGCGAGCGCTACCTCGTTCTGCCTGTCTGTTCCCTCAACGTACGCCGCGATTTTCTCCTTTAGCAGCACCGCAGAATACTCCTCGACCCACGCAAGAGTACTGCCAGGATCAAACGTAAGTAACCCGCAAAACGTGGCCAATGTTTCCAACTGCGCCACAGCGGTGTCAACAAGCGTATCCTTGGTTACCGGTTCGATGACTGTAGCCCACTGTTCCGACTGTGTGGGTTCCGTAGCTCCTATTCCAGTTCCAGTTCCAGCTTCAGCGCCCTCCATCGCCCGGTCTGTTTCCAAATTTGCTTGCTGCTCATCGCGATCAAAGGCTCTGGACTTCGCCATAGCATGCTGATGCTGTCCTTCCGTAAACCGCAGCTCCTGTACACCTAGACATCGCTGGAAAAGATCCAACGCCTCCTGCAAATATCTCGAGGCTTCCTGCGTATGGTTCTCGGTGGCCCGTCTCCCATCTATAATCGCCTCTGCTAAGCTCGTCAATACCTGCGCGGTGTTGAAGAGGATTTCCGCATTGTCTTGTTGGAGGGTTAGGGCGTGTCTGTGGGACTTGAGCGCGATGTGGAGGATTTCGACAGCTGGGGCGGGGAGTTGGGTTGCTAGTTTTGGATGCTGGGTTATTTCGTATTGTATCCGTGCCCTATATTTAGAATAAGCCGTGCAGGAGAGTTAGGAAACAGATCTAATCAATCAAATATACCGAAAAGAACACCAATCTTTCATCTGTCCCTTCAATCGCGGAAAAGATGGGGTTTATACTACGTACTTATTGTATGCCAAATCAAACGAATTCGGAAACCTCCTCAGACCCGTATCGTACATTTCAATGGCACGCATGAAAAACCGCATGGACTTGACGGCATCTCCGGCTCGCCATTTTTCCCCGGCTTCTTCTAGTTCGACGCCAGCTGGGACAGGTTATTTTGTTAGTTGCTTTATTTCGATGCTGGATACATCTTGTTGCCCGCCCCGTGCCGGAGGATAGTAAGTGCTAATGGCAATGGCAATGGCAATCAATGGAAGTATAACTTACTAGCAAGGTATTCGTCTGCGCTTTCAGGCTCCTGGGAATTGAGCGTGGGGTGGTGAGTGAGAGGGAATTTTAATTCATCGGAACCGACATCGAAATGGGGAGAAGAGTAGGGGAGTAGAGGTAAAAGGAATAGCGACAAGGGGGATTCCAACTGGGGTGGGGGAATGTTGATCTTGTTGCCGTGAATGTATTGGGATTTAACTGGGATTTATATCTAAAATATGAAGGGGGAACGTATGCGGAACTGGACATTTCAAACAAGTGCGAGAGCAAATAGAGGAATAAACTCAAAATGGAAATTTGCAAAATGGGTGCGTAGATGAATGTTCTTAATATTATACGAACAGTATTCCTTGTTTTCCTTTTCGTCTTCGCTTCCTTTAGTAGTGTTTTCGGTTTTGGCATTGTGCGGGCGGAGGTTGTTCGCGGCAGGCGGGGCAGATATCGGGCTCAGATGGATTCGTTCAATTGATCGCTGGGGTTAATAAGATAGGCCGTGGGATGGGTAAATGATGCAGATAAATATATATGTATGTAGAAGTTAAATCCAGACTAAATATCCCAAAAGCATTTGATTGTTTCCCAGGCAGCGGACCTGAGGAAATGGTGGGGTTGAAAATGGGAAGCTTGGAAGATGACGGGTGGCGGAGGAGAGCAAAAGGCAACTAACTGGAATAGGGAAGGTTTGTTGAGAATGAAGGGTGATAAGATCGATAAGATTTGATCTGGGTTGGAGATGGCCTACTCTACTCTACTGTCAGTCCTTGATTCATCCAACCATAACAACTTACAAAAAATTACTATAGGCTTAGCTATATGTAGCCCTGGCTTCATCTATTAATTTTTTCCACTTTTCTTCCACTTCAATTCCACTAGTAGTTAATGGAGTAGCTTCCCTCACCACATAGCCATGGTCCACCTTTATACCCATATATGTATGAATATAATCGTTACTAAGGCGAGCATTAAGAACCATTGTCTTACGTTTTAAAGCAGTAGATTCTTTCAATTTGAATCAACCTACAGGTCAATTTCCATTCTGACTTGCAGATCTTCACTTCGATGTTTTGATCAAGATCTGAGAAATTTGGGGAGGATGGAAAAAAAAAAAAAAAACAATTGAATTTCAAATACAAAATCAGATAATTAGTTGATGCTTTAGTTTGTTTTGCTGCACTCCGAAACATGGTATGCTCTAACACGTTCGCGATCACAAAACAAGGCCCTTTCAACGCATCAAATCAATAGAAACTACAAATAACATAGTCCAAGAATTATGTATAGAAATTACACCGGATAAAGATGGCTTATTACACTCGGATCTATTCAAAATTTCAACCATTATCCACATTGGGTTGAGCTGCTCCCACGTATAGAAGAAAATAACGAGGAGGGAGAAGACAAGACCATTCAATCTAAGTAACTATCTCATAGTTAAGTGCTGGTTAACATTTATCCTAACCGTCAATTTACTATATTGTTCATGCTGCTGGTTGCAGACGCAGAGAAGCTGAATGGAAGGAAGACACAGCTGTGTGATAGTAAATATGATTTGACACATTACACCGTCATCAATGTGCAACACACCATAGCCTGGAGTAATATCTAAATTCAGTCGAACGCAGGAGTGAAAGAGTTGGAGTGATTTATGCATTATGCGGTCATTCTGTTGATATTATGATATCATAGCAAATGTCAGCAGCTGCGTGGTGGACGCGGCAGAGGAGACAGGGTTACCTTTCCTGCAATTGAAACAATTGTAACCGCACCTCGACAGATGTATTTGGTCATAGGAGGGAAGGGGGGTGGAACATGGAAGGGAAGCGAAAGATGAAAGAAATCGAGATATCTTTAGTTTTATCCAATGTCTCTCCCTCGACCCTTTCCTCTCTGCCGGTTGTTACCTCCCCCTTATTCGTTTTCGTCAAGGGGTGAGGAAGAAGAAGCCGTTTTGATTCCTGCTCAGGCTGTCTATCTCTCTTTTGACCCCTTCTGGGGTCGGTAAATGACTGGGCATTATTACCTAGGCAACTTACTAATCGCCCACCCTGGGGGCTAATCACACACGTGGCAGGACTGGGCTAGGCGAGAGCAGGGCAGCCACTGCTGCTGCTGCTTGGTTGACGGGCGGGTCGGGTCGTACCTAGGCAAGAATAAAAAACAAGGGGAAAAGGTTTTCGTTGGAAGAACATTGGAAGGAAGGTTTGAAGCATCACAAGAAGAATAATATTCAGCACGAACTACACGGCTTTCCCACTCAAGACCTGTAGTGTAGAATAAATGGAGGGTCTGAGGGATCTTCTACCATGGCTGAGATATTTTTTAACGCGACAAATCTAATAATTGACGAAACCTTTCGGCCCAAGGCTCAGGGGTGCTGTGTGCGGGCCATTTTCAAATGCCTTAAATACAACTATAATACGGCAAATTCTACCAGCAGTGCGCTGGTGGTGACTGAGCTCTTTTGCTCCAGTAGCCTACAGATTTATTCCCATGAATAGTCAGCTGGTCGAAATGAATAATCATGTGGGAAAGGAAAGAAACACGTCTAGGCATGCAGAACTTGCCACAAAATGTGACATCCCAGGCCCCTTGCATATGATCCCCTAGTTACCGAAGAACTTCTCATCTTGTTGTAGCCGATTGTACATGTACCACGACCACGACCACGGCCACGGCCACGGGGCAGGGTGGGAGCGGGGACGAGAACCCCAGAGCATGGAAACGACCGTGGAAGAAGAAAATAGCATGGAATGGCATTGCGTAACACGATGGGTGGTTCTTGTCAACAACCCCATTCAGTGCTCGGGTACGGATGTACTGTACATACATTGTACTACTAATAAGTAACTACCGTACCTAAGTACTCAGAGAAATACTGGTGGGTTCATGAGCAGCAACTTTGAGAATGCGGATGGGCATAGTCACTGAAGGGTTTAGAGTTGTATTTCTATTCTGGTAGTTAGGCGCCTTCTAGCTGATGATTACGGAGTTATCATGAGGGCAATTGACTTCCTTGATGAGTTCCTGCCCAGAAAATTACCAGATGGGCGCCGCTGTTCCGTCACGGCCATACGCAAACAACGATACGACGCTCTGTCCCATCATTGTTGCTGTTTGCCAACCCAACCTGCTTCCAACCTGCCAGCCAGCGTCGTCTTCGGCTTCTTCTCTCCACCATCTTCACCTACTCATCCCAAGTCCACGTCCACATCCGCATCCGCATCCGCATCCGCATCCACGCCCACACCGCTCACGCCAATATTCCTCTTTCCGGAATATCTGACAAGTTCTATTCTACACGGAGCCTTTATGCGAGTTGCGAAGATCATCTCCCTCGTGCTCCAGCCATCGTCGATTTCCATTGTCAACCCCGTAAAGTCAGTCAAACTCTTCCCCCCATTCTCGCTCTCAAACAATTACAATAAGAAATGACGCCTTTGCGCCTTGATGTGCTCTCTCTCCCCGCCGATCAACAACTGCAAGGTTGATCCCCATTAGGCCGGCATTTATCTCATGGCTCACGGCTCATACCTGGAGGCTTCCTCTCTCCCGGATATTCTGTTATTTAGCTTCTCAACTGGCTATCCCATATTTCAGCCTTCCACTGATTGGAGTGGAAAAAGCCCATCCGACTGTGCTAACTTTGTGATACCAGATCTCAACCCTGACCTCGATCATCCGGGGCAACGCAACCTTGAAAAAAAGAAGTCCTCTAAAATAAAAACAGGCAAATTGATTTGTCCTTGTACTCTTTATCTCGACCCTATTCACAGATCCATATAGATTTTCTAGGGTCCGCGTAAGAACCCTTCCTATTATATTAACAAGGGTTTTCCCGACTGACCTCACTCCTCTCCTCTAGAGACTCCTCGTTTCCTCATGGCTCGACAACAGTCTCTTGATTCTCAAAGGCCAATAATGGCTCCTTCTGTATGGTTTTTCCAATTCTCTCTTTTCCGTAATACCCACTCCCTCAGACCTTTTAAAATCTCCTTCTTCTCCGCTACCTCGACGTCGCGCGATTTAAAGCCCTCCCAGAGCAAGAATAGCAATACTGAGTTGTCACCCAACGCCCCGCGGCGAAAGCAGGTCTCCTCACAGCGAAACTCTCAACGTTTCTCCACAATCAGCGCGACAGGTTCCCTCGCCCTATCTGACCACACCGTCTCGAGCACAATGACTGGCGATAGCCGTCTGGCCGAAATTAAAGAACTAGGTGCCGGCCTAGAACGCCTTGAGAACAAACCTCTCACCAAACAGCGATTCGTACCAACCCCGGAGAAAACAGATAACCTCAACAAACTCGCATTGGGTGCGAAGGTCGAGCGTGCGCTAGGGCGGAGAATGTCCAGTCAGGACGCTATTATGCGCAAGCGCACTCCGATAGATGAAGAAAAGGAGGCCCTCAAGATGCAGGCAGGATCATGAAAAGCAAAGACGAGGAACTATGGCCTTGTTTTTTTCTTTCGTTTTCTATGAATTTGCGTTTCTCTGTCGCTACAAGATACAAAGCCCTCGATTAAAGCAACCGCTCCACGCTTGGCTATACGTAAAATGATGGGAAGACCGGATCGTCTTTGTGTCTGTTTAGTTTCTTTTTGTCGCTGTTATATCTACTTTATACCTCTATCGCTTGCCATTGAAATTACTACCGTTTCCCTCTGCCCAGGCCCAGGCCTAGACCGATTCCCATATTTCTTTCCCCTATATTCCCCTTATGCTTTATTCTCTATATTACTCTCCTCTATTCCATTCCGTCTGAGAGTATCGCTGCCGTTTCTCACTTAATTTTTGTCTTCCTTAAAAACTTTGGCGTTCCGCAATCGCATCTGATGTGGCTTGTTTTCTTCCTCTTACTTCCCCCCCCTTTTTTTTTGTACATACGAGTTTCTGGGATGTTTCTGTGCTTCTCTTTTTCCTTTTTTCTTTTTTCTCACTCCCTTTCGTGTGTGTGAGAGAGAAATGGAAAGATTTCACAAATGTCATGATATAGATGCCCCCGTGTCTATTTTAGCCTTGCTTGTTTGATTTATTATTATTTATTACTTTTACTTAGACTGGCCGGCGGGACCATGAGTTTCACGTTTGGTTCCATTTGGTCTACATTTCTTGGCGTGAATCCGGGCCGTTGCGGATATTGCCTGTGGCGATCTCCCTAGATCACGTGATCAACCACTCTACCATACGGGAAGCACATGCAGGAAGCTAGACTGGCCGCCGGGACCATGATTTCACATTTGGTCCCATTTGGTCTGTCCCATACATTTCTTGGTGTGAATCCCGCTGGGACTAGTCATTAAAAAAACATGCAAAGTGACTATATATCAGATCTTAAAATGAAATCATGACTTGAAAAAAATAAGAAAGTGATTCTATTTGATCTTATAAGAGACCTACGCTGAATAGATCAGTATTATATTGATAGGTCTTATATAACAAAGATAAAAATGTTAGAGAAGGAAAGAAAGAGAAAGCATAAGAATTGATGATTGAGATGAATATTTATATATGTATGTAATGATGTATGCAGTGAAGCTTCAGAGTAGAAGAATATACACATGTTTATAGCAGCTGAGTATCAGTAATTAAGAATGACTAAGAATCAGAGTGTATGTATTTAAGAATGAAGTGATTGAAATCTGTGAAGTGTAATGAAATAGTCTATATAATTGATCAGATGCAGCTTACTATATTAATTTCTTCTTTTTAGAAGCAGTTCTCATCAGTCAAGAACTACTGTTTCAGATAATACAGAACTCAGAGTTCAGATTAATTGATTATAGCTGACTCATTTTATAAGATATTATCAGCTACAGCTGTGAGATCTCTTATTAAGAATATTCTCAATCTCTTACTCAAGCTTATTATCTTCTTCTATAATATCTAATAGCTGTCAGTCAGAAGTCAGCTGAGAAGAGAATGAATCAGTGATAATATAGTAAAGTAAGCTTATATAAAATATATTATAAATTTCTAATAATATGTTAAGATAGTAGTTATGACTATCTAGAACTTCTATCACTTTATATCTAATATGATGATAGTCTAGTGTATAAGATGAATATATGATTTATATATTCTTAAGATTTAATTATATAAGATCTTCTATTTTATACTGCTCTGTAGAATCTTATCAGATATTAATTTAATCTTCTTAATCTTATTTTATAATTATTATGAAGATCTCTGCTTAGTTATAGATATCTCAGAGCTTTATTACTATATTATCAGTAATCTGAATTAAACTGTAAGAATTCAGTGTAAACTATATAGTCTTTAGAAGATTCAATACTTTTATATAATATCTATATATAAGAAAGAATAGACTTATATCTATTAAAATAATATCTTAACTGTTAATAATAATCTCTGTATATAGAAGAAGATTATATCAATCATCTTATAAGTAATTATAGAACTTATAAAGATAATTCTTTATAATTTAAATTGTCTATTCTAATGCATCATTAGTCTCAGAGTGATAGATAGTTAATAAACAGTGTGTAATCTTAAGAACTTAATAGATTCTTATTCAGAGAGTGCTTATAAATTGACAGTCTTAATCTAATACTATGAATCTTAATAATTTATACATTTAATAGAACAGACTCTGTAGAAAAGCTTCAGTGACTTATTTAATATTTATCTTATTATAAGATTTCAATATTATATCTTTACTTAATTAATTTATAATAATCAGAATGTTTCTATAACTCTTACTTTTAAATAGATTAATAGCAAAGTTAATTATTATATCTTATCAAATTCTATTAGAGATATTAAGTGATTTTAATAGATTTTTTCTACAGTTCTTTTATAAGATAATAGAAGAATAGTGATTGCAGTTTCAGATAAAGTATCTGATACTGTTTAATATCTCAAACTAGTAAAACTCTTAGAAGATTATTTTATATAGTTATTCACAGTCTGAATAACTGATTATATATAAATCATGCATCTCTTGCATTATCTAAGTGTATAAGAGTTCAGAGTGAGAGACTTAGTATCATTCACAGAATTATAGAGTATTATTATTATTAATTAAATATTCTGAGATATCAGTTCTTATATATAGTTCTGAGAGAAATCAGAGTGCTTCTTAATATACTGTTTTAACAAGTACTTAAAGAAGTTCATTAGTTTGAACTATTATATACTATAATTTATTCAGTGTAGATTTAGAAGAAGTTGAGATATCAGTATTAATGATAATTTGAAGAGAGAGTGTTTTAATCAGAGAAGTATGTATAGTATTATAAGTTATTTTATCTTGATTAACTAATATCTTCAGATCTAGAAGCTGATGTTCTTGATTCATTCAACAGATATCTGTTACATCAGAAGGTATATCTTACACTCATTATAAAAGAGTATCTGTTATCAAGTTCTAGCTGCTGAGATAGTAATGTATTGTAAAATGAAAGCAGCTTAAGAACTCAGATTATTATATCTATCATTTAATAAGTTTATAAGTAGTTATAAAGTATTTGAGATTCTTATAATCTATGACTATCTCAAATTCAGAGATACTTCAGAGTTCAGAGTCTCATTCTTTTAAACAGTATATAATTGTGAGAAGTTTCTTATCATAGATCTTATAATTGTATTCAGTGAGACTCAGTTTCTTAGATATAAAGATATATAGTTATAAAATATCTTTATTATTATATTATAATATTACTTCTTCTATTATATAGCTAGAGAAATCAGCTTCAATAACTATTTTATAATCAGAATTAAATGTTATCAGTAGAGAAATATTAATGAATATCTTCTTTATCTGTATAAATACAGCTTCAGTATCTGCTAATCATTGAAATACTGAGTCTTTCTTAGTAAGATCTGTAAGTGATCTTATAATATCTGAGAAGTTTTGTATAAATTACTGATAGAAGTTAGTAAATTCAATGAAGCTTTATATATCTATCACAGTATGCAGAGCTTTTCATTCAAGAATAATGAAGACTTTCTCAGAATTTATTTAAATTCTCTTATCAGCTTCTATAATAAAACTCAGATACTTGATACTCTTGACTTTAAAATTATATTTATTAATATCTATTGATAGTTCTGCTTCTTATAGCTGTTATAATATCTTTCACATATATTCTTAATATTCTTTTCTGAATTCATCAGTGAAGATGAGAATGTTATCTAGATAAGCAGATACAAACTTATTAAGAAAATCTCAGAGTGCTCAGTTAATATACTTCGGAAATATACTGAGAGTGTTAGTCAGTTCAAAGAGTGTGACTATTCATTCAAAGAGATTATAACATGTTTAAAATACTGTAAGTTATTCATCTTCTTCAGTGATATGAATCTTATGAAATGCAGTGATAATATTTAGTTTTATAAATTATTGAGCTCATCTGATTCATACTAGAGTTTCATTGATAAGAGATAAGAGATATCAATCTTTCTTTATCAATCTATTCAGATCTCAGTAGTTCACACAGAATTGAAGTTCTTTATCTGATTTCTCTACAAAGAGAATAGAGACTGCAGTGAAAGAGTTACTAACACATATAAATTCTTTATTCAATAGATTATTAAGTGTCTTTTAAAGAAGAAGAAGTTCATCTCAGAACATGTTATAAAGAGAGTCTTATAATAATTCAGAGTTCTTATCATTCTTCTTCTCTAACTTGATACTGTGATTCACTTCAAAATCTTATAAGAAGAGTATATTTATAATATTATCTTATCAGAAGACATCTAGATATTCATAATATTATTAAGAGAGTTTTGTATGAGAATCTGATATTGTAATATGAGATAACTTTTCTAGAGTCTTTTTAATATTGATCAGACTGATGAAATAGATTGTCACATAATTCTGCTATCAGTGACTTCTTTTTCAGAGCATTTCATACATATTGACAGAGATCTGTGTCAGATTCATGATCTTGTGAATGTCATCTTTTTAAACTCTATCATTGTTAGAAAATATCAAGCTTCTGTTTCAAGTGTTTAATAAGATGTCTTGTTCAGATAGCCAGGCAAGTTCTAATATAAGACTATAATCAAGATTATCAACTTCATATGTATAGACATCTTCATATTGATGTTCTCTTACATCTATGATTAGCTTTATCATGTAACAGGTACAAATGTCTTTTGAATTATCAAATTCTGTGAGAAGTCAGGGTTTTGATAAGAAGATATACTGAAGATTATGATATCTTACAACTGAAGATTTTATCATTGTATAGTGACATAGACTGCTATCTATCGTAGCTTTCATATTATACATGTTATCAATCACAGTAGATATAAGAATCATATTCATTATCATCTTCTCTTTAAATTATTATCATTCAATCTCTTCAAGCTTCTGTTTACAAATTTGAACAGAAGCTAATCTTTTCCCTGTTTCACTGAGATATTCTCATAGTTATCTTCTGAATCTTCTTCTAATGTAACAT